TAATCATAGTCATTAAGGTTGAAAAAAGACCTCTAAGATCGAGTCCAGCCATTAACGTATAATGTTTTTGTTTTTCCCTCCAGCTTTGATTTCCGTCAGATTTTTTCCTTTAGTTGCTCCTCATAAGAGAGCTTCTGTAATATTTTCCCCCTGCAAGCATCCACTTTAAGGATTTTTCCCCAACTACACTTGTCAAGGCAGAGTAATGAATGAATCCTTTTGGTAGCAGAAAACAAAGTCCTAGGTAAAAGTTTCACTGTAATGGCTATGGGGTCTCGCATTGTTTTAGTCTGGGTGATGTCGCCACAGGCCCCCAGTCAGGTAATAATTAGCATTGACTCCATGAGTCCCAGCAGGCTGATCAATCACGTTATTATTCCATACTTATTAAGAAACCCATTGCCCTTACAGACAGTCATGATACAGGTGGACCCAACTGGTCCTTCCATCCAAACACCATCATATTGACCATTTAAGAATTCACCCTTTGGTAAAGAAATCTCCATAACACATTCCACATGTTCACAACAACAGGTGCAGCAAGTGAAGATAAGAATGTTTATCATTCTTTTCTCTGGTTTTCTCACAGCCTTCCACAGGACAATGGCTGGAAAAGTCGTGCATTGCTTTCTTAGGCCAGGGAGCTGCTGCCACAGGGTGGGCTGGTTATGAATTTCCTGTTTGGACTATTACGAGAGAGACCTGTGCTCTGAGCATTGCTAATTTAAATCCATGTCACACATTGGGTTACTCACTCACTAAACCTGTCTTGTTCCTGACATAAATATATTCCTTTACTGGATAATGTCAGTATAAATTGCCTCTGTGATTATCATAGGAACTGACAAAAGCAGTATAATCACCTTTGGCTTGGCTTAGAGAACATATCCTAAATGCTGCCCATCAAAATGTTTTTGATTATGTAATATTTGTAGCAGAAAATACAGATTAATCCAAACTGCAGTGTTTTGCCACACTACAGATCTGCCCTTCCCTGTCTGGAGGTGAAATTGCCTTTTTCCAGGCCAGCTCTCTGGCATAGCAGGATATTCAAGAGGATCTGAGGGCACAATTTGCTCTTCATTTCAGAATCACTGAGAGGATGGATATTATATTCTTACTGCTCTTGTGTAGTGCAGGATTCCCATATTACAGGGGTCCTGCTGGGGGGCCTGGGAAAAGGGGAATTTCCTACAGCATGACTTCAACTTAGACACAGCCAAAACACAAAGTCAGACTGTGCCATACATCCTCCAGGATCCAGGAGATGCAAAAAAGAAGGTGGGCTAGGGGAAGGAGATGTCCTCAAGGGCTGTCACCTTGTCTCTTCCTCAAGGGTCTTCTTCCCTCTTTGTCTGAAGTCATGGGGAAGAATTAATTCTAATTATAACTATAGTCCAGAAATTATGGTGCATACCATCATGTGCTAGGCCATACATTTGCTTCTCCTCTCTGTGGATTCCCATGCAATCCTACTAGTAGGTGGGAAATGGTTTTCAGAATCATGACAGATCTCCAGCTTATTAGTGGAAGAGTGGATTTTTTCTAGGAAAAAACACCTTTTGAAAGGAAATCTACACTACAAGGAATATTACACTACTGTATTCTAATTACTATGCTACAAGTTGAATCTGCTTGCAAGTGCTAGATGGGTGAGCATCGACTTTTGAGTTATTAAACAATGAATAAAAGGAAATCACAGGATGGAAAGTAGAAATTTTTCTCTAATTGACAGGATTTTTCTGTGCATCAAGGAAGCACTTTGCTCATGTTTCCTTTGGAATCAGAATTATGAACTCAGTTTATCAGCAGAAAGAAAGTTTTAGGAAATATTCTCTGACAATTACAGAATGGAGCTACACAGTGGACTACAGTGGGATCAGCATTTTCAATGTCAATATTTTACATTTCTGATTGTATTGGTATTGTAAGGAAGCCAGAGATAAAAAACACTTTGGCAAGTGTTCTCCTTATTAGTTAAACAGTGCTCCACTCTTATTAAAGTGCTAGTGCAAACATTTATAACCTTCTGAAAATGCCCCTCTGAAAACAGTCATTACGCTTTAAAACTTTCTGAAGGAAAACCTGGGAAAGTAAAAACGTTCTTCTTGCCATGTTAAATGAAAAATGACTGGCTTCAGTGCATAAATTTTCAACTCCCACGAAAACTGCAAGCCAGCAAAAACTGTTCCCCCAGTGCTTTGTATTGTGTTATTTATCGTTACAGAAAGAATTTCTTTTCATTAGCTTATGCCTGGCAAGAAGACATCTTAAACCACATCATGAGAGGGGAGGAGACAGTGAAGGGTGTGACTCATAATTTTTGAATGCAAAAGTCCGGCATAAAATATAAAGCTGTTGAACAGGCAGAGCTGGCTCATTGTTCTGCTGGTTTCACATGGCATTCCTTTCTTTCCCTCTCTTTTTCTTTGTGCTTTCACTCTGAAAAATCAGTTGATTTTTCTTCCCATAAGTTGCTGTAGAAATAGTTTTACTTGTTTATTAAGAAAAATACAACTCCAACTGAAAATTCCATTGCTAAGAGCTGTACCCCCACCACTATGCAGACAACAGGCCTCATTTTTATATCACATTTCCTAAAAAGGATTGACTTTCTTTGTCTCCTTAGAGTGGTAAAAGGATGTTTACTATCCACCGGTTCCTGCAAGACAGACATAATTCCTTGACAGATGAGAAACTAAGTATTCTATTTATTTCTAGCAGCACCTTGATGAGTCTGGATCGAAATTATGAAGAAATTATTGGCTCTTTAGAGAGCAAAAGGGAAGGACATTTGTCACATATACACTGCATTGATTTAAGCAGTTATAAACTCCTAGGAATCTCCATTTCAGTTTTCAGAGTACGCCGTATAGAAATACGTTTTATAAGAAATTTATTGCACAGATTAAGAATCAAGATTTTCCTCTTTTTAACAGTAATAACTAGCATTTGTCAGTATTATTTACACATCCTTAGGTAAACTAACAGTGCAGCCACCCCCATTCTGTCAGCCCCCAGGCTGAGCATCAAGTGCTATGCTGTGTCATTTGAAAGACACCAGGAATGGATGGAGCCACATTTGGAAATGGACCAAGGACAGATGGAGCTGCACCGTATAAATCTCACAGACCCACAGGTAAAGCAGAAAGCATGTTTAGACTGCAGTAATTCTGTATTATTTAAAGGGTTCAAATTGTACACAACTTTTCTTGCTTTGGGATGGCAGGAGAAAGAAAGGACTTAATGGTAATTCTCTCTATTTTCTGCCAATGACTTTGAGCTCCATATTGGCTATTTTGTCTTCTGGTGTTTTCCTGCATTCCCTACTGCTTCATGAAAGGAATTTTTTTCTGTTGTTTACCAGTGATAGCTAAACCTAGTTTCTCTTGAAGGAAATAAAGCCTGTTCTTTCTTACCACTGAACAGGCTGGTTCATAGATTATGAATGAGTGACAAGTCCCATCTGGCAAGTCCTAATTTTCTGCGCGGTATGTGAGCAAGTTCTGATGCTGGACCTCAGACTGCTCCAACCCATGTTTATCTGAGAACAGTGCAAAGATGTTTGTTTGTAAGAGTGTCCAATCTTGACGATTTCTTCAGAAAAGTATTATTTGATATTGTATTTTTAGATTCTGCTGCACACTGATGTCACAGTGTTTGCAAATAAGACACTGGAAAAAAATTTAATGAGGGACAATTAGAAGACTGTTGTTTTGTTTAGCAAGGCAAAATAAAGGCTGAAAGAAGAAAAGACTGCTGCCTATAAATAATCGAAGAGGCAAGAAGCACAGCACTAGTGAAGAAGGGCAGTCATGCAAGGTAATGAACACTATTTGCACAGGAGAAAAAAGGTCTAAAGGGGGTGCCAGTATGTATGGACACACTGGAAATTTGACAAGACATTCATTTGGGCAGGCAAGCCTATAGCAGCCTCCCAATGGGAATGGCAGATATGGAAAAAACAAACTGTATTTGTGATTGTGCTGAAAACATGTACACGAAGGGAATTTGTGATGGTGCATGGATAGCAAGGAGTGAACCTCAGCAACCAGTGGGTCTCTGCTAATTCCACATTCACTGAGAAAAGTGGAATGGTGCAGGGGACAGCTGTAGGAAGTGGTGGGTGAAGTTTCATGAGACCCACAGGCTGCAGCATGAGGAGAAACTCAAGATTCATGAAAGGGTCCACAAGTTCCACAGCTGCACTGCGGTAAGTATCCTCTGCATTTACTGTGTCACACATAAATCGTGCTTTCTGCTGTCATGTCAATGCCTGGTGAAAAATTAATCTTTAATAAAAAAGGGCACACTCCTACTGAGCAACTGCAGCAAGATGTGTGACCAACCAGGCACTATTACTTGCCTGTAAAAGAGGTAAGAGCTTCTTAATTCAAAGAGGGGCATCAGTGAGGGGGAGCAGGAAGGTGAGGACAAGAGGACATAGCCTTTAAGCTGTGCCAGGGGAGCTTTGGGTTGGATATTAGGATGAATTTCTTCACAGGAGTGATTAGCTATTGGAATGTGTAGTCCGGGAAGGTGGCAGAGTCACCATCCCGGGAGGTCTTAAAGACCGGACGTGGCACTCAGTGCCATGGCCTGGTTGGCGATGTTGTGTTCCGCCATAGGTTGGGACTCCCTGATCTCAGAGGTCTTTTCCGAACAAATTCCGTGACAGCCATGGCGGGATGGACTCGGGGCACACAGCACAAGGAGGCGCTGGGCGGCAGGGCCGCAGAGAGGCTCAGACGCAGACCCCGCGGTGCAGACCCCGGACCCAGCGGTGACTCCCAGGCCAGGAACGCGGGGTTGCCCTCCCGTGCCGCCGCCCGGGCCCTCAGTTCCCCGGGGCGGGCCCGCGCGCGGCCGCCGGCTGCCGGACTGGGCGGCGCTCCTGTCAATCAGCGCCCGCGTGCGGGCACCGCCCCCTCTTCCCGTGGTGCCTGCGCGCGGCGGGCGCTGAAATTCAAATCCCGGTAGCGGTTGGGGTGGAGGTTTGGTCGCTCGCGGGCGGCCTTGGCGAGCGGACTCTGCGCGGGCACCGGCACAGCGATGGACCCGTTCACCGAGGTGAGGGCTCGGCCTCCCCCAGGCCGGCAGCCGGGGAGGGGGCGCAGCCGGCGAGGTGGCGAGTGTCCGTGTCGGGGGCGGCCAGGACACAGAGCAGGGAAGGGGCCGGTGGGGGTCCGAAGGGAAGGAGCTACTCCTCTCAGGACGGGGTAGTTGCTCCTGGCTGAGCCCTGTCCGCCACCCTCGTCTCAGCCACCCTCGTCCCCGCTCGCGGGGGATTTGCGGGCTTGCAGCGACCCTCTTATCTCTGCAGAGGGGTGACCCTCGCTGCCCCGCCCCTGGATCCTGGCTCCTGCCGGTGCCTCCGCTACGGGAGCCGCCCGGGCTGTGTCAGGTGCTGCCGGGAGAGGACAGAGCACGGGTGATAGGCGCAAGGGTTTGCGGAGGAGAGGCCCTTTCCCGAGCCGGGAGTTCGCCTTTCATGCGCGTCTGGCAGATAAGAGTTCCAGCGGGGACGGAAGGGACCCCGGCAGCAGACGGGAGCGCTGTTGACACTCTGTGCCTGCCATACCTAAAGGTCGGAGCATAAATCTGTCCAAAGAGGAGACCATCTGATGAAAAATGCATCCTATTTGGCACGATTACCAGCTGCGATTGGTCACTTTCGTTGGCAGGCACGGTTCCTCTTTTTCTTTTTTTTTTTTTAAGGGCTGTTAGTTGTTAGGGTGAATTGGCTGTGTGCTTAAGTTTTGCAGAAACAAAATTGTAGTAAAGTGAAGAATTGGCCACCTTGAATCTGTATGAAGGTTGAAAGTTTCTTAAAGATGCTATGCTGTATTCTCATTTCACGTCAGAGGTGTAGTTTTACAGCTGTCTTGTGACTGCTTTGAGAAATGTCATAGTAAAAAGGGCCTTCAATCACAGCCTGCATAAATAAAGCCTGAACTACTTGAAAAAAAATTCTAATCAGATACACTGATGAAATACTCTCTCCTCCCCTTGTGGACAGTCTGTTTATCAAACTGACATTCTTTAGATAATTTGAGTGCCCAGAACAGGTGACTGCACAGATCTGATTTTAAAAAAACGGACATAAGGTGTTGATCTGAACAGATATACTAAATGTGTAATGCCAAGACAGTCCTACCCTATCCCCATGTAAAACCTTGCTAAGTGTAAACACCTAAAACTTTCTTCCTGAATTGGTAGTGAGTGACATGATCCAGCTTGTCTTAAATAAGCTTCAAGTCCGGACTACTGAATCAAATTTAAAATGGTTTTGCATGCTGGGAGATATTCCAACCTGTACACGCCCTTCTTGTACATAGCTGACTTTGAAATGCTTTGAAAATGACCAACTGTGAGGCCACTCCCCAGAGTAAACTTCATTCAAGTGTTAGCCAGTATTGCAGAATGCATAAAAAGTCACCTTATCAAGAATATTTCTGCTGTGGAGGACATTCCACTGTTGTGTAAAGTTCTTACCAATATTAGTGTCCTAGTATTGAAGTTTAGTAACTTTTCCCTAAGTTCTGTGAAAAGAAATTTTACCACATATTTTTAAGTATTTATGTTCTGTGGTTTGTGTTGCTATTTTTTTTTTCTTTTAATATAACCTTCCTTTAGGTTAACTGTTTTCAAATAATCTTTGTCTACACATTACCGTACTCTGTTATTGCAGGGACCTGGTGAGGCACTGTAAGTGTTGATTATGTAAAATGTAATAATTCGAATCTTAATTGGACAAAGCATACTGTTAAGTCAGTGTCTGCTGATCACTTTGCAGTGGCTAATTTTGTCTGTGTCTCATAGAATTTAAGCTCAGATAAATCTTGGTGTACGATTCGATGGAATGCTTTCAAAACAATTCTGAAATAATGTTTCTTTTGGTTAATCTTTAAAAAAAAAGCTGATAACCTTCTGAATCTCAACCAAATTATTAATACAGATTGCACTGAGGAGATGGTACACTGGGTACTTTCTCAGGATCACAGTGAACATACTATTTGTGACTCTCCATTCACAGCTGATTTTATAACTCAACTTTCTTGCACAAAAGGGTTTATATTTGTTACTATGGGATGTGAGAAATAGTCTAGGTTATTTTGTACTTTGAAGTAGTTTTTGCCATTCACAGAGGCAAGGATGGTTTCCTAGCATGGAGGATGAGCAAAGAGAAATAAGGGATGCTTATTTGGGGAAGATTTGCAAATGTGAGGTTTGAAGTTAACTGTTCCTTCAATTGCTCCCTTTGCTCTATTCTGCTAGTAAAGCAGCGTAGTTGAACAAATTGTTTAAGAACATAATCACATATCATTATATATGGGCCTAAGTATCTCCTCTAATATGTACTTTAAAACACAGAAGTTGCCCATTAACATTTGAAGTGGGAAGGTTTTTTTTCTGATTTTTAGCAAGTATTTTGTAACACAGTAATCCACTTTGACTTTGTAGTCCTCACATTGCTTGATGTAATAAAATAGGTAATGGTCTCATGCACGTTGTGTCATTCCTGGGGCTGTTCTGTGCAGGGTCAGGGGCTGGGTTTCTAGTGGGTCACTTCCAATTCGTATATTCTACGGTTTTGAACTTCTATGATACTCTGAAACTTTGTCATCAGAACAATTGGAGAATGTACTTTTAGAAAATGCCCTGTTGATGAACTTGGAAAGTAAGCCTCAAGTTGCGGAGTGTGGCTTAGTCATCGTGTGTAACAGCACCGTTGGAATTATGGCAGTTGAATGGAAAATTTGAGATGCAAGAAGCCAATAGGAGCTGGAGCTGAACAACAGAGGCGTGCATTCTTGGGAAGTGACATCTCATATGTAACAACTGAAACTCTATTTTGCTCAGCTAACAAAACAGAAAGGAATGTGCCTCTCTTTGAATAGAATTGTAGGAATACTGTTGTAAGACATATTCAACTTTTTGCAAGAAGAGCTGTTAATTTACATTGCCTTTAGGATTTTTTAATGTGGATATTACATGCACTTTGTGTCTCTGCATTTTGGAAATAAGCAAAGTTGACTTGTGGACACAACTAGCATGGAACCTGCATTGAAGGCATTCATGGCATTTCATGCATTTTGGTTTTGGGATTTTTTTTTCCAAATTCCTCTTCGGTGAAAGTTAGCAAAGCTGAGATTTGTTTTCACAAAAAAAACTGTTGAGATTGGCATTCTATTTGTCCTGTGTTGCCCTACAATAGAACATTGTTTAAGACTTCAGCCTTAGACAGTTAAAAATGTGAAATGTGTATTTAATTGCTATGCAACAGGACAGATAATGGCTGGCACAGTTCTCACAATAATTTATGTACCACCAAACAAGTGCAGTTTATATGCTTCCCTTTAAAGGCCATTAGTTCAATTGCACAATTTCTTGTCTCAACATTAAAACCTAGATCAAAAGAGTCATTAAGTATCCTTTAGATGTGATCAAACTGAGTGATAATGACTTACAAATGCTATATTTAAAACAAACAAACCACAACCTATTGTAAACCTCGGTACTGTAAGGAATCACTTTGTAGTAGTGTGGAACATTTAGTAAACCAGCTATTTTATATGGAATATAATCAGGCTACTCAAATTTCCAATGGGTAGGAAATGAGAAAGAATGTTATGTAGCTTAATTGGTATCTCTTTATAGGTTTTTTCTGTGTAGAGATATCTTAAATAAACAGGCTATTTACCATTATATAGCCAGGTATAATATCAGTTTATTCTTAAAATTTAAGCTTGAGACAAAGAAATTCACTTTTTGACTTAGAAGGTGTAATAACAATTTTTTTTAATATTAACAGCCACGCTTATATTTGTTAAACTTTTTTAGACCTCTTGACAATTGCTTCAATGTTGTTTATTTTGTTTGAGGGCTAGTGCCAGTCAGGTGACTTGACCAGATGCTTTAGCAATGTGTCAGAAAACCCTGCTAGCAAGACTTGACTGATCAAGACTGTCACATGATTCAGGATTAAAAAAAAAAAAAAAATTACTTTCAAACATTTCTGATGACTTTGGGTTCTCCAGGAGCCTCTCTTCTTTAATTTTGCCATCACTTGTGTCTCTTTAGCCTGATTTTCTTTCAGCGCCAAGCTAGTTGGAGACAATAGTTGATTTAATGACTGAAATTTGGAACCTGCTGGCTATCTATGCTAAGCAGAATTCCATCATCTTTTACTCTGAGCTGTTACCAGTTAACACACTGCAGTGTCTGGTAACACATGACTTATTCACCACTCAGAAACTCCTTGAAAGAACCCGTGCCAGGCGAGAGAACCTGCAGAGGAAAATGGCAGAGCGGCCGAAGATGGGGGCGAGGCCCACAATGCAGACCAAGAGGGCCAGAGAGCCTTTGGCAGAAACTGGTAACCAGGCACCTCTTCCTGGTGATGAAGGTATTTAGTGGCTTGTTTAATAAAGATGACTTTGATACCAGTCTCATCTTTTTTTCCAAAGGGAAAGTGAAAACCCTGAGCATTTATCTTAAACTAAACAGTGATGGATGCAGTTACTTTGCCTCTAGGACTAGCTTGTGTTTAGCTGGACCTGAGAGCACATGTGCCAAGTCATTAGTAAGCTGTTTAGAAATAATTGCATAATGCCAAAGAGAGTGCCTTGTGCTTGGTAGATTTGGGGAAGTGCATTTTTTTGGGACGTATATCAGGATATTCATAAATCATAGCTTTATTTGTACTACAATTATGTGTTGTTGGAAAATATTTTAGATTGTTTGAATACTAATTTGTTTGAATACTCTGACCTATCCAGCAAAACCAGATACAAAGCCATCACCATCAAAAAGGCTCTGCCCTAATGATATAGAGGCTCAAGCTTCTAGTTCAGAGAATGTACAGCCAGTTCCTTCAAGTTCCACAGGCCATGATTCTGCTCAGATGACTTCAGAATCACAGGAAACTGTTTCTAACAGAGCTTCATTGGTTCAGCCTCTTGAGAAAGTAAAACAAAACACCAAGTCAGAAACTCCTGCGGCCCTTTCAGTCAAAACACGTATGCAGAAGTTGGCAGAACAGCGGCGCTGCTGGGATAGTGAGGGTATGTTTTACTTGCTAAGCACCATTGGTGTCTCTCAGTGTTTGCATTGATGATTATGTTGGCTAGAAGAAGGTAATGTTGTGTGTGGGAAGATTGATGTTTTTTTAAAGAATTCTAAGACAATACTAGGGCAGGCCTAAAATATTGAAGCTGTTATGTACAGCTTAAATTTAAACTTATTTTTCTCTACTCTCATGCCTTGCTTCTCACAACACTGACATAAATTAGTAAACTGCTTGATTAAAAATTTTTAGTTTGCTTAGTCTCAGTGCCTCTGGGGCTAGTAGTTTGATTATGTTGATGGCAGGAACATCTAATTGTTGATAAACAAGTATAATGCAAAAGATACAACCGTATCTCAATATAATTTTTAGCAAAATAAATGTGTTTTCTTTTTTCCCAGATCCCTCTGAATGTGTTCCTCTGTCTCCTCTACAATCAAAAGATCTGTGTGTTTCTCCACCTAAGCAGACATCCAATGCCCTGGCAAGCGAAACCCCAATTGGGAGAAGAGGCCGTTTAGCTAACCTTGCTGCTACAATTGGTTCCTGGGAAGATGACCTAAGTCATCCATCTGCAAAGCAAAACAATGCACAAGAACAGCCTGGCACTACTTGTTTATCCAAATTGTCCACTACAAGTGGAGCATCTGCTAGAATCAATAGTAGCAGTGTAAAGCAGGAAGCTGCATCCTGTTCTCAAAGGCTTGTTGAGGCTTCTATTAATAAACCAGCAAATTCAAAGAGAGCGGTGAGTGTCTGATTTAGTTGCTGATTAAAAATTGATTTGAGTATTGTATTGGGGTGGACAAATGTTAGCACATAACTGTTTAATCTGAATTTAAAGATTTGGTGGGAGCAGTCTTAGTCTGTTTACAACTTTTGCTTTATTGCAATCCCACATGCCCTTTTTTAATAGCAGATCTGAAACAGCTTAGAATTCTTTCTATTGCGACTTAAAGATGAGAGTACTTATGTGTTTTGTTGATTTCAATGTACTTGATTGCTGCTCTTGACCATCAGAAGGGGGGCTTGTTGCAGAGATACGGGGTTTCACTCTGTAACTTCATGTAGCTGATTGACTGAAATTGTGAATGTTATTGCTGTATGAAGACTCAATCAGAATGATGAAATAAGTAGTACCAGATACTTACTGGTCAATTTATGCAATTTCTGAAATGACAATATCTGCCATTCTTGTTTAGGGAAATGTGGGATAATATTGGAAATAGCTGGCAAGAGCATCTGGAATCAAACGCTGAAACAATTTGAAATACTGGATTAAAAAAAAAAGTACTAAAATCTTAATACTTGATCTTGGTTTTTTCTTTTGTTGAAGGAACAGTTGTATTAGGTGATGGTATGCTATGCAGAGTGCTTTCATTCTTTTTCCTCTTGAGAGAATAAGATGTCTCATCTTTTATTCTTTTATTCCCTTGTTAAGGATCCAAACAATTTTTTAACGCCATCTTCAAGAGTTACTGCTCCCTGTTCTAAAGAATCTGAAGTACAACAACAGCCAACAGAGAATCCCTGCAGTCCTCGGAAAACTGAAGAGCGCACACAAACAGCGAAGTCAGCTTTGCCTCAACCAGTTCAGTCCAAAGCAGAGCCAGTCAAAGGAACACATGTGCAACTTGAACCTAAGGGTAAACCCACAACACCAGGTAGGCTGTTTGTTGGCTTCAGTAAATATTCATTCAAATTAGGCCTATGTGTGCTGTGTTGAAAACAACATACTAGTTAAGAATTTAAGGTACCGTACCAGATAATACCTATTTCCAGCTGTAACTTGAAAAAAATGCTGATGAATTCTGTGATAATGATTTTAAGTTATACAGCTACTGTATTTTGCAGGGGATGTTTTCTTGGACATGGTTTTAGTAACTCTTAAGAGAAAAAGCAGCCTAACATGTTAATTGGGATTATTCAAAATTTATTTGAGATTATTTGGTACTATATGTATCCATTTGATATAATGTCAAGAGTTTTGTTTTCTTCTATTTAGAAGAAATCAAAGCTTGTTGCCACATAGGTGCTCTAACTTTCCAGTGTCTTTATTTTCAGTGATAGTATTGATGTCAAAACAAGTGAACATCCTCAGTTTTAAATTCAACAGCTTGTTGTGTCAGAAATCTGGACTAACAGCTTGAACTCTTAAAAATGACTGCTAGAAAAGCAAGTTTTAGATATGCTGACAGTAAAAGATAAGCTTAGTCAAGCAGGGTGGATGCCAAACAACATATCCTCCCCATGTACTAGAATTTCTGTGAAAGATACAAGTGGGGCTGGTTATAGAGGTAATTTGGAAAAGGCAAACCAATTTAAATAACTGGTGTATTACATATGAACTGTAGTAAGAGAGAGAGACATCTACTTTGATTTACTGTTTTATTAACATCACTGTTAATGATTTGCATTTCAGGTTCAGTTTGTATAAAGTATAATGGAGTAAGAGCTGTAAAGGAGACAGTTTAATTGCTTCACTGGGAACCTTCATCAGGATACAAAATTGCCGTGATTTCTTTAATTTTGAGAGTTTCTTTCAAGGCAAAACAATTATTCTTGTAGGGGGATCTGGAATTAAGCCCTTCCTGGAACGCTTTGGCGAGCGCTGTCAAGAGCGTAGTGCGCGCAGCCCTGCTACGAATACTCCAGGGTGCAGAACACCCACTGTTACCCCAAATACAAGGACAATCCAGGAGAGGCTTCTCAAACAAAATGAAAATTCCTCTACTGCCAGTTTAGCACTTCAGCTTAAACAGGTATGACTTGTTCTGTTCATAGTTAGCTTATAAGCTTGGGGAAGGTTATTACTGTTCTGCCCCTACCTGAGAAATCTGAAGTGTTATGACATCTTAAGGCTGTCAGCTTTTCTCCCATCGTTTGTTTAGGAACGTGAACGAGAGCTTGCATGCCTTCGTGGCCGATTTGATCGAGGCAATCTGTGGAGTGCGGAGAAAAGTGACAGTTCAAAGAGGAAGCTTCCAGAAGCTAAAATGGTAATGTGTTACCTCATCAATCAAAATATGATACTTTGAATTGCTTTAACATATTCTGAATACAGAATTAGACGTGGAAATGTATATAAGGGATAAAAACCTGTGCTTTGGGAGTGCCTAGGCTGGCAAGACCACTTGTCTAGTGATTTGTATGATGATTAAGCAATTATTAGTTTATTTACCTCTTATAGAATCAACTAAGACAAGTGATACTGCTTTGAGCCAATTGATTTATTTACTTTTTGATGATAAGTGTGGGGGGTTTCATGTTCTATAACTGCAAAAGCAGAAGAGCTCCTCATGCAAACATTTAATATTTACTACTTCAGTTAAATATCTTGGATAAATAAATAGGGTACTGGATAGGAAACCTCTTTTTCCTAGCAGATGTTGAAATTTATTTTTTTCTGTTAGTTTCTTAGTCACTTTTAACATTACTTTCTGAATGTATTCTGTTTTTATTCTTGCCAGGAAAGCCAATCTCAAGCCAGTCCAAAACATCCTCCTAGTTCAGATGCCTCTGCTCTTGGATCAGAAGACACATCAGCAGGTGACAGGCCAGCAAAGTCTCCCAGCATGGAGTCTTCAGGTGAGAACTGCCACAGTTTGCCTGTGACTAGTGCTGGAGAGGAGTACTGCACTTGATATCCATGAGCAGAGAAAGAGGCCAGTAACACTAATGTGTGGAACTGGACCTCTCCTTTGGTTACTGGTTATCTTATCTAAATCTTGTTGTATGATAGTAGTACTCTGCACTCCTATACCACCTGGAAGGACGACAAGGCAAGACTGTCTTTTTGTTTTTCAATGGGTATACCTATGTTTCAAACTTTAATGGAGGTTAAGTGCAGAGAAGTGAATGGGAATTGTCAGTTACATATTTAGTCTATCCTGTACCTGAGTAACCAAATTTCCACAAGAAGCTAATGGGAGGGAGCTCTTCCCTTGTCAGTATCCCTTCATGATATTAATTCTTATGGTAGGACACCTGAAAAGAATTGTGAGGTGCTCCTGGCATCCTTTCTGGTGCTCACTGAGCAGATTCTTCAGCTCTCTTTGAAAAAAGTGTAAACTTAGCTAATGCTCTTGGTTCACTTGAAAGATCTATCAAATGTCCTTCTAGAAAAATTGGTTTTGCCTGCAGTGGTTTGTGTAGTGGATTTTTTGTCTTTTTAAAATTTTCACTTGCTTTTGGGTGTCTGCACTCTGATATGGTTTCAGCACTGTTTCTTGTGGTGTCAGTTTTCTGATTATAAGATTGAAGACTAGATGTACAGGTTTTGGAGGGTATTCTAATGGGTTTTTTTTGGTGTGTGGCTAACTGGAATATTTAATCTAGTGGTCTTTTTGTTAGTAAGACTTCTAAAATTCAATGACCAAAATAAAGGCTAGACATAATACTTATTTTCTTTATAAACCCCTTAGATACTTCTAAATGTGAAGAGACTGATAAATCCAGTCCTCTGAAGACCGCAGAGTCAAAGAGCCCTGTAAAAGTGATGTCTGTCTCAAAACTTGAACAACTTGATGAAAAACCAAAAGGTTTGCATTGAGTAGACATATATTAACGACTTAGCTTTCTATGGCCCCTTGTCTAGGACAGTGTTAATAGCCTTCAAGTCTGAACAATGAATTCAAATGAAAACATTTGCTGATCCCCATGTGTTTTGTAATAAGACAAATTAGGAAACTTCTATTATCATACATAGCCCTTCTCTCTTGCCATTCAAGTCTTCAAGGAATATTAAAAAGCTGATGTTAAAAGCACAGTGGAAAAGGACAGAAATGACTGCCCTACTATTTGACTTGCAGTTAAGTTTCAGATGTATTTGAACTAAAAGGTTGAAATTTGTCTGAGATGTGCATCTTTTCATTCCCTTTCTGCATTGACTATGCAGTATATGTAAAAATAGTATATTAAAATAGCTATGGAAGTGTACTTTTAGGTTCTATATGCCCGACTGCAAGAAGTGCTTTTTAACCAAGCTTGCTTGAAAAGCAAAACAAGTTTGCTTCTGTTTGTTTAATGAGAGCCTTGATGCTACTAATATATTTTAAAATGTCACCCTTCAGATGAAGTATACGAAGGCAAAATGCGTGTGGATGGTGAGATGAATGGCTCAAAAGTGATAAATGAGATTTTTGAAATTCTTCAAGAGGATGGTCCAGACATAGAAAAGCTGAAGAAAGAAATGAGTATGAGCCTGGAAGGTGAAAGTGATGAGGATGAGCAGGAAGAGTCACTGAACATTTCATCAATGTCTCTGTTAACCCCTCTAGTGGAATCCGTTGGTTCAGAGGTGCGAATTCAGGGAGGGTGGGGAAGAGTTTTTTTATCACACAGAGATGTCCAATTGGCTTGTGAGCTGTGATATTTTGTAGTATTAGGATATCTGGGCAAATAAAGAAGTTACAAAGGGTATTTTGCTAATGAAAGCATAATGAGGCAAAGTTATTTTTCTCTGAAAATAGTGTAGCATATTGGATGCTCTGCTAAACAAGTGGTCTCTGGAATCAAACCTGTTACTAGTACTGGACTTGCAGTGGTATACAAGCATTCAGTGGAGTGACTGCTGATGAAAAATCTGAAGAGAAGTAATTATGTAACTGCACTAATTTGGAAGCTAAAGGTGGCATCTCATTGAGTTCAATAATTTGTTAGTGCCCTTAAATAAATAAACTTGCTCTATGTCCGTATTTTTAAAATACCATCTGTTAAATAGTATTAAACAAATTTACTGTTTATATGTAAAACATGTAAAGGAGAGAGAAAACAGATTATTATTATTATTATGTGAACAGATAGGTGTAGTATGGTGTTTTCTTTTCCTCAGGCCTTTGGTTCTCCTTCTAAGTCAACTGGGGAAGGTAGCAGTATCAGTGATGTCAGTCTGAAGTCTGAGAAGTTCCAAAGGACCAGAGTTCCCAGGGCAGAATCTGGAGACAGTATTGGCTCTGTGTCGGAAGATCGCAATCTTCCTTACAGGTAATAAACACAACCCTGATTCTGTAAGTGTTCAAGTTAAAACATTGGCTTTTTTAACTCTTCTAATGATGCTTACTACTCAAACTACAAATTAAGCTTTTTTTGCAAGATCTGAGCCTTTATCAAAGATTGTGTAGTCTTTTATGTTGCTTAAACTTAAAATCAGCTGTTAGAATGCCTTCTTGAAAGCCAGGCAAGTTGGAAAACTTCAATATATGATACATGGCTGTGTTTGTATTAAAAAGAGCTTAGCACACCTGTGAATCATTTTGTGGGGTTTCCTTTTTCAAAAGTGTCGATGCATACAGATCCCAAAGATTTAAGGAAACTGATCGTCCTTCAATAAAGCAAATAATTGTTCGCAAAGAAGATGTGGCTTCCAGATTAGAAATGAGAAGAAATGGCCCATCTGATCAAGTCAATATCAAAAAGAAAATGCAGGTACTTAATATGCTTCTTAAAATCCTTTTTCTGATCTACTGTTTCCAAATTTAATTGCCCCTATGAAAGTCCAGGGCATTAACATACTGCTTAGAACTGCAAAATAAGGTTGTTAGGTTATTTCTATTTTGTATAAATATCTAATGGTAGGGAATGATTATGCATAATTTGAACAGCTAATGCTTCTCTTAAAAGGATCATGTTATAGATTAAGCCTGGAGAGAACAAGCCATTATTTTGAGATAGAGACAGAGAATCTATGTCTTAGCACAGCCTTTGAATTAGGCAGAATTTGTAACTACCTACTTTCAGTAGGTAACAGTCTGATCTTTACTAGTGCTTTGTTCATCTATAGTGCTGAATTTCTGGTTAGTGCTGCTTCCCTTGGTGAAGGGAAGACTTGACTGGAACATACAATATTGCAGTCTTTCACTCCCCACCATACCTCTGAGATCAAAAAAAAGTTGTGTTGTTCCTTTGCTGAAGTAACAGTTAACTGCAAGGCTTTAATAGTTTGCTATCTAAGAATCTGATTTTCTTTTGAAGCCTTGCCCCGCAAAAAGGCTCACCTAGAGACATTTCCTTGTTTGAATGCAACACTAGATCTCTCTTCTTGGTAATTATTTTTACTACTGGTTTACTGTAGGAACTGAACAATGAGATCAACATGCAACAGACAGTGATTTATCAAGCCAGTCAAGCTCTGAACTGCTGTTTTGATGAGGAGCATGGAAAAGGGTCGCAAGAAGAAGCAGAAGCAGAGAGACTTCTTCTCTTTGCAAGTAGGTTTTTCTACTCAAGTTAAATTCTTTGTAATGAACATTTTGACAAAGTTCGTAATTTCTTCCTCATTTATTGTGTTACATTGTGGCCATTTATTAATAGTTCCTCACATGGAAAAAAGAACAGGATAGTATCTGTTTTATCTCAGCTCATTTTATAGGCAAGAGGACATTTTTAGTATCTTTCTTGACCCTTATATTCATATTACACTATGATTAATATTTAAGTTGCATTTTACATACTTAGGGCAGAAAAAAATTGTTCAGTACTTTTTTTTTCTGTAGAACTGTAATTAATTTCTTTGTGCAGCTGAGAAGAGAACTGCTTTATTGGAAGAATTGAATAAACTGAAGAGTGAGGGACCACATAATAAAAGAAATAAAGCTGCTTCTGCATCCGCTGAATTTGCTCCCTCCAGGGGATCTGTTTCCATTTCAGAAATGCGTCTACCTCTAAAAGCAGACTTTGTATGTGGTACAGCTCAAAAGCCAGGTAAAACTAGCAAACAAAAGCTTTATTTCTTTTCTCCTCCTTCCTCATTCTCCCAACATGTATTTCTGGTTCATTCTCCTTGTTTTTTTTTTTTTTTTTTTTTGTCTTCTGCTTTGATGTTCTCAGAAATCTAGGGGTAATGAAAATTTAGCTATTCCATTCACTTCATCTGACTAACTTTTCAATGTTTCAGTGAAAGCTGATGTGTGGTTAAGCTGGCAAACCTAAGGAGTACAAAGAACTAAGATTATCTGCTGTTCTGACTGAAAGTTCTTCCTCTCCCCTTTCACACACTGGTTACTGTAGGTCTGGCCTGAGATGCCCCAGGCAGTAAAGCAGTTGCTGTGAATCCTATGGAGACAATTTTACTAGTAGACACAGCATAAAGAAAATAAAATTGTTTTAAGATTAAGTTTACAAACAATGTCTCAAAATGTAAAGATTCAAATGTAACTGAATATTTTAAGTAGAGTGAAACAGATGTGCTTAACAGCAATGCAGTACTTGGGGATTTTTTTTAGATACTTGGAGTCCTCTGGCTAACCAAACCATCTGATGTGTGCTTACAGAAGCAGGAAATTACTACTATGTAATAATACTGAGATCTGGAGCAGAAAACATGGTTGCAACTCCACTAGCAAGTACTGCCAGTTCCCTGAATGGAGATGCTCTTACTTTTACTACGACGTTTACTATGTAAGTATAAAGAAATTCTTCAATCAGTTGTAACTCCGGTGGAGCATGCGAAAAAACATTTGAAGTCTTAGTTATAAGAATGACATATTCTGCAACAAAGTATGGAGAGATTTTGTGGTATACCTATTTCCTTCTTCAAAAAATAGCTGGAAGGCACTTCTCTCAAAAGAGCAACCTAGACTTAATCAACCATCCATCAGCTACTTTATCTCTTGCATTTTCTGCCTTTTGTTCTTTCCTGGAACACCTGCAATGACAGATGGATTGCTGTGCCCAAGATGTGTTTTTCTCTTTTACAGCAACTAACATTTTATGTAGCTATTAGCTTTTGGTATCTGGGAAAATAGCGCTCTTACAACTATAACTTCAACTCTCACATGTCAGCTAAAATGGCATTGTGAGTTCAAATGGCTGTTTGCTAGTAAGTCTTCAAAATAAAGAAACAAACTCTGCTTTTGAAGTTCAATTGTACTGGAATTTTCACTTAAAGCTATTTACTCAAAAAACCCAGTATGTGACAGGCGAGGGTGCAGTCTGAGAAATGGTGGATGCACATTTTCTGCCCCTTGTCCTCCCCTCCCCTTTTCTGAGTTCTGGAAAGAATTTTTAAATAGTAATATATACTAAAATCTTTTTGCTCCTTGGACAGTTATAAGGAGCAAAAGGAGGGAAGAAGTAAAGAGTAACTTAAAACCCAACTAAATTAATCAAAAGAAAAAAAAACAAAAAAAAAAACCAACAACAAAAACAAACAAACGACAAAAAAAAAAAAAAAAACCCACCCACAAAAAACCCTGCCACAAATCACAACAAAAGCCTTTTTACTTCCGTTTGTTTACCTTGTTTTTTTCTTCCCTTTTAGGCATGATGTGTCAAATGACTTTGAAATAAATATAGAAGTTTACAGTTGGGTATGTATCATTTCCTGTGAAGAGGAGGTGTAAGGGAGAATGATGTGCTGTACTGTCTCAATACATTCTTGTCTTACAGGTGCAGAGAAAAGAAGGTACAAGCACTGATAAAAGGAAAAAGTCAAATAAATCTAAGGTAAATGAAACCTGAAAAATCAGTATGTAATGTTTCAACAGAAGGTGCACTAGGAAAACTGACTGATAGTCTCAGACAGTCTGTTCCTTGCTTTTACTCCCTTCTTGGAACATCTGCCATGACAGATGGATTATGGAGACCTACAGCAATTAGTAGATTGGACCTGCAGCACTTGGTTGAATCTGAAATATATTGGTGGGAAAGAAGTCTTACTAGTTCTGCAAAATACTATGCTTTGCAGACCTTTATTTATTAGATGTGGGGCCTCCAATAGTGATTTATAGCCCTTTTTCTCCAGTTAAACCATGCCGGACAATATGCCCTACCCTGGAGTTTGATTTATCTTAAAGGTTTTATTGATCAACAAAAAACTCCTCTTTCTCCCCAGTATTAAGTATAAGCACGAGATGCTTACTTTTTAAAGCAAACATTGTTTTAAAAATGATGTGCATATCAAGTGTTTGTGCCTTTTTAAGGGTATGTGAAGATATGTAACCCTAAACAAGCCTTTCCTGGAGTTGGTTTGGGTTTTTTTTTTTGTGGTGGTTTTTTTTTTTTATTTTGGGTTGCTTTTGGGGGCGTGTGTATGTATTTTTCTTTTCATTCTAAAGAGCACACAGTGAATTAATGGCTTCAGGACTGATTTCCTCCTTGACATGATATCTGTCACTTGGTAAAAACAAGAAACATGGGTGTCTTTCAAAACAGTTGGAATGAGTACTTAAGTCCTGTGTCTGCAAGAAAAAATAGGAAATTTCTTTATTCTTAGATTTGTCACAGTGAAAGCTTCTACCTATTCTCTAATAAAAAGTTCAAGTACCAGGGTTTACTTCTCTCCTGTGCTGTAGTTTAAAGGAATTTTTACTTAAAATTGAAGGATTTCATGCTACTGTAGGTAAGTTGCTGATATGAGGTTACAGGTTTGCCAGTGGCATCCTGTATCTGCTTTTTGACAACCCCTTAGACTTTCAACCTCAATAAGAGTACATAACTCCAGTTTGTGTTTAATATACAGTCTCACTTAAACTTTGAGATTTTAATTTGAAAATAATGATGTATAACAGTATATTGAACATATACTTACTTTTATTGTTAACTCTTAGTTAAGCAAATGTAACTTTGAAATCCCATTACATAGGTAAAAAGGCCTACTAAGATCGGTTTTCTGCTTTAACTTTTCTGCAGTAATTATTTCTTTGCTATGTAGCATTTCTTCCACTGAAATATATTATGTCCTGTCAAAACCCAAGACTTACTCATAGTAATGAATACCCACTCAAAATTTGAGATAAGCCTTCAGTAGTTTCACTGTCTAGTTTTCATGCAAATGTGCTGGACAAACTCAGTAGCAAATGCATTTATCTTCTTCTCTTTTGTAGGTTATTACTCCAAAGAGATTATTAACATCTATTACCTCGGTAAGTATGAACGTAATATTGTAACAAGACCTGACGATGACCCCTTACAAAGGGCATGTTCTCACACATTAGGCTGTGCCCATAAGTTCTTTCTGCTCCTTACATAAGGTTCTATAAATTGTCCAGTTTTCTGCCAAATTTTTCAGCCATCAGCTCAAGAAACAGCTCTGTTACATATGTGATGCTGGAAATATGCATTTATTTTGACTTTTCATTTTTTTTTCTATTTGATTGGGTTTTTAAAAGCACTTCAAATCTAATTTCTTTTTACCTTGGCTTTTTCTTCAGTAGAAACTATCAGAAGTACTTCTTCACTAAGCTTTTTTTTCTCTCTCTTTCTAGAAAAGCAACCTTCTTACTCCAGGTAAGTAAAGTCTGAACATCTTATGCCAGGATGAATAATCTACACTTGCTGTCAAAACTACTATATCAATAAATAATACTTGTAACAGATGACAATTTGTGAGTAATAAACACTAAATTTTCCAACCCAGAAACTGGCCCTGTGCTTATTCTGTTACCATTACATTCAACAGAAGATATCTTTACAAAATCAGGACTAAAATCTGGTATCAGATACCCACAATTTACATTTTTTTTCCTGAAAGTATGAATTCAAACTAATGTAATGATTTTAAAAGTAGAGAACAAGAGTCTGCTGTCAACAAAGTAATATAGAATAATTTGAAAATATGAACAGATCCTGAAATATTGCTTGTGTGTAGTGTTTTGTATATATATTTATATATAAAAAAGTATATAAACCTGTTTATATATTCCCGACTCTTGACAAAGAAAAATAGCACCTCTAAGTGTTTTTCTAAGTATATAAAAACATTATACACTTATCTGATTAAAGTATGTGATACTTGAGCTAGCTTTAGCAGAAATTGCAGCAATAGGAGCTCATAAACTAAATCTGGAATGTGTATCATGCTGCTGCTACTAGTAAGATTCCTGAGCTACAGTGTGTGTTTCTCATGATGTAAGTGCAAAGGAAAGGTGTACAAATTCTGGAAGATTGCAGTGTGTCACTTGAGAAGAGGTTGAGATAGACAAGTCACGTTCCTACTGCAGGGCACGTGTGCTTTGTAGTGTGCCCCAGCACACTCTCCATCCCCCTGAGATTTAAATTGCTTTGTTTTCTCATTTGTGGATGTTCTCAAACCTTGTTTCTGGAAGAAAAGATCAGCTGAGGAGGAATGGTGTGTGTCAAGATTCTCTCTGAATGTGCTGCTGAGCTGAGCTGCACTGCCAAGAGTGCTTCTCCTGGAGTTCTGAGCAGGGCATGCATGCAGTAGTGCAAATAAAAATAAAGTACTTTTTTTTAAGCCTTGCAGCATCCTGATTGTGTGTTTTGGTATGACTTCACTTTATCTTTTCTCCACAGCCATGGCCAGTCCAGGTGGCCCAAATGCCATACGCAGTACGAATTTCATCCTTGTTGGGTCCCACAAGTTATCGCTGTCTTCTGTGGGAAATACCAAATTTGCACTGGACAAGGTAATGGAAATTATTGGTTGCTAATCCAAAGGTAATTGCATGCTACTAGAAAAATAAGAGTCTGGGTTTACTTTTCAGGTGGAAGTACCATCCTAGAAATGAAACAAATATAATGGTTTATAGATAGGTTATTTATATAGACATTAAAATTTTTGCGTCGTTTTTACTTACATATAATTTCACATTAATTAAATGTAGTTTTGACATAAACAGGGAAATTTTCATTACTATGCCAGGTGCTCTTTCATTTCTGTGGCTCAGTAGAAGATATGGTTGTGCAAAGATAATGAAGGAATTTGATTACTGATTTGTTTTCACTGGCAAAAAATTGATGTATGCAGTTGGCATTTTTATATGTGGTCTTCATATTGCTGTTCCTAGTCTTGCAGTTATCACTAACGAAGGCATTGTGTTTTAATGATAATGAAGTATTTCAATTTTTCTGCACTTAATTGACTTAAAAAAATGCCATTTGAATATATTTAGGAGCTTGAGTTTTTCCTTTCATATCCCAAGAAGCAATCATCTTTAGTTTTTTGGAGAGCTATTATAGAGTTTTATGCCATTAGTTCCTTGTCTAAACAGAATGTTTATTGGCTTTTGCTATGAGAAGTTTAAAAAATACATTCTTACATTCATTGTAATCTCTAACCTTGTAATATCTAATACCTAAAACCTATTTTAATAGGTGTTTATGCCAGCAGCTATCCTAAGCTAGTTTGAATTAATTCAAATGTTACTACAGTTTATGGTAATACTAAATCATAGCTTGAGCTACCCAAACAACAGCATAAGAATAATCTTCTTTTTTTTGGCTAATCAAGTCTTACGGTGATAATAGTATTATTGCAATTACAGCTTCTGATGAGAGATGAGAAAACAAGAACTAGTTATCTTTGTGTATAAGCCTTAAAATATCCCAATAATCCCAACCTGCATTTTAGAAGTTTTACTTTTTGTAGATAGAAGCAGATTCCTTCACTGAAACAGCTGGCAGAACAATGGTTAAATTGCACTCTTGTTACTGACTTGTGAATTTCAGAAGTAGCAGCTTTGGTTCTTCAGCGTAAATGTTCCTCTTAACCAGAACTATATGTACAAATCTTTCTGGGTAGCTTACTTATTGGAAACCTCTTGTTCTTGGAGATAATGGAATCAGCTTTTGCATTATATTCAGCATTTTAGGTTTGAGCTTCATTGGTTTACGTTGTATGACAGGACACTAGACTGGACTAGTGAAAAATAGAAAAAGCACAATGTTCAAAGAGAATTCTGGGGAAACTATCCATTGGTTAATTTTTTGCAGATGCAGTCTTACAGTTAGGTGGCAAAAAGGGGAATTCTTATTCATGATTTGTTTGGGTTTTTTTTATTAAATTACTACCTCAGTAATATGTCAGTTTTGACTTGGCCTATGGCTGTACCAAACAGCTGCTTCCTCATGTATTTCTAATATGGAACAAACTGATGCCACAGTGGTTTTTTTGAGTGCCATTCCTCTCTTTTATCTATGTACTGTTAAAATGTAGGGTACAAAGGACCAAAATATATTAATATATAACTGTCCTTTTTTCTTCTAGACCATAACTTTGCACTAATTGCATTGAGCATGTTTCTTTTTTCCCTAGATAAATTTTGAAGGGGAGGAAAAAGAGCTGTTGGGCTATATGTTCCAGGACAAGGTTGCTATGTTCCTTTAGTTTCTAACTTAAAATAGGAAAATGCTTTCTAGTGCATGTTGCTTATCTCTCTCTGGCCTTTTTTTTGCAGAATTTTTTTTTTATTCTTCTGAGAAAATGCTTACAAAGATTTACTAACTAAACACAAGATGTTAGAAGCCTTTAAGACTTGCAGAGTTCTACCCCCTTCACAATAATAAGCATGCTGCTGGAACTCAGATTTAGGTTGCCTAGGGTTTTTCCTTAACTAGTATGTTTCTCTTGTCTTCCCAGATCATTAGAGGAGGGTGTTTCTTGCTTCAGAACAAACTGATGTGTTTCTTAAAGAGTTCTACTCAGGAAATTTGAGACAGCTTCTTGATGAACTACACAGAACATAGAATCAGCTGCTGTGCTGATAAGAGAACCAGAGAAAAATGTCTGGCAGCCTAAATGTTGTTTCAACTCATTGTTGCTGAAGAAGATGATAATCTCTCATAACCTAAATAATCTTTCTTCTTATTCTAACCTTGTTCTGACAAGACATATCATTTGTTTTTTTTTTTTAAGCAAAAAGTTTTGAAAATACTAAACACAACAAATAAATGAGGTCCTTATTTGTACACAAATATGCACTTAAAATATTTTGCTTGATGTATATGTTTTGGCTTTAAAATTGTATAAATTGATATCCTTACCAGAAATAATTTGTCTTTAACCTATGAAAATTGCTTTATCTAGTTAATAGTTTGAGTCCTGCAGAAGAAAGTGTTTTAAGTGAATTTTCATATTTTCTCTCAAAATTAGGCAAGTGATACTTTTAGTGCCTATCCTCTCGATTTTTAATCAAAAGTCTCCTAAGAAACCAGTTTTTCAAATGCTTGAGTTCTTTTGAGGCCCTTTACAGATAATCTTCTGTGACAGTAAGCTGTGTTCCTGTGGCAAATACCTGAGTGACCGCACCAGAATGCAAGATAGCATAGTCATGGGCTTTAGTTTTCTTTTAATCTAACTGGATATTTTTCAAACTGCTTTCTTTCTGTCACCTTTAACTCTATGAAAGGGATATATTCTAACTAGAACTCTATTTTCTCATTATGTGTACATGAGAGTGTTTTGAGACCTGCTTTAGTAATTAGTAATGGGGTTGTAGGCTCTGCAAAACTGTGTTGTGTTTGTTATACAACCTCTTCGCTTTGCCTGTCACAGAGTTCCTCACTGGTAGATTTCATAAAGTGGATTCTTCTTTTCTGACATAAAGCTTAAAGGAGATGCAAAACCCATGAACCTGAAATGGGGAATGGCCAAATATTCTTGAGGCCCTCATTCAGAAATGGGTTTACTGTGCTTTATTAGGGTTATATGCCATTATTCCTTGGTGTAGCATGTAGGGTTATAGTTGTCTTTGCTGATAAGTTGCATCAGTCCTGGATTTTTAATTTTTGTTAATGTGGAAGTGTTTTACTGTTTTTTCCTTCTCAAGTGGTCATGGAGACTCCTCCCTAATGCTTAGATTTTTTTCTGTGCTATACTATTCCTGTTGAGTACAGGAGAAAGCCATTAAGTTAGTTGAGTAGATTGAGTAGACATATGAAAATGATTTGATCACCTGCTTTTGTATGTGTGTCTTATGTATGGGAGGAAGCTGCAGGATGTCTGCAATTCCAAGGTGATCAATTTCTAACCACAACACCTATTTTGGTGTTCTGCAGAATTCACTGAGGCCCACAGATGAGCACTTGTAACTACTGAGGGTTACTCCTGCTCATCTTAACTAACAGCAAAATTTAGTTCCATTTGAATGGTATTGATTCCATAGTTCTGAAAGCTATTTTGTTACTGTGTACACATGCCTGTGCCTATTCCCTGGCAAACAGTTCTTTATTGGTATTTGAGTAGCAGCACTGACCTTCCTGTTTTTTCTAGTAATACAAAATATGTATGTTTCTGATTTTTTTGTCAATTTCTTTTCAAGATTCTTAGCAGTGCTGGTTATTCAGACTAGAAATAAAACGCAGTGTGTAGAATGCCATGCAGGTCATCATTTGCTTGAATTAGCAGTTTGCCTCAGTTTCCTTGTGAGGGAGGAGAAAAAAAGGGATGTGATTTCATGGGAGTAGTCAAGGTAATGAGGCATTATGTGTGGAGGGCTTGGGGAAAGCTCAAAGGCAGCCCTTTGTTGCATGCTCTTCCTCAAAACTCTTGACTATCAAATGACCTGACCTCTGGTACAGTAATGAAGCTAATATTTATTTTTCCAGTGACAAAAATAGGACTAGGAACCTTTTCTGTTAGAAATTACTTAACATATGTCTTTAACACCTTGAATGTTAGTTGAGAACTGTTTTCATTACTCTTCCACTTTCTAGGTTTGCTTTTATATAAAGATTTATCTGAGTAGGCTCTACTACATCAGTATCTGCCAAAAATGCTTATGGTATCCAAGCACCATTTCTGTTTAAGCTCACTTTGGTATTTTCCAAACAACTTGGTGTCAAACTGAGGCAGAAGCTTGAAAGCTGCAGACTGGTGCTTTCTGTTGTTTCTAACCATGCTTGAAGAGCCTGTTTCCATAGCTAGAGTGCATGTTTATGTATATATATCCTGATGAGCAAACTAATAAATTGGAAAGCTTCTAAATGAACTTGAAACCAAAAGTGATTATTACTGTTTTGCTTGAGTCTGACTGCTTCTTTCTGGCTGAAGGTCCTAAGAACAAGACAGTGCTAAGATCTTGGTGCAGGTGGCTTGCTTGAACTGGTAAGTCTTAGTTGAGAGGTGTCAAAATTAAATGATTGTTTTACATTTTGCAGGTTCCCTTTTTATCTCCTTTGGAAGGTCACATATATCTGAAGTTGAAATGCCAAGTGGACTCTTTGGTGGAAGAGAGAGGGTTCTTGGTAACGTATTTACTCTATTCACTTCAAACTCCTGCCTTGGAAATTACAGGTCCTATTAAATATAGTAACTTTTTAATGTCACACCTGTGTTTGAAGCTTAAAACTAGCTTGATTTTTTTTTTAATCTCTGAACAAGACCACAAATGGTTTTTAGTTTGTCTTCTATACATGTCTAAGTTAAAGCCACCTTTTAAGAGTTTGTGTATCTCTCTTCTAAACACCTGATTATTTGTTATTTTGAACTTCAATTAACCTTCTCTTGCTAAAATCTCTGATGTTAGATGAGATTTTAATTTCAATGGCAGAAAACTTTACAGGACTCTTTTTGTGTGTCTAAAAAAACAAAAGATTGGGTATTTTTCCACTGTGATCACTGCTTTTCTAAATGACAAAGAAACAACAGGGTTTTTTTGTGGTTTTTTTTTTTGAGAAAAATCTTGTGCCATTCCCTCTAAAACTGGACCTAGAAAATGCAGCTGATAGTTGGACCTAGGAGCTGGAACTGTTGAAATGCCCACAAGATGGCAGTAAATGTGCTATGAAAGTGAAACATTAACATTTGCTGTTATTTTGGTGTTTCCAGAAATCACGATTTCTTTAGACTTTTCAAACACTGTTTTCTGTCTCCTTTCCCTTTACTTAATTGAAGTCGAACAGATTTCATTAGATGCAAACACTTCACATGCTTATGGTATTTGCTGTCCCATGTTTTTGTGTACTAATTTGAGGAAGTCCGTATTTGCTTCTACTGCACAATATGTAAAACCTGAAGAACGATGTACATGCATACTGGATTTGGAAACTCCCTGCATCATTGAAAATTATAATCTGAGTTGTGAAGAGTGAGAATCACAATGCATACCTTAACTGGGAAAAAAGTTCTGTTATAAGTTCAAGAGGTATCAGGAATAGAAGTCAGATACTAAACTCTCCATTCCAGTTCTAAGGAAATGGGGCTTGAAATTGATGAAATCCAGCATCCAATAAAAGAACTGCCAACACAAACATTTAAAAATCAATTTCTAATTTCCTTTGAACTGACTAAACCTTGAGTGTGGCCTCTTGAATAGCTGCATGTTTTTAATCCTGATTTGTAAGTAAAAAAATTACTCAAATATCTAATAATAATAGTTTTTTGAATACATTTTGGGAACCATTTATACTGTATTTACTGTAAATAACTGTTCTTTACCTTAAAATAATGGCAATGCTTATCACCATCAACATGAAAATCTTGTAATTTTAAACAGCAATGATAGGTGCCCTTTTAGCAAAAGGCTGCAAACCTGAGAATGATAGTATGAGCTAATTTTCTATGCCATCTGGAAAATAAATACACTGTCTGAGTAGAACCTTCTCTCAGTATAATTTTTTCCTTCTCTTTCATTTAGTCTTATGAAGGGTTGAACTTACAGAACCATTCTGGTAAAAAAATAGTCAAAACAGACCAAACTAAAGGTACAAAGTTACCCCATTTAATTTTTTGTTTTTAAGACTATGTTTGAAGATGTCAGTGGATTTGGAGCGTGGCATAGGCGCTGGTGTGTGCTGTCTGGAAATTGTATCTCCTATTGGACATACCCAGATGATGAGAAACGAAAGGTAATGCTGTTTTGTAAAGCTTAAGCCTAAAGTTCTGTAGTACCCTACACAAATAGTTGTTCCTTTTTAAAGACAGTAATGTTTAGGTTTTAGGCTGGTAAAGCATGGGATTCAAGTTCCTAAAGCTTCCTTGGGGAATGGAGGGGACTTGTCTTCATAAAGCTGACCCTAAATCATGGCAAACTTAGAAACTGACTTCCCTGTCTAGTGGGAAAAGGGATGGAAGATCTATATTTAATTTCCCCTTTAGTCTTAAGGCCTTCCATTGTGCTCATCAAATCATTAATTATTTAATTGAAATTGATTGATTTTTACAGCTTAATAAGCAGACTGTATCTAGTTGCCTTAAGTTTTAGACAAAATGATGACTAACACTTAATATGGTAAAAAAGAGTGGGCAATCCTTGTATATTGCAGAAACATAGCTTTAATTGTGGACTATCTTATTTGAAGTCCTTGTCTTCTTGCAGCTCCACATAGTAGCTGGAACCGGTGCTTTTTAAATGGTTCTCACAGAAAACTAAGTTCTTGTTGGGCTAATGAGACAAATCAGAGGTTCATCTGTCACTGAGGTGAACCTTCTTGTCTCCTAAGAGTGTTCCTGCAGTGTATTAGATGGTTTCCAGGTTCTTTTAAAGACTGCTTTCAAGAGGGTTTTTCTGATTCACTGAAGTTATTTACCATTAAACGCTTTCTTGTTTAGTGGCAGAGCATTTTCTTTCCCAAATTCTGTGGCAAAATCTGGTCCTTTTGGGACTTCTATGCCAATCCAGATGCCTGAGTTTAGTTTCTTCCCTGCTAACAGAGGAACACCATATGCTGATAGTTGACATTGCCAAAATATATCAATGTACTTTTTTTCCTTGCCAGGAGAGAGGGAAAAATCTCTGCCTACTGTAAGACAAGATAGTAAAAAAAAAATAAAAGTTGAACAAGAAGGTTCCTATTTTGCTTTTGTCTGCAAGCAAGAAGCTTTGGTTTGTTTTGCAGATTTTGTTCTGGAAAATCTTCTAGACTTGTTTCACTATTTTTCAGAGAGAGAGTCAGCTGTGTTTTGGTGATCTGATCTACAAAAATATTAAACTTATTAAATGCATCCCCTCGCCCCTACTATATCTGTTCTATTGTACAGAGACAGATGTCACCCAGAAATATCAGTATTAGTCCATGATTACTTTAAGTCATGGGATGTGTTTTAAAATGATTTCTTACAGCTGCACTTATATCATCTTTTTGTATGGAGTAACTCACTGAGAGAAGGTGTGTTCACTTAATATCATCGAAGTTGTCAAAGCATATGTTGTTCAGAATTACTCTTGATTGCAGTGCTCTTGACTGATGAACTGATTTCACTTTCAGCACCCTTTGGGCCGGATAAACTTGGCTAACTGCACTAATCATCAGATTGAACCTGCCAACAGGGAGTTCTGTGCCCGTCCCAACACTTTTGAACTAATAACTGTCCGACCTCAGAGAGAAGATGACCGAGAGACCCTTGTCAGCCAATGCAGAGACACACTCTGTGTTACAAAGTGAGTGCATGAAATCATGGAGGTTGTGGGAGGGTATTTTACGTCATGTGATAGTTCTAGTAATGTAGGAGCTTTACAACTTTGTCATAATGATGCAAAGGTCACTTAAATGCTGAGGGTTTTGGGTGGCATTTGAACTGGTTTGTTCTCTTTTAGTCCTGACTGCTTTCTAGAAGTGGGAATGCCAGGTGGCTTGGTAGCAGGATGGTGGAATGTTTGACTTAATTTTTAACCCTACTATTTCTTGTGGGATTCTGTGGTTGATCAGCTTGACATTTGTCACAATAAATAATTGGAGGTGGAGAATAATCCACAGGGTTCCTTGCCTTCTAGGAACTGGCTGTCTGCTGATACTAAAGAAGAGCGTAACCTTTGGATGCAAAAGCTCAACCAAGTGCTCATTGACCTTCGCATGTGGCAGCCTGATGCCTGCTACAAACCTGCTGGAAAGCTTTAAACCTGGGAAAGGAACTACACAAGAAAAGAATTTAAATGAAATTGTGGAAAGTCCTCTGAGTCACTTATGCTTTAAGTTTGAGAGAGTATTTAACATTATACAGGACTATGTTATGCAGTATTTTTATTTCACTTAAAAAATTTTAAAACCTTCTTACTTCCTAATTTTGAGCATGGTAGGAAGCAATTAGCTGTTTCTCAATGTGCTAAATATTTATATAACTCCTTTTTTGGAAGTCTTCTAGCCAGGTGCATTCTCTTTTTTAAACAACTAAATTATTGCAGGAAATCACACTTCAGGGCAGGAAGGGGGGCACTAGATAGTGAAAGACAAGCTTTCCAGATAACTCAGCTCCCTGAAAGAAACAACAGTTCAAAATACTCTTAACAAGAATGCTGCTGAAGCACAAGATTCAATGTTGTAGCTTTTGTTGGAGTTCTTTTGTAATGATCAGGCATAGAAGTAACTAGTCAATTTTATCCTACAACATGCAGTATAGATAATTCTGCTTGTCCAGCATCCTTGTGGTCAGAACAAGATATGCACAACATATTCATACTACTTTTGCAATTTCTTATACAAACTAGTGTGGATAAGTGCGTGGCATGTACACTATGTGATTTGCAGGTGTGGAATTAAGTATGCAGTACATTGCACTTTGATAGAAATGGAAGGTCTTGAGTATTTTTGTTAGGACTTGTATAAAAAATCAGACAGAAAAATTTAGGTTTATGGCTGTATATGCCAGTATTTCCTGGGACTAGTGGTTTTTACAAGCTAGAATTCTCCATTTGAGAACCAGGAATAGGTTAATAGGTAGTAAAAGTGCCCTTTTTTGTTTTGTTTAATAAAAAGATTTTACAAAGCTGCTGTATACCAACTAATACTCCTCTGGCTGAAAGAATGGGTGTTCCTCCCCTTGACAGACATGTCCACAAATGCATATAAAAGCAGTACTTCAGACCCATCATGAAAATGGCAACATTCCTCAGTTAAAACTTGCAGTTTTCTTGGCTTTTCACTGAGTGTATTGAAATACCAGCTCATTACTTCACTAGGAATGCAGTAGTGGAAAACTTAAGATTGCTATTGCTGTTATATATTCACACTTGAAACACTAAATTCTGTTACCTTATACTGTTTTCATCCTGCCCCTTTTGTACTTGCTTTTAAATATTTTAAATTTTCTTTTATGATCTCTTTAAATATTTCCAAACTATGTATTGAGATTTATTTTATTCATTTAAAATAAAAAGTAAAACCCTTCCTGCTTTTTTTCATAATGTCATCTATGCAATTTGAAATACTAATTTGTAGGCTGAAGAAAAGCTGGACTCCACACAGTGTTTAAGGAAGGATTCTATTCTGTACATGTATCCCAGAATTCTACTTGATAATGTGAAGCCTTGGACACAGCTAGCTGAATTTTGTAGTAGGAGGCCAGATTGTCTGTGTGCAGCAGCTCATTAAATATGAAGAGGAGACAGGTTTTTTTTTGACAGACATGGCAGCAGAATAACAACATGGACAGTGCAAGAGCAAATTTCAGCAGTGGATGTGTGGTAGGCTGTCTTCTTAAACTCCCCAAGTGAGTGTTAAAAACCATTAATTTTTGAATTATGAAATAAGTCAACGGAAAGGTGTTAAGAACAGAACTGGATGATATTCAAGGGAACACTTTTATTTAGGCTAATCGGACTATTATCCCTTGTAGAAACCAATCTGTGTTTGTTCATTGGCCAAGTAGAAGCTCTCTTCATAAAGGAAAAGGTAAAAAGTGCAATGGGTGGTGTTAAGTTAGAAAAGCTGACCTGTGTGTTGACTTCTGAGCACATGAGTGGTGAGCACATGGGCTCCTGCGGCCAGCAGAAACATGGGACACAAGCTTAGCAGGAAGCCTGTGTTTATGGACTTCCAGGCTGGCACTGCTGGGTGCTGCCTCCTCCCCTCCCATGTTCCTCTGCTCTTTTAAGGTTTTGTGGTGAAAGTTTGCAACAATGGTTACATAGTTTTTTCATGTTTGGAGCAGATTCTTTGTGAAGAGGCCAGTCTGTGAATTCAAATAACTTCAGTTAGGTTTAGATGTTCTATGCGTCAAAAAGAGTTCTTGCTCTGATTTCAAGCAAAGCTTAAAGTTTTGTGAAAAATGTTTGCAGAGTAACATCAAGATGGACCCAGCCAGTGACATAATTCCTTCTGTATTCATTCACATGCTCTGACTTTTCCCAAAACAGACCTTGACAGACCATTTCTTCTAGAACTTCATACTGCTAATAAACTTTGAATTGCATGGAATTATAAGCAGCTTTAAACTTTTTTTCCCCATTTCTCTTTTCCCTGTGCTTTTTTCACCTTCAACCAATCTAAGCACCAGGAGACAGCTAACCTAATGGAGTAGACCAGAATTCATAGTTTGTCACTGCTTCAGCGTAAGTAAGCTTTTTCAGCAGTGTTTTTTAAATATAGGATATGTATTTTTAGAGTGGTATGGGTAAGTGATTGATGTTTGAGAGTGCAGATCTTCAGCTGTTTTTTGCATTTGAAATAATTGAGACATAGTGGTTGTAAAAGCTGATGGTTTAATAGTCCCAAAATTCATCTTTCTTTGATAAAGATAGATAGTTAATGCATTAGCTACCTATCAGGTTTCTGCATGCAGCTGTGTTTGGAGGTGCAGAGCTCACCTTGAGGCACAAGGGCATGTGCTTTGCGTTGTGTGCCTTCAGCCAGGGACAAAGCCCGTTCCTTGGTGTCCTTCAGAGACCATGTATCCAGCATGGAGCAGTTGTACTGGGCAAACCTTTGAGAAGGCTTTGCTCTGGGATTCAGCTACAGAGGTTTCAGGTTGTCTTTGAAAAGATGCTCTAATTTTATAAGAAACCTTTTTTCCCCAATGTTCAGAAATTCAGTAAATGCACAAGTGAAAAATTCTGTAAGAGAAAAATGCTTTCCTCTGGCCAATGTAGCTTATTTTAGTTGAGGAAATTTCAGTTTTACTACTTAGTAGAACTCCTAATTGGTGTTATTAAATCCCAACCTCAGATGAAATACAATAATTTGCAAAGAAATTGCCTTGAAAATTAGGTTCCAAACATGACTCCCTTCCCCCTTTTAATTGCTACACTTCTGTGTGTTGATGTAGAGAAAATAATCTGATATTCTGTAATTATTGCCTGTGCTGTACTTGGGCTGTAGTAAAAACGTGTGGATGCGCTTGTTTCTGTCCTTGTGTTGTACATAAGGAAAGATAAGAGTCCTGAAGAAGTAATACAAAAATAGGAGGTGCTTTACCTGGCCAGGGTACATGGAATGTTATGTTGTTTGAGGAGAATTTCTATGGGAAGCAAGGGGATTTCCTTGTAATGCTAAATAGTCTTCCCCAGGTCTGCCTCTAGAGTCTCCTTGGGAGACTGGATATTTTGGTAAAATCTAAATGCCTTGAATGAATTGGGGCCTTATTAACGAGCATCATTTGTTGTATTGTGTTCGTTATGTTATATGCCGATATGGTTTGTTCCTTGTACCCCTTTAAGTTGTAATGGTTCTGCCCTGGCTCTCCCTCTCCTTGATCGCCTGGTCTGTCAAATCTCTCCTCCCTGTTACCCCTAGCAACCGATGTATCCATTCCCTCAGTCCCTCCCTGGTTCCCTGTCTGTCACTCGGTGCCCCAGCCCTTCTGTCTAGAATCTTCCATCCTGGGCATCGAGTGATTGGATCAGGGGCCAGGACTCCACCCCTGCTCTTCCCCCATTGGTTTTCCCTGAGTGTCTGTTATCCTCCCACCACTCCCACCTTTACTCCGATTTGCTGAAGGCCACCTTGCCTTTCTGTATCCGCCCCGCTTTAAAAACCCAGGTCAGAGCCCAGTTGAGGGTCTTCAGCTGGTAGCACCCCAGGATGGACCCCATTCCCACTCCAGGTCATCAAGGAGTTGTGTAAGGCCCAAAAGGATTACTTCCGGGAGAGAGAGTACTTCCGGGGAATCCTGAGGGCCACACTCTCCGATTTGGTGGTCACCCCTGCGGATCTGCGGCGACTTTTTTCATGCCTTCTTAATCCCACAGAGTACATCATGTGGGAAAATTCGTGGAAAAAAGAAGTTGTCAAGGTATTACCGTCATTATGGGAAAATCCACGCACCGCCGCAGATCTGCAGGGAGGAACAATATCCAATGACCACAGGTGTGGTGGGACGGGGAGTTGGGGGGATGGGCATTCCCAGGCATGGTACATCCCCGAGGAGGTACTGAAGGAAAGTGCTAAGGCGGCCGAAAGAGCCTTCTTCGGTTTGCGATCCCCTTCCACCCCTCTTGTAACTTACTCTAAGATTATCCAGTCCACTAACGAATCGTTTGTTGTTTTCGTCGAGCGCCTCCGCCAGGCAATTGAATTGCAGGTCCAGAGTGAACCAGCTCAGATGGAAATCCTTACTGAGGTGGCGGCTGCAAACGCCAACTCCACCTGCAAAGCCGCCATCCTCAGCTTGCCTCTGGACCCACCTCCCACTTTACAACAAATGTTGGATGTCTGCACCAGGAAAGTTTCCATCCCGGCGGAGGAGCTCGACTCCAAGCACCGAACACCATCCCGGAAAATTGCGTTAGTGGACACAGAAGAGATCGCTGCCGTTTCAACCCCTTCGAGCCCTAGCCACCATTCAACTACCCCAAGGGTGCTGCGCAGGACCACCGATCCCTGTCACCTGTGCGGGAGAACTGGCCACTGGATGCCAGAGTGTCCCCTGAGGCAGGAATTCATAGACTTTAAGAAAAGACAGAGGCCTCAGGGGAACACCCTGGCAAAAAACTAGGAGTCGAGCGCGATTCCTCCCCGCGCCAAGATACAAATAGGGCAGGTTCATTTACATCCCGCGGGGGGGCGAAAAAGGGGGGAGACTCCCAACAGAGCTTGCCCGATGCCACAAATTTACCGGACTTGACTTATTCCTCTTCAACTCATACTCAGGCTATACCCAGACCCATTTTAACGACATTTTCCAAAATTGCTCCCTTCAGGTTGCAGCTGACCGAGTCCTTGCATATCCGTGACTCAAGTTTCCACCTCGTCTCAGTGTGCCCTGAAGTGACAGGTACTTGGAGTCGGATCAGATGTAAGTACATCGTGGTCGGAGACACCAAACACACCCCACTTGACATCAACATTGTCCCAGGTCTCATAACTTCAGACCTGGGGCAATTTTCTCTTGGACTGTACTGCATTCGCCCTCCCACCTTTTTGCCTCAGGGACAAATCGTGGCACAAGCCATTCCTGTCCCTGAGTTGACCTGGGACCCAGAGCTGCCAAAACCTCGACAGCAAACAGCTTTACCTGCGGTAGCCTGGGCCCGGGTCCTGAGCCGAGAAAAACCACGAATCACCTGTAGCTTGCAAAAAGGTGGGGACCAAAAGCTATTACAAGGGCTTTTGGATACTGGGGCAGATGTGACGATCATTCCCTCCAGGGAATGGCCATCACATTGGGAATTGCAAGACGTGGCTGAACTAGTCCAGGGTGTTGGGGGCATCCAATTGGCCAAACAGTCACGGAGCGTCGTGCAAATTAAGGGGCCAGACGGGCAATTTGCTTCAGTACGCCCGTTTGTTTTAGATTACACGGAACCCCTGTGGGGAAGAGACCTCCTTGCCCAATGGGGAGCCAGAATTGACCTTCCATCAGCTCCCCAAGTTTTTCGGGCCGCGGTCACTGAAGAGCGCCCTACCCAAAAACTGAATTGGAAGACCGATACGCCAGTGTGGGTAGAGCAATGGCCGCTCTCTAAGCAAAAACTGAAGGCGCTCCAGGAGCTCGTGGATGAGCAGCTGCTAAAGGGCAACCTGGTGGAGACCACATCCCCATGGAACTCCCCAGTGTTTGTCATAAAGAAACCCAAAAAAGATAAGTGGCGGCTTCTCCATGACCTCCGACAAATCAATAATGTTATTGAAGACATGGGTCCTCTCCAACCGGGGATGCCGTCCCCAACGATGCTCCCCCAAAATTGGCAATTGGCAGTCATTGACATCAAGGACTGTTTCTTTCAAATTCCCCTTCACCCTGACGATGCCCCACGTTTTGCCTTCTCGGTTCCTACCATCAACCGGGAAGCCCCAAGGAAGAGATACCATTGGCGTGTTCTTCCTCAAGGTATAAAGAACAGCCCGGTCATCTGCCAATGGTCCGTCTCTTCCTTGCTGTCCCCAGTGCGGGCAGCAGCGAGAGAGTCGATTATTTACCACTACATGGATGACATCCTGGTATGTGCTCCGACCAAAGAAGCATTGCAGTTTGCGTTGGATAGCTACACCGGCCAAATTTCGATCCACCGGCCGGCCCACAAAATTTTTAATCAAGATGTTCAATTCTTGTTATCTTTAAAAAGTGTTCAGAGTAGAACTCCTTTGAAGGCTTTGACTGTGTTTACTGATGCGTCTGGAGCATCCCACAAGTCAGTGATGACTTGGAAGGATCCTCAAACTCAGCGGTGGGAGGCTGAAGTTACTGAGGTAGAAGGATCACCTCAAGTAGCTGAGTTGGACGCAGTCATCAGGGCCTTTGAGAAGTTCCCTGAACCATTCAATCTGGTTACCGATTCATCATACGTTGCCGGTGTAGTATCCAGAGCAGAAAACGCAATATTGCAAGAGGTGTCCAACATGGCGCTGTTTAACTTGCTCTCAAAGCTTGTCAATCTAGTCTCTCACCGAGAGCAACCATTTTTTGTGAGGCATGTCAGATCCCACACTGACCTGCCGGGGTTCATCGCGGAGGGGAACCGGAGAGCTGATGCTCTAGCCGCCCCCGTCCAGGTGGCCCCGCTCCCTGACGTGTTCCACCAAGCTAAGATCAGCCACCAGCTCTTCCACCAGAATGCGCCTGGCCTCATTCGCCAATTCAAACTTACTCGTGAACAGGCCAGGGCGATCGTGGCCACATGTCCCCAGTGCCAGTCTTACCAACTGCCAGCAATGAATTTAGGCACTAACCCTAGAGGCCTCAGCAGGTGTGAGGTGTGGCAGATGGATGTCACCCATTTCCCTGAATTTCGCAAACTTAGTTATGTCCATGTGTCCGTGGACACTTTCTCTGGTGCAGTTTATGCCTCTGCCCATACAGGGGAGAAAGCACCTGACACCAAAAAACATCATCTTTTAGCTTTCTCTGTGTTGGGCATCCCAAAAATAATCAAAACGGACAACGGCCCAGCGTACAAGTCCAGGGAATTCAGGAGCTTCCTACAGCAATGGGGAATAGAGCATAAGACCGGCATCCCCTATTCCCCGACAGGCCAAGCTGTGGTGGAGAGAACCCATCAGAGCCTGAAAAAAGTCCTACAACATCAGGGTTCGGCAATGAAGATGGAGCCTCCCCAGGTCCGACTCGCAAGAGCATTTTATACTGTCAACTTCCTGAACTGCTCTTTTGATAATTTAAATCCACCCATAATCCGTCACTTCGGGCACAATGACAAGCTGCAACCAAGGGGCAGGCCTCTGGTCCTTATAAAGGATCCGGAGACCTGGAAGATGGAGGGGCCCTTTGCATTCAATTAAGGAATGTATTCCCTTATGGTTTCCTAAAATGGTGACTTGAATATTTACTTAAGTGTTAGCAGTCATCCCAAAGGAATTTCTATCTTAATATCTTAATAAAATACCCAGCATTGACTGTACCCTATAAAAAGGATCAGGATCTAGGAAAGAAGTAATACATGCTTCAATCAAAATAGTATTAGCCAAGTCATTCCCTGCCTGTTCAAAATGCTGAGTGGGTGCACATCCTACAGCCAGGCCCTATCCTTGGGTTTGGACCACAGCTCAAGAGCTGCCTCACGTGTGACAGCCTTGTGCAAGGGCTGTGCTCAGAACAAGGAGCAGAGCAACTCCACCTGAGCTTTGGGCTGTTGGGGTGTGTTTTAGTCATGTCATGTTAATGCTTTCTGTTTACTGGATCTTTTCCACCCATAATTAATGTCACTTAATGCTCTCTGGTCCCTCCATTATCAGTAAGGTGGCAAGTAGGGTAGAGCTGTCTCTGATTTTTAAATATTTCTTTATTTTGCTAAGAGCATTGGATAAGCTGGTGAAAAAATACAGTAATTCTCCATCTTTGAGTATGCCTATGAAGTAAGGGCTACCCAGTATTTTCAGTGATTCCTGTAAAAGACATAGGACGTGGTATATTATTTTCCTTAGGAAGCAAAAAAAGCAGAGATACATTACGGGTTGAAAAAAAAACCCGCTTTTTAAATACATGAAGTGTTGTCAACCTAATATCTTATTAATGGGGGAAGAGAACCTGTGCTCAGTCAGCCTGTGCTGATGCTGCCAGGCGCATCAAAATTGTAGTGCCTTGTTATTCCTGGCACACTTTAATAAGCAAATAGCAGCTAAATAATGTATTGACAGTCAAGGCAATTACATACACACAATTTACAGCAACATAATGAGTTTGGGGTTCCCCCACCCCTCTCCTTTTGGGATCAGATTAACTGTTTAAACACTGCAAACAGAAAACCTAGAAATGTTCTGCAGAAGGAAAAAAGAGTAGGTAGGGGTAGGAGTTTGCTGTATGTGGAGAAAAGAAGCACAGATTTTCAAACTGGAACAATAAATGGTCTAGCTGGCAGCTATCCTTTGATTTTTATTTTTGTAGCTCCACAGAAAAAGCATAGCCTACTTGTGCAGGTGAGATACAAACTTAAAATAATGCTCTTGTGTTATGTCCACTGCTGCTGGCTCTGATAACTTCCTCTCCACCTATTTTTGTGTGTGTTTTCAATCATCTTGACTCGTGGAAGTGCCGTCACCAATTGTGTGAGGGTTCCAGCAGTTCGGAAGTCAGTGTCCACCTTGATCTTTGAATATGGCTTCAATCTGATCATTGAATGGATTCTCCTTGCCAAGCACTTGAGGCCACTCGTGTAGTGCCTTCTGCCAGGTAATGCCTGTTCCAAGGGCTGCAGCAATCTGCAAACCACAAATGCTATCAATTTATTGTGCCTCTATAATGCCAGAGTTTAGAAGACCCCACCATAAGGCAGACTGCCCAGTATAACCATGTGATGGACTGTAACCTCTAACCAAAGGAAATACCTCATTCTAGCTGCTTGAGCAGGGCTAAATCCTTCTGAACAGTAAAAATAGGGTGAGGGCTATATATCTGCAACTCCCTGACCCGTCATTTGTCTAATAATGATAGTCTGTCTCCAACCATTTCCAGATGCCTATGGTGTCTAGTCCATAAACTGCTATTTAAAAGCAGTTTTGTTTTTTTTTTCCTCCAGTGAAACATTTTGAAAGTATGTCAAAAGCACCACCTGGGTAAAATGCGTAAAACTCTTGCAAGTCCAAAGGAATCCATGCTCCCAAATGCCTTTGGTACGTCTAATAAATGTTCTCTGTGCTCTCCTGGGAGGAAACCACAGGTGTTGAGGAAAAAGAGGCCCAATTATTTCTAGTTTCATAACTAACTGTGTCTGATGCTCTAAGTTTGCACCTGCTATTGGGTTGTCTTTAGAGTTCTTTTCCCATGAGACCTGCAGAAATGATAGAATAGCTTTTCTCCTCAATATCAGTCCCTCCAGCTTTCACAGAGGTTTTTGCCCTAAAAGTTATATACCAAAGAGAAATGTTATCTGCTGTATTTTCAGGGTGAAAAACATCAGCAGTAGCAGAAAGGGACAGAGAGAAAAGCCTGAGACTCCCTTGTCCAAGTTTTTGCACCCCTCTAAGGCATTTTTATTGTACTCCTGACCTGCAGTAATATTTGGCCTATATGGGAACTTTATTTTCAACCCAAACTTTTCAACACACTGATATTGATTGCAGTTATGAGGTTTAAGTAAGGCTAACAAAGCCTTCTTTTTTTTAAGGGCCAAGGTGGTTTTATGAAATCAAACTATTTGAGTACTGCTGTTTTGGAGATTGGGAAGATACTGGAGGCTTTTGGGAATTTTTATGTGCTACTTTTTTAATCCTGTGCTTTTAAAGAAGCTCTAATGATGGGCTGGAAGACAGAAATCTTTCTTTAAGGGCTTATGTACAAAGAGTAACGTTTGTGGGGTGGAGGCTCTTAGACTCTGGGCTCTCAAAGTCTTGTTAATCTAATGAAGGAATTGGGGCAGGGAAGAGGGATTGTGGAGATTTGTTCATTAGAGGGTTTTCTCCTGGTTGCAGTCTCTATTATGACTAAATGTTGTTCTGGAACACTCTATGGCAACCAGGGGACTGAGATCAGTCCCCTGTCAGAGTGGTCCATTCTGGCATGGTGGTCTCCAAACCTCCTTCACAAACCTCCCTAAGGCTCCCATGTGTTTTTTTAGCAGGAAAGGTGGGGTTTTTTAATTGGTTGGGTGGGTGAGTGGTTTAAAAACCCTTACTGTCTTTGCATGGTACATCTTTTGCAGAGGTATCACTGGAGGTATGCTCTACAGTGTTCAGACTAATGCTGACTCTAATTTAAGGTATGTGTGCTTAGACTGCCCAAAATTGAATTAAGTTCTGCGCATAGGTAATTTCTTGACATCCTGATGATTGCAATAATTAATTCTGGATGAGCAATTTAGCACAGAGAAGGGTTTGTGACTCTGGAAATCGCTTTCTTGCAGGTCTTTTTTAAATTTCATAGTTCTTGTACTTTGAGACGTGGTATAATTTTTATAAGCTTTGCAAATTTTGGTTATTGTTGTTGTGAAGATTACATCCCCTAAGCAAATTTTTAAAAGGAAGTATTACCCATTCCTCACAGAGCTCTGGGTGACTGCAGCTGGGAGGCAGCTGTGGTTTTTCAGCAGCTTCTGACTATCTGTTTTCCCCTTCTGCACCAAACAGGTGATAGGCATGATTCTCAGCCAAGTGTAAATACCCAACTCATCTGATATGCGTCACTTCAGCTTTTCCACTTTATTTCTGGCTGGAACCTGCTTTGCTATGACTTAAGGAAGAAAAAGGGAGAAGCTAATCACACTCAAGCTGTGCTTTCCTGCCTGTACATAAACATTAAGAATCTTCCAAGCGTCTCTGGTTCCAGTTTGTGATGCTCAGGGCTTCTGCTTTCTCCCCGGAAACATCATAAAAGCAAGAAATGAAGCTGTTTGTGCAGGATCTTGTTGAAATGCATGGCCCTGCCATCCAAACAAAGCAATCGACTGTTTTAGAGGGAAGTGGTGTCCTTGAAGCCATCTGGCATTCACAAGGATTTGCAGTGAAATTCTGTAGTAAGGAGGAGATGGTGGAGAAAATCCCTCAGCTCCCTCTATAGTCACTGGGAAGAGAAAGATTTTTTTCAAGGAAAACCAAGCCGAACTTTGGGGAATGGTGTCTCAAAAACAGCTTTAGAGGGATCTCAGGAGGACTGAGTGAATCATTTTGCTTTTGGGTGTTGAAAGTAAATAGTGTGAATTTCCTCCACCTCCATCCTGAGCTGAGTGTTTTCAAAAAATCTTTATGGAGGTAAATTTTAGCTTTGAAACTTTACTGAAATGCAGTTATGCCAATTATGAGTGTTTTGTTTGCTCCCTCCTGTTTTGCAACTTAAAAAAAAAAACAACAAAAAAACATGCAGGAAAATCCTTTTCCCACAATAAATTTACAGGAAGAGAATGTGGCTCAACAAATCAGTACGTGGTGTTCATCCCATATTTCACGATTTTTTCATACAAAATATTGCCTGGAGAGGGGACCATGGGGGCTAGTTTATTCCTGCCTGAGTGCCTAACCTAGCCTTTCTCCAGTGCATGAAAAACTGCGCTGGCTCTTATGGGACAGGGCAAGTGTGGCTTTTTTTCTTATTTTTCCTTCTCCTTGCAAGGTATGCAAGCTTAGAAAGGTTCAATTCCCTCCCACATCTCTCCAGAATGTTTGGAGGACCTCTGGACTCCTGGATATATGTGCTGACACCTGCTTCTGCCATGTTTATACAAGCAGACAACTTTTTTTTTTTTGTTTTTGTTTTTTTTTTTTTTGTTTTTTTTTTTTTTTTTTTTGTTTTGACCAGGGCAGTGATTGTCCTCCTGTACTCAGCACTTGTGGACAGAGCGGATAAACAGCAGGTGAAATTCACGGGCTGACAACAGACACCAGCTTATCCTGACCATTGCTGAACCACAGTGATTTGGGATCACCTAGTGATCACAACTTGCCAGCTCAGCCGTGGGTTGAAAGGGGCACAGAGAGTGTTTCCTTCATCCCAAACTTCAAAATTTCTTTGCATTGAAGGCAAGAGCTAAGGTGTTTATGCTTTCCTTGGAGTGCTTCTCAGTCTAAAAATTGGGAAATGTTTGTCATGCTTCGATATCTACAGAGGGAAAATTCAGCAGAAATGTGCTGGCTCGGTATCTTATCTGTTGTATTTATCAAGCTGCCTGTGAGGCATGGGGAATAGCTGTAGGGATGGAAGCAAGAGCCTCTGTTCACTTGACAACTGCATGGAATCAATCCTCTCCCGCTAGGCAGCTCTGTGTGCTACAAAAACCATACCTGGCCAGAGGCATTCATGTCAGGAGAAAGTAAAACTTTAAATAAAACTTGTATGAGGATTGAGTGAATTGTTTATCATCTTCCTTAAGCATACTCTAAAACAGCAGTCTCTGCTCACTCTTCCCCTTCTGTTTATGAAGAGGGTTACTCTTTTGGTGCAGAGTGCTACATCTCAGTCCAAATAGTGGTATGTTGATAACAGACTTCTCTAACAGGAAAAGAAAAATGGATTTACAATGGTGGATGTTTGGATAAGGCTAATTAATAAAACCTAGGAGGACAATAACTCACTTAAAGCGAGGCATATCTACAGCTGGCACCTTGACTGTAAGGGACGATGTACCTATAAAAGCATTAACGTCATGCCAGCAGCAGGAGGGAGAGATCATAACCACTGCAGGATGCCAGGTCCAGAGGGAGTGAAATATGGCAGTGCTTGACTGCATCCTGTAGCTCAGCACTCTGGGGGCTGCAAGCAGGTTTGCAGCTGCCCTTCAATGTCCTTTTGTAATTTTCTTGTGGCTTAGGGAGGATCCTGTTAGATAGTTGCCGCCTTCACTCTGTGCTACCTTGCATTTGCTGGTGGGATAGAGGATGTGGGCAGGAGGCTGGATGAAAAGCTGTGATATGACAAGCCTGACTTCCACTGTGGGCTGGTGGTGGGGGTTATAAGAAACCTTAGGCCAGCCTTAGGCCAGGGAAAGACAGGAAAATAATGCAAAGAAAATAATGCAAAAGTTTCCATTGCACTCCAGACTTTGCATTGCAGTTTCCCCAGATGGCAGGGTGGGGAATGGGCTTTGTTTCATCGCTGTTTTTACTCTCATTTCATTTGCCAGGTTTTCTCTAATTGCTTCCTTGCAAAAGGCCTGCAGCAAAAATCAAGGCACGCTTTCTCCACATCCCCAGGCTGTGAGTTCATACTTTCATGCATCTGTCTCCTGGTACTTGTGAAGTAGACAGGCAGGAATTTCTGCGATGTAGGAGTCCCTCCTTGAACAGGAAGATCTTGTAATTTGGCAAAGCTAAGCAAGGCACTGTATGGCCCCGAGTGACTAACATGAATGTAAAAGATAGCACCTAAAGCATCTATTTTCCCTTTGGACTTCCCCCTGCAGGTCTCCCCTAGCTTAATTGACAGAACAGTCAATGGAGAAGCTGCTGAAATGCTGGAATCCGTCAGTGCTTGCAACTCACTCCCGTGGAAGTGCTTCTCCACTGACTGCTCTTTCCCAGTGTAGAAAGCAGCATCACATTGGGTCATATGGAGATGGGGTTGTTGGAGTCAACACGTGCAGGGCATTATCCCACCACATAAAACTGGCCCATAAAATCCCCCCATGATTCTGAGCAGGGGCAGCTACCAAGTGGCTGGGCAGTGTGGTGGGGTTTGCTTGCAAAGGAGACTGCTGCTTTGCTCTGCACATGTGCTTGACACCTTCAGGTAGTGTATAGAAAACCAACTGACTTTGTTTGCAGCTGACTACAGAACATGGTCTCTCCATGTGTTTTTGTTGGAAAAAAACTAATTTGAAGTGCGCATGGTGGGAACCAGGCAACCTATTGCTAGATTATCAAACCCAAGCAAGGACTTACAGTGGAGCAGCTGCTTTTCCTTCCTTTTTGTTTATTTCTGTAGTAAACAGACTGTAAACCTTCTCCTGAAACCTGTCCTTGGAGGCCAAGCAAGCAAGTGAAAAAGTAATAAGATGTAGCTGCTGAGCAGAAGCAATTTAAATACATAACTTCAAAAAGAATCTTTGTTCCAGACTGTGACAGGCAAAGCTTCAGCCTCAGACCTGCAGGGCAGCAGCAGGGCTGGAGGGGGCCTGTCTGGTTTCTGCAGTGCTACGTTACTGTCCTGGTGTTTGGGCAGGCAGCTGGCCAGCCTAAGTGGCAAGGATCAGTTTTTGTGCATTAAGACCTGCTTGGCCACGATACTGGTTAGTGAGGGAAAGAGGCAGAAGACCTTGCAGGAGTCAGAGCAGAGTGCAGCCATCAGAAATATCAGAGATATCAGCTCTGGGGCTACAGCCATCATTAGATTGGCCAAAGAAGGCACCCTGGCTTGTATCAGCAATAGTGTGACCAGCAGGACCAGGGCAGTGATTGTCCTCCTGTACTCAGCACTTGTGAGGCTGCACCTCAAATCCAGTAGTCAGTTTTGGGCTCTTCTTAACAAGAAAGACATTGAGGTGCTGGAGTTTGTCCAGAGAAGAGCAACAGAGCTAGGGAAGGGTTTGGAGAATGAGTTATTGAGGAGCAGCTGAGGGAACAGAAGTTTTTTAGCCTGGAGAAAAGGAGGCTGAGGGGAGTGCTCTCTACAACCTAAAAAGATGTTGTGATGAGCTGGGGGGTGGTTTCTTCTCCCATGAAACAATTAATAGGACAAGAAAATAGCCTCAAACTGCACGGGAGAGGGGTGTTAGATTGGATATCAGAAAAAGTTATTCCAGGGAAAGGGTTGCTGAGCATTGGAACAGACTGCCAAGGGAAGTGTGCCCTACTATCCCTGGAGGTATTTAACATGTGCTGCTTTGGGACAGGGTTTACTGGTGGACCTGGCAGTGTTAGGTTAATGGCTGGCCTCCATGATCTTAGAGGTCTTTCCAACCTAAACGATTCTATGACTTTCTCTCCTTTAAAGTAGGCAGATTCCCCACATCTGCATCCCTGTGAGATGACAGCTGGATGCCTGGGGCAGCAGTAGTCATCGGAATCCCACATGCTCCCACATCCCACCTGCTCCCGCCCATCTCCTGGGGCCGGGTTTTTACCTGGCTGGGGTGGAAGCCATCGACTGGTTCGATCAGCTGCCAGGGCTCACCTCCCATCTTGCGCCACTCCTCGGCCGCTGCAAAGAGGGCAAGCAAATGGGTTTGTCACCTGTGAGCTCGGAGACCCCCGCCCAGCGACACACCCCGCTCCTCCTCAAAGCATCGCTGGTGTTTTTAGGCACACGACAGCTCTACGTGAAGATTATGATAATTCACATAGAGTTGTCAGAGCCTATAGTGTGTATAATCCCCTCTCCTTGGGGCAGTATTTAAGCCTTTATTGTTATTTTTTTTTCCTCTGTGATATTTATGCAAGGAAGTGCTTTGAACATAAATGATTGTAAAACAATTCACTTTCTCTCACAACTAAGATGGATGCTGTAGCAAGTAAAGCTGTAAATTATTTAATACTGATTTAATACTTTTGCATTTCCCATGTTAGTTGCATCTTCAGCAGTGCAAAAGAAAAAGAAGAGATAAAGAAAACAGCGCTTTTTAGAGAAAGAGATGGTAAAAGAATATTCACATGGGCTGAAGTCTGCATGAACAGGCTGTCATTTTTGGTTACTTATCTTCCAAGAGGTCTTTTTCAACTCCAACAAAATAACCTTTTGAATTACATAAGCATGACATTCAATGCAAATGATGCTGTGCTGTAAGCCCTGGAGCCATTAGAGAAGTAAAAAGCTTTCTCTCTTCAAAAAGGCTGTGGAGTGATCAAACATGGGACTAGTGGATATGGCATTAACAGAGTGTAAATTCAATAATTCCTTTCATAATGACAGATTAAGAATTCTTAATAGCATTATGCAAGCATCCTGTCAGGAGGAAAATGTTCTCCATTCAAGCGCCACAGTTTGATCTGGGCTCACCGCTGGTTTTTGGACCCTGGCTATTGTGTCACAAAGTGATGTCTGGGTCCCCATGCTAACTCTAATTCACACAAAGGTGATATTCCTGCTTTGTAGAAACCCACTTGTGATGCTTCAGGCAGTGCCCAAAGTAACCTGTTTGAAGATGTGGGGCTCGTAGGTTTGTTTCAAATTTGCAGTATGTTGGGCATAACACATATTTACCTCAGATTCCACCATGCAGTGCACATACAGATGCACAGTGAGCTTACCCAACCCCTTCTATATGGTATTGTACATGGAGTACAAGGCTGTGTACTGTGTTTTAGTACATTTTAGTTAATCTGTAGAGAGACTACTATTCCAGTGCCAGAAACAGCAGAGGAGGAAGTAAGATATGTGTCAAGATAGGTCAATTTATACTATTATACCTGACCTCCAAAAATGCTAGAGCAGTCGAGCAAATATCCACCAGCTGGATATGTCCAGAGCTTGTCTTAGAAATGCCTGTTGCCTTGGCTAGACTAGACTACAGCTTGCTCCCATCCATGTCAAGGAAAATGCATAAAAAGCAACTCCTATCCCTCTCTTTATTGCACTGCTTCATAAAGGAGTCACTAATTTCTTTAGTCAAGGTCAACATGTGAGCTTGAGTGTCCACCTAAATGTAGAATAAATGCTAATATACTCAAATTTTACTTGGAGAAAACTGAGAGCTGCTATGTACACATATATGCCCAAGCCAACCTGAAATCTATGTACTCAGTGTGTAACCACTGCTAAATATTTGATGTCTGGAGAGTTTAGGGGAGGATTTGCTGCTTCCTTCAGAAAGAGACCAGAAAAGTAGGTCAGCAGCCTTAGCTGGCTTTTGAGCACACTCGCGATCTGACAGCTTTCCTGATGGCAAGCTCGAATCCTTGGCTCCAGGGCTGCGGGAAATTTTGCAAAGTGTCTTTCAAAGCTGATGTTTGTATATGGATGTGTGATTTTGTTTACTTCATTTATTTAACACGATGTAATCAAGAACAGCAAATTATATTAAGATGTTTCCTTTTGTGAAAGCAAATAAATTAACTAAAGTTAGTAATTTAACTTATTAAAGTAATTTGCCTACCCAGCAGGTAGTTCATTCCAAATCCTAATGACTTGTTAAGTATTAAGTAGCTGAGGCAAAAGCCACCAGGAGACTTGGGCACCCTTGAAACTCTGTGCTACGAGAACGAACTTGACATTGGAGCCCACCTCTCTGACAGAAACTTTTGGACAGAAAGACTGCTGCCTCTCCCATCCTCACTTCTTTACCTCCTCCTCCTCCATATGGTCTTCATGAGACCCAGAACCAGCTTCCTGAATTGGGTCACGTAGGATAAAATAAGTTTGTGAATTTTGATGGGATTTGGCTGTAAAAGGAGATTTATTTTTTTTTTTAATAATCTTAGGTGCTGCGGTGGCTTTGTGCTTTCAAGGACAGATAAGCACTGATGGGGAGAAGCATTAGAGAAGTACACTTTAAAGCATTGACAGGACACTTCTGTCCCTTTGTGGCTTTGGATTTACATGTCTGCATGCTGGGACTTAAAATATAGTCCCCGGACAAAATTTTTCAATAAGGACTACACGGAACTACCTCTCTATGTGAACATAAAAACAAGAAAATGCAGATCAAGCTTTTTTCCTAACTATTATATATACTCTTTTTTGAATGTAAACATTCAGGCTATCTGGGAGAGGCCCCAAGGTGGTGAGGGCTGGACCCTTGCCCCATGAACGGAGGCTGAGGAACAGGGATGGTCCATTCCAGGGAAGAGCCTGTGGGAAGACAATGTGGACAGGGCCAGTCTCTTCACAGCAGTGCACACTGGGAGAGGGAGAGACAAGTTGTAACATGGGAGATTCAGGCTGGATATAGAAATAAAAAGCTGTTTTCCTACTTCCCCTTCACTGTCTAACTACTTGTAATTTGTTGCCCAACTCATTCACTCATCTCGTGCTGATCCTCATTTTTAAAAAGAAGGAGTGCATTTCTCCTTGCAGTGAGTCTGTGCTGATGCTGGGTGTTGCCTCAAGCTGGACCTTGTGCATCTTGCAAGGTAAGCAGGGCTGATTCAGGAATTCAGGGACAGGTGTTGGTCCCCAGCCCCACAGGGACACTGTCTGCTCACGCTCATGCATAACGACAAAAGTTTCCTGGGTGTTTTAATTTATTTTTAAATGTCAGTTTCAGAAGAAAGTGATTTAGGTAATGCACTTACCTAATGTCACTAAGGATCACAGAAGGATAAGTTTTGTAAGCCCTTCAAGTCAAAACTTACAGTAGTACGTAGGTGTTTAAAGAAACATAGGGAAAGATGCCAGTTACTCCTGAGAGAGGTGCTTCTACTTTTGGGAACAGTGAGAGGGTGGCTGTGTTATTGAAACAGGGAAATGGCTGATGAAAGGTCTCATTCCCAAGGCACTGCTCAGCCCAGAGGAGGCAGCATGACGCCCAGTCAGTGATGAAGTAAACTACATCTCATGAAGACCACTTTGACCACTGCAGGTATACACCTCCAGCCTAGATGACCGGTTACAAGAGCAATGTTCAGAAATAAAACCAAATCTTATGGACCAATATGGTCATCTATTGTCCTTGTCACTTTGATACCCAAGAGGAAGTGGCCAGTGTGCTGTGCATCACTGGGGTGGTGGGTGCTGGCAGCTGGGACCAGCAGGAGGCTGTAGTTCACAAGGTAGTTTTGGGATTTTGTCTCAGGAAAAGTGCCTGGTTACCCCAACCATGGAAGCCAGGAGAAGCTGGCATTAAGGATACCTCCTTGGCCACAGCCCTGCCAGCAGGGTCACCTAGACTCACTGACAGCACTGCCCTTCTCGTGGTACAGAGCCAAAATATGAGAAGTGTATCAACTGGCCAGGACTTGAGTAAATGCTTTGTGAGAAAGACAGGGTAAAAAACAACTTACTTTGTCTCAGTGGGAAATCCATGTAGAAAATATCAAAGTTGGCAAATTTCTCAGATCTTGCTATTTCTTTCAGGACATTGGAAAGTTGTAACGCTCTCTGCAAAAATCAAATGATTTAATGACTGTTCATTGCTATTCGTATTGCTTTGTATGGATTCAACTTTTGTCACTGATGTGCAGGCAGGAATTTGAAAGCTAGTGTTGCCCTTTCTTCTGGGAGACCGGAGGTGAAATGAGGCTCTTCATCGGAACATGGACTTGCATGAGCACTACCAGCCTTTGGACTACCCAGTTCATCCTCACAGACTGCACTGAGGCCTCAGCTGATTTTGTAAGTTTGTTACAGCATATGCTTATTTCTCTGGAGACCTCTTTAGTAGTGCCCCTACACTTATATAAATATTCTAAGTATCTCACTTTTGGAGCTCTTTTTTAAAGAAATGCAAAACTTTTCTGCAAGAGAAATGTCCTCTTTTCCTATTATTCTTGCCACTACTAAGATGGGGGTGATAATGCTTATCTATGCAGTCCAAATTCCACCTTCACTTTCAGAAGAGTAAATTACCACCATTGAGCGTCTGCCTGATACATCCAGTGTAATTTCTGCAGCCATAACAGAGATCAGGATCTCCTAAATATTTAAATTGTGCAGTTTGGATAATAACATAGACAATTAGTTTCAGACAGGGGCTCAGAATGATTAATTCATACCCTGCAGACATAGGCATTGTTCATGGACAGAAGTTACATGTACTCTGTGTTCTGTATTGTTGGTATGAATTATAAACTGCAGTCTTGCAAAGGTTTAGGAATGTGCTTAATGGCCTCCTCTGAAGTCAAGAGGGACGGGGCATGAAATGAAATACATATGTAAGTTTTGGTGAAATTAAGGTCATATTTTGTTGTTTAGTGAATGCAAACATTAATACAATCATACATAGCGATGACACCTTTGATAATATTCGGTTACTGACTCCTTTTTCATGGCTGCAGGGGATTGCTGGGATTAAAAATCAGCTTGTACCATAAGAAAATAAGTGGCTGTTTTTACATATCATTCACTTCTGCAGCCAGATTTTTAGGGCGAGTTTTAAGACATCTCTGTTCTGTCCGTTCCCATTCCTGCACTTAGCTGGATGCTCCCTGGTCACACCATCTGGTGATTAAGTCCACAGAAATGTGTCTGAGGAAGATTAGCACAAATCCCAAATGAAAACAGGGTAAGGCTCTTGCTCTCAGGACCTGATCCTACAGCCAGAAAAATCTATGCAGCTGGCTTGTCATACCAACAGCTCACTTGATTCAAAAGCCCTTCCTTTCTTATCAGGCACATTTTCTTCTTAAAGAACATGAACCTGAACAGTTCTGTCTCAGGAAGATCACATCCCTTGAGCATAAATTTGGATAGCTGAGAGGTTGTAACAGCAATACCTTTACAAATCCCTTAACTTGAGCATGCTGCCTCCCAGGGCCCTGAGAGGCATTTGAAAGAATAAGTGTGGATGTTTCCACAACTTCTCCTTACCTTTGGAAGAAAAAAACTGTGCTGACATCTTGCCTTTGCGGCAATTGGGCTTCTCTCCTCAGACATAGGGCAGAGTGTGTGAGCACTGGGGTGATCCCAGTGCAGCCCCATTAAGACTTACCTCCGAGGTCAGATTCCTCAGGGTCTCATTGGGGGTCAGCCAGCCGCTGCAGGGGCTCACCTGGGCAGGCATGAGGAGAGGGGATTTAGCAGCAGACCAAGATGAAAGGGGTCTCCTAGGGTACATCAGCAGACCTTACCTGGAGGCAGTCGAGGAAAGAGTAGAGTTGACTGTATGTGACATCCTTGTTCAGTTGTCCTGCAAAGCACAGAGAGCCAGACATCGTGACCAAACGTGACTTCATTCTGCACGTCTGTGCATTCCCGTGCCTTACACCCCCGGGTGGGAAGAGGCACCCCCAGAGCCTCACCACACCGCCTACCCCCAGGGTACCCTCCCACCACCAGAGCTGAGGTGGCAGTATCAAGGCATCCTTCCTGCTAAGGTGCCCGTGTCCCCACAGTGTGCAGAGCCCAACACCTGCTTTTCCTGCATCCCTCTCCTGCTGTCTCACGTGTGGGGTTAGTCATCACAGCCTGTGCCAGCCTCCAAAGTGCATGACTGATATTTTCCCATTAACCTGTCTCTCACCCGCCAAAGAAATGCAGGGTTTGCGAAGCTGAGCTGAGGGGTGGGTGCCTGTATGCACTCTGAGTTTTGCATTTACTTCCTAGAGGTTAGCCTTAAAAGGGAGAAACAATTTTGCTGTCATGGAGGGAAGTGGATATGCTTGTGTGGGTGAGGAAATTCAAGCACCAAGTCAAGCACCCAGCTAACATTCTGTAAAATTCACTGTGCTGTGCAATAGCCTGGCTTGCTGAGAAAATGATCCATTTTCTCAATCTTTTCGCTTCTTTGGTGACTACAACTAAGATGAGAATTAAATGGCCACATTTTTTTGTATTAGTTTTATTATTGTTTGTAGTACACTGATCATCCCATCAGGCTTTGATACTTTTGCAGTACTGAAATAGGAACTGAAATAGGAATTTCTTATTGTTGTTTTTAGGAACTGCAAAGTATAATCTCTCCCAAGTGAAATGGGCTTCTCAGGTTGCTTTGCAGTGGCTCCCTAATACAGATGTGTTTCCTGCCTTTCACACAGCTGCCCATCACCCAGCAGCAGTTCCAGCTGCCCAGAAAGCAAAAGGTGGGGAGTTCAAAGATCTAGGAACACTTCTGGCTACTTGGATGTTCCAGATTCCTGTAGCTTGGAGCACCAGGCCCTGGGATGAGCTGTTGTGGGGACCAGGAATTTGGTAGAAGGACAGTCTGATGTCTGGTCATGGCTGACTGGCAGCCAAATGGGGAAAACTGCTCACAGCCTGTTGGAGGATGTGCCAGAAGGGATCCCTTGCTGCAAAACGTATTGCTTAGGATTAATTGGGTCCCTCCAAGGCAAATCAGCCCCTCTGAAAATTTTCCAACTGATCCTATAGTTAATCACTCCTGATTTGGCTACGTGTTGTCTGTGATAATTAGATACCTAGTCAGAGGAATTGTTGCTGTGATAAACATGCACTCAAGGGAAGAAAAATTAATTATGACAGGTTTCCCCTGCCTTAAAAGGGGTAAGATTTTTCTCTTTTTGTTTTTTTCCTTAATTTTTTAAAAATTGGTACTAGTATAGTGGTTATGAGAGAAAAATATAGGAATAGAAATGGGAAAGATGTGAGCCCATTGGTAATTACTAGGGAATCTTGGGGAAACCACAACACAGCTGCAAGCTGTGTTACCCAGTGGTTGCCAAAATCATCTGGAGTTTTAATCTACCATTTTAATTATGTGATTTAGCTTCTCTCTCTCTTTGCTGGTGAGAACTATTATGACAACCACTTCCTGCTTGTCAGATGCAGAAAAGATTATTTTACTCCAATACAAGTAAGTTCATGCTTTTGGTCTAGAAAGCCAAGGAGTGGGTGGTCTGTTAATGGTCACAGGTACTGCGCCATTCACACTCTGAGATGACAGGATCCCAAAGGTAGCCTCCAAATCTCTGAAAAAAATGCCCCAAAGCACTTTACACTCTGAGGGAATGTCCCAAAACATGCCTGCACACAGTATGACGTTTCAGTCATCACACATAGCAAGTGTAGGAGGTGTCAGGCACCCAGTGCTGGCAGAAAATTTATTTCTCTAATATAAAAAAAGTCTTTTGGAGCCCTCTGACTTAATCTTTTGCCTTGGTCCACATACAGTTTTACAACAACATCCACCAGTCAGTGAGTGTAAACCAAATGCCCATCACCACCTGTAACAAAAATCAGGATGAAGTGCAGGCAGGCTGGCCACAATTTTGGGCCAAGACTGCAGTAGAACAGCTTGTTTAGACCACCACAACATGTGTTGAGCCTGGTTTGGAGCTGGGTGGGTATGGCTTGTGAGGCAACCACGCAAAATAGGGGTCTAACCTCTCCTGTACTGGGAATGGTAAGAGCGGTTGTTCCTACTTCTGCAGCACAGCCAATATCTGCCTCATATTTCTCAGATCTCCTCCACTCTGTCAGGTTTGCTTGAAGTCATCAATAGATTCATAGATTTTTTTAGGGAGAGAAGCTAACATGAATGGGCGGATGACCAGGAGGAACCCCACAACACCTCAAATTTACCTAGAGGATGGTATCTGTCGTGCAGGTTATCCCAGAGGAAGCGACCATCCACCAAGCCTGTCAAAATCACATGGCTGCCATTTGGAAGACGGGAGTCCAGGTATCCCAGAGCTTGCACCACATTGGAGAGCATTTCTTTGGGTGTGGTCATGTGGGCCAGTGTGTCACGTTCCCTACAGGAGAGGATGCCAATAGGACATTGTGTCAGGAATACTGTGTCCCCAGAAGGGCGCCTGAAACTGTCATTTTCTCTGTCTGCTGCTCTTCCACATTAAGTCAGCTGAATAAAACATTAGAAAAATGCTGTGATGTCTCTCACTTGTCATTGCCAAAATCAGACGTGATATAAAAACCTCCCTCCCTCGGCGTACCCCATCTCTCTGCTAAAAACAGACTAATCAATCCCTTTTTTATAGAGTAGACTCCTGTTGTGGGATAACCTCAGCGGGCAGCTAAGCATCACACAGCTGCTCACCTGCTTTCCTTCCTCCACTTCCTCCCCAGTGAGACAGGGAAAGAAGAGAGAGTAAAAGCAAGAAAACTTGGGGGTCAAGGTAAAAAACCAAACCAAACCAGTTATTGTTCAATAAGTGAAGAAGAAGTAGAAGAAGAGACAAAGGAGGCGAAGAAGTAATGCAAAACCAATCCCTCATCACAGCTGGGTGAAAGTAGGACTTCCTTCCCCATGGGTTCTTGTGCATACCTTACCTTCAGCATGTGCTTTTATTACACAAGGTAGGAATATCTAAGGTAGCTTTGTCTTTCACATGTCATACACTTCTAGCTACCGCTCTCCAGGAGAGCAGGAGAGAGGTCTGGACAAACATGTGAGCCTGGAGAGAGGTGATACCTAAGATTAAAATAGACCATTGGGGTACAGGAGCTGTATCAGTGTACCACATGGACTGAATGCCCACATTTTGTGACTCATTGTCAGGAGTGGACCTCTTCAATCCAGATTCCCCAGCTCAGGCTTATGCTTCCTCTCTTTTATTTAGCTGTAAATGCTGCAGGAGTGTGAGGGGAAATTAAATCCTAAAGTTGAAATACATTTCAATTTATATAAGAAAAACAAACAAGCAGAACCACCCCAGGCTGCCTGGAGAACACTGCTCTAGTTATGTTATTATAGCAACCACTTTATTACAGAAAAAGCGTTCACGCAGTCTCCCACCCGAGAGCTATTGCTGTGCTCTACATGGTGCACGTGTCCATAGCAGGGGCTGACAGCAAGGGGAGAACACAGCCCTGAGAAGGCTGTCCCATCCCATGAAGAGAGGATCCAGCCACCTTGGGAAGCAGGGTCTTGTGACAGTTTTCATTCCGTCTTGGTGGTGTGGCCCAGCTGAACAAGGTGTTCAGAAAGAAAGGTCAAGAAGAAAGACAGGAGGTGTCCTTCCAAGGGAGAAGGTTGCACTAATGACTACCTGTCACATTCACATTTTCTGAAAAGTCCCCTCACCCAGGATTTTTCTCCTGGGAAGCTGAGAAGCCTCAGAGAAAAAGGAAATCAATATTATATCATTTGCTTCTCCTGTGTTTTGCTCCTTTGGAATGTGTTTGGAGATTGTTTACCCACAGGTGATTGTTTCATTGGTTTCTTCTGTGAATTATTTTGACTCATTGGCCAACCAGTGCCAAGCTGTGTCAGGACTCTGGAGAGAGTAATGAGTTTTCATTATTATCTTTCTAGCCTTCTGTAAGTATCCTTTATGTATTCTTTAGTATAGTATAGTTTAGTATAGTATTCTTTAATATAATACAGTATCTTAAAATAATAAATTAGCCTTCTGAGAACATGGAGTCAGATTCATCATTCCTTCCTTCATCCGGGCACTCCACAAATACAATAACCACCCTCATTGTTTTAGTGGTTCCCACATTTTGTCCTCTTACTTGTGATCTTTGCTTGTAGAAAAGCAATCACCTTAGCGGCCAGAAGGCTCCATCCAGATCCTTTCCTTACGAAAGTCCTTTCATCTCTTTCCTGGCTTCCCAGGGGTAACAGAAGGGCAAACTTGATGCTTGCAGTGCTGAGCAAGCTGAATTGGGTCAGATTCCTTGTCAGTGAACACCATAGAAGCAGGAGCTTTCTAAACCGTTGTTGCTCTGTCGTGAGGTGTTCAAAATGTGTAGATTCAGAGAGGGGAAATGGATGTTGAATCCTGTGTGGGAGAACCATATTCCCTTAGAAGGATTTGGGATTCTTCACTGAGCTGCATTTTGCACAGAAAATAATAATTGGGTGAGTTTCCTGGACCCAGAAATTTATCTTAATGCAGTATGTGTTGCTGAAGTGTTTGAGACTTTCTAGCAGGGAGAACTGAAAAACAGCATTAGGATTCTGGTTTATCCTTGTGACAGCCACCAAATCAAGCTACTTTTGAGATAAGACTGTGGATTTGCTCTGAAATTACTTCATTTTGCCGACAGGTGTTGCAGCACTTGATTTCAAAATACTGGTCTGATGTAAGGCCTCTGCCACAAGTAAACATGTCAGCACAAGCCAAAATTAATATGACATTCATAATTCCACTTTCTCTTGTCATACAGTGTTGAATTCATGCAGGTATGTCTTCACATTTCTTTTCTATGCCAGGCTATGAAATTAAATCTGAATGAGAAGAAAGGAACCTTGTAGGCATGTTCAATTTTGGCTCTGCCATAAGGACTACAAGGTGCCTGGGTGAGCACCAGGGCCTGTTGTGGTACCCTCACCCCATTCCCCTGGGCTTGCTGCACAGGGCTGGTATGCCCAGGGCACGAGAGCTAGAGGAGCTGCCTGCTCACATGCCATTTTTAGGGCAGGAGGGGTGCAGCAGCTCTTTGGTGCTGATAGCTGTACAATGAAGTGGCACTATGCTCTTGCTGGCACTGGTGTCACTTTGTACAAGGTCCTTTTACGGTGGCTTGCTGCTCACCCTGCTTTGCTGCTACCTTGCTGTTTGTTGCAGATGCCATAAGTGAAGATGTGTGAAGGAGAGGCTGGAGAAATGGTGCCATACCTGAAATGTGACTAATACTTGCATACTTGCATTAACTGTACAGCATTTGAGACTTCTGGTGCTCATTATTTTCTTGCCTGATATTTTTTTTTTTTTTTTTTCTCTGTATCCCATATTTACACCTCAGTGGGCTGAGAGATATCATTGCCATCTGTCTTTATTTTTCTAACCCCCCCTGTTTGGACACCACAGTGTGGAGACTACAGGGAATGCGTAATACAGGCTTGCCAATTTCATTATCCTTTCCCTCTACAAAACATCCACATTACTCATTGCCCCTCTCTTCGTATGGGATGAAATACTGGCATTTTAACAGTGCTTTGGGAAGAGCTGTGTCTCCAGTATGCCCAGCACACCGCCCTCTTTTGCAGCCAAAATAGAGGATAAGGCCAGGAAGGCTGTATTACTGCAGTTTAGAGCTGTCCTTGAGGAGGTTTTTATTTGCCAAGCCCTAAGTTTGAAGTCAAACCCATCGGATGCTCTGCATCCTCTGTAACCTCTGTAAGCACATCAGAGCCAGGGCAACTACAGTAACTGGACACTGAAACAAATCTCTCTCTGCTGTCCATCCCCCTCAATGGAAACAGCACGATGCTACAGAAGCTGTGGCATCTTTCCTTGCAGGAGTCACAGGGTTCACTACAGCTTGATAGCCTCTTTTGATGCTGGGAATATTTTGGAAGAAAACAGACAGAAAACAGCAGCGAGAATTTGAGCACACAAAAGTGTCTCTGCCAGATAGTGAATGCTGGGATAAAAAGATCAGAGTTTCAAGCAAGCATTAAATACTGCTCTGGAAGGTTTTGGAATATACAAATGGGTGAGGCAAGGTCACAACGGTTTAAATTTCTGGAAAATTTCTTTTTCCTTGAGATGAGTAGAAAGCAGTGTTAGAGAGAGGGTAAGCAAAAGCCTGCAGAATAAGGAATAAAAAAAAAGGAAAAAGAGGTGCTTTTAGCAAAGGCAGTGACACAGCAGAATTGAAATATGTGCACAACAGAGCCTGGGCCAAGCCTGTAAGAAAACACCTTGAAAGTCTCCATGGCAGGAGCCATGGATTTCAGCAAAGGTGGAATTTTTATTTTTTGTGGAGGGGGAAGTAGGGGCTTTATCATCCTGGCAATGGATGCAATGATCTCTCCATAAGTTTCACGTGAATAGATCCCCAGGACAGTCTTGTCAGCAAGTACCAGTGACTGCTTTTCCCTCTCAGTCAGAGCACGGTGGCATTGCTTTTGAGGATTTGTACATCTTTTCCCTAACAGGAGCAGGGTGCTGAGAGCAGATTTGGCAGTTCTGGGCAAGGGTGCAGAGAGAGCACCAGAGGGCAAAGGTTTCATGGCAGGTGATTTCTGTGTGCTGCCTGCATGTGGCTAGGATGAGGGTCATGCCAGGAAAGGACCTAAAAGGTGCCCCTGTGGCCCCACTTCTGCCACAGCTGAGGGCTCCCAGTTTCTGCAGTGCCAAGGAAAGCTCTGCCTGGCTTTGGACATCTTCATCTGGTACACAACACCTGGCAAACGAAGTTTCAACCCATGAACTGCCTGTTAAGCAGTTTTAGGACACCAAACCTTGGCCATTTTCATGGCCACATCTGACAGCCTGCATATAGCTCCCACTTTGTTATACAATCTGCAGGTAAAAATTTTCAAAACCTTTGGCAGGAAACTTAGCTGAGTGTGCAGCATTTGTTAAAGTGAGTGTTTTGAAAGTCTCTGTGTGAGTAAGATCGATCTCTTCCATGTACAAGAAAAGCTGAAGATTGACCATGGTGAAAATAATGTTGCACTAGCAACAGCATTCAGGCCTCCTGCAAAACCAAAACTGCAGTATGGATGTGCTGTGCACTGGCCTGGTTGCAAGGTGTTTTCTGCCTTCCCACTGCCAGGAGGAAGGGAAGCATCCAGCTAGTGAACTCTTGGTGTCCCTGTGAGCACTGCTAAGGGGTAATGCCAGAAGTTTTGAAAGCTTCAGTTCATTCTCCTACAGGGTTTATGATAAAAGCCAGAAATAACAATGAATAAAGCCAGAAAGACAAAACACCTCATCAGGAGAGCACAGCAAAGAGTGCAGGAAGCAGAGGCAGGGTGAAAATGGACCTCAGTAGGGGACTATGTTGTCATTCCTCAGAAATGATGAACCAGTCATGCTCTCCCTCCTGCGAGGAGGTGGCACAATGGGTAAGATGGATATACATGCTTTTAAACACTTCCCCCCAACCCCCTCCTGTTGTTATTATTCATTTCCTCTGCTAAGTTAGAAATAATTACTTCAGACATACCATTAGTCATTTTATGACTGGCTTATAAAAGAAAGAAAGAAATGCAAGCTCCAAATGAGGACTGGTAGGTGCCTATGACAAATACAGGTAAGGAAACAACAAGTATTTTCAGCAGAAAATTAAGAAAGAAGGACCAATGGCAAAGAAAAATGCTATCATGGAGACGGACAAAGCAGTGAGACACAAATGTCCAGGCAGTCAGCAGTACTCTAAAGAAGTCAAATTTATGCTACTATGAGTGTTCATTTAGTTTACACCTTACCCATTGCAGACATCATTCCCAATTGTAGCATAGATAACTATGGCTGGATTGTCCAACAGCTGGTTTCTGGCCAAACTAAAAGATAAATATGGAGCTATGTTAATGGAGAAATACACTCTCAGTGTCTGAATCACACACCATGCTTGTGTGAGGTCACATTTGGAAGTACTCTGCTTGGATCTGGCCAATATCCAAATGACTCCTATATGTTTGAGAGGGTTTTGGTTTTTTTTCCTGTTTTTTTGTTGTTTTTTTGTTTGTTTGTTTGTTTGTTTGTTTTTTTTTGGGCAGGTTTTTTTTCCACTCTAGTTTTGTATTTTACTAAAGTGACTTAAATGAAGTTATTTTCACTTCTCCCTTTTGCTGCTCATGGACTTGTCTTTTTCACTGTTTTTCCTGCTGGCTTTCCATTTTCTTTGTGTTATTCAGAAGCCAAATCAAATAGTTTCACTTTGGGGCAAAGATATGAATCAAGATGGGAATTTTTTAATCATAGATGGGAGAGGAAGACTAGGTTTGGCTGACAACTAAATCTATGTGTAGAATTGAACTCAAGTTTAAATCAGGATGTGGTTTGAATCTCAGTGCTAGAGGGCAAGAATTCTTCTTTTTCAGGACAAGAGAAAAATAAATCCTTTAGGACACAAACTATATCAGTGTCAAGCAAACTAAATCAAACCCAGCTGACCCACAACCCACCCAAATTCATCTGAAAAGGAGAGTTGCAGCCTCTCACTACTCAGTAGCTACTCAGTTATATCCATGTGGAAATAACAGTGGGCCTGCCCATGTCTATCTACATTGGTACACGCAGTTAAGGGGACGCAACACACAGATGTATGGAAAGGCTTAGTCCCTCCCCTAAATTCCCTGGAAATACTCCACTGGCTTAACAGAGCCAAGTTCAAGGCCCTGGAGATGATGATATCCACACTTAAACCCACTTTTCTTCTGTTTATTAATGTTTATACTAGAGAAGAAAGAGCCAGCACTTCAGAGCACACCGCTCAAGGGGAGCAGTGCTTTTAGAACACTCATGGATAATATAATCCTCACAGTGATTTGCTTGTTTCTATCAAAGAGGTAGAACTCCATCAGTGCTCCTGTACCTCAAGTTAGCTCTTGAATCCTGTTAAGCACTCACCTTTTTATTAAAGAGAGGAGATTTCCTGAAGAACCGCCTGATCACACAAAAGGGGAACAAGAGAAATAGTACAACATTGTTATAGTGAATGCAAAACCAAACTACATTGCATATTTCCAAGAACGTAGAAGCACTAAAAGTAAAAATGGAGCAACAAGTCATCTCTGTAACCTTTTTAGTTGTTGGCACTAAGAAGGAAAGATATATCCAGGGACCTGCTGCTTTCTTATCTGAATTGCACACTTCAGCCTGTAGAAAATCAAATACTTTTAAGTGCAGGGTTGTTTGGATCTGGCTTTTAATCCGGATCTGGCAGCTTCTTCCCATCTGTTGAACATAGTAGTCTCCTGTAAACCAGCCAACCTGACTTGTCAACAGTCGATCTATTTTAACGTTCCCTATAAATTGCAAAGGGAACTGTTCTCACTCTTTTGAGAGAGTAAGTGTCTCACAGCTATACCACATTGGGACTGATTCAGGTTCTAAACATAGGCACCAAGTGCCATTTTTGACATCCCAGAGTATCCAAGACACCTGCAGCAGGGCTGGCAGATACATCACAAGATGCATGAGAAATTGTGCACTTCTGGAGAGGCAGCTGGAGGTGGGAAAGATACGATAAAGCACCTTAAATAGACACCAGTGTTTGGGCTCCTGCAAGGCTCTCCCCACAAGTGTCAGACTTAGATAAAATAGCATTAGGCCAGCTGCACTCCTCCCAAGAGGCTCTGCATTTCAATAGCAATTGACCCAAAGGGTTGGATGAAAATCTTTCCTCCTTGAGGAAAGGAGCTGGCTACATCTAAACATCTGTGCGCGCCTGTAATATTTCATTTAGGTTTTGAATGAGAAAAGCATTCTCATTTAGCAAAGCTTTTGTGCATTAAACATATTAGCAGGTCTTTAAAGGCTATGCATATTCATCCCAACCGCCTCCTGGAGTACTCCATCACCTGGAGTACAAGAGGGATAGCAAATAAGGAGCCAAAAAAGAATTTATGCTTTGGTCAAGATGAGACTAGGTCTGTGATTGCAAGAAGCTCACCTCATAGCAAGGTACAGAAACATACACTTCAGAGAAACAGATCCCAGAGGTTGTACTTGGTCTTATTTTTCAGTATTTTCACTCTCTCCTCTTTTTTTATTCCTTCTCCTCTTTTGTTATCCTCCTCCTATTCTCAGCTCAACGCTTCCCTGATCTCTGTCTCTTCTCTTTTCTGCATTGTGCTTCTGAAGCTTGCTTTGAGGAGTAAATCCTGCCCTGCCTGCAGCTCTTGAGGGGAAACTTGTGGACAGAACATCATTAAATCCCTGCTGGATTGGTATGGGGGAAGAGATCTAAGATATAAACCCCTAAGGTAGCAATAATGCACTTTGCATTTTAATAGTGGTGACGTTGTTATTATCACTCACAGTGATGCCAGCTGCATATATCAAGGAATCCTTTATGTTTTAAATAATCCGGTTCTTCCAAGCTGAAAATGAATGTATCAATCTGCTGCTTCTCTCCTGGGGGTTGCGGATCCATTCAAAAATCCAGCCTTTCTATTGAGAGGCTCTTTTCAGCAGAGTAAGAGCCCCACAAAAACCTCAGAAACTATGGCTTGGAACATAGCTACAAAAGTTTTTTTTTTTTTTTTTCTTTTCTGTTTAATAGCCATTCTTTCAGTTAGAGCTCAACACCCACTGTTTAAGCCATTTTGTCACGAGGCTCCCTGGACTGTGGCTGTGGTTTCAGCATAAATAAACTAGCGGGACCTCTAGAAATTAAAATGTATTTACAAAAAAGCAAGAAGCTGTTCTTGGGTATGTATTACCTCCACAAGCATAGGTAGTTATAAGCAGCTCAGTGGAAAGCATTAGCACAGTTACAAATCAAAACATCAAGAAAATGAATGGGTATTTTAGAAAGGAGGTTTTTGTGGGTAAATTGAGTCTTCAAGGAAGCTTTTGCAATGCAGAATGGAATCTATGAAGAAAACATTCAAGAGAGAAAAGGAGATGAAGCAGAACAGTTACCCTTACACTGTTCAATGCCCTGGAATCTACTCCTGGATCTTTCCTGCCTCTCTCTCTCTGTTGCTTTCCAAATATTCTCAGACCGGTGAGATTTTTTTTTAGTTTGGTTGAGAAATCAAGGTTAGGTTTGCTTCCAGTTTGAGGGAAGGGTCCACCACCTCCCGAGGATAATGGGATTTTTTTGAGAAAGGGAAGGCAGAAATCCTGTTAGCATGGAGGCTGGGGAAGCCTTTCTCCATGGTGAAGATGCATGTCCTGAGAAGAGCAGTGGGGGAATGTCCCTTTGTGCTGAGTCAGACACAGTGCTGGTGCTCTTGTAGGGGAGCTGGACAGGAATATTGTTCTTGGTGCCTGGCTTGGCTTGCCATCCCTGGGCTCTAGCTCTTGGCTGCATATCTCCTCCACCAGATCAGCATCCTTTCCTTGCACACATGTGGGGCTGTGAAGCATCATTTCCAGAGGAAGGTTTAGTTGTCCTGGCTGGGGTTAGGTCAGGCTGTTCAGCTGTTTGCTTTATTGACACTGAGGGTAGCTTTTTAAATCCTCCCATTCTGGGAAACTATTACACCAAATGAGGCAATAAAACTTAACCTTTACAATGTAGTGTCAGTGTGATGATTTAGAGAAGATATTCTGAGATTTTTCTCTTACTGGTAATTTTTCCCTTTTTAAATTCACTTCTTAATTTTCTGCAGAGTCTTTTGCTCTGACACAGGCTGACCTCTTTTTATATCCTGCAGGTGTCTGTAGTGTAAGTGGAAAAGGGTAATGTGGAGAGAAAAACGAAAGATGAACACAGTGAGAGATTATAAAAAAATCTACAAGGGAATTGGGAAAAGGAAGCACATGAAAAACTACTGCCATTAATGTAAAAAGAGCAGAACAAGATAATTAGGGTATCAGGTACGAGGCAAATTGGATGTAAATGAGAAGAACTGTTGGCCTAGTCATCCTTGACCATCTGATTTGGCCCTTTTTTAAATTCTGTCTCACCAGAAAGCCCACCTGGAGGACTGCAATGATGGGAGCCACTAACTCTAATGCCCTGCTACTTACAGGCAAGAAAGTCAGAAGCACCTGACTGATGACACCAAAGACGTTGTAAAACACTTTCACAGAAGACTCAAAGCCTCAGGAGCACCATGTGTGCCACAGGAAGGAGCAAGGCCTATGAGAGGCATTGCCAGTGTCATTGGTGCTGGCACCAGAATGCAATTTTTAAGGGGGAAATGCCCACCTGAGCCTGGAAGTGATCCCTGCATCATGATACCTGTCTGTGCAACTTCTTCTTCCTGGAAAGATCACAGACTCACAGAATCACAGAATTTTTAGGGTTGAAAGCGACTTCTGGAGATCGTCTGGTCCAACCCCCCTGCCAAGGCAGGGTCACCTCAAGCAGGTGACACAGGAACACATCCAGGTGGGTTTGGAATCTCTCCAGAGAGAGAGACTCTACACCCTCCCTGGGCAGCTGTTCAGTGCTCTGCCACCCTCAGTGTAAAGAAGTTCCTCCCTGTCTTGAGGTGAAACTTCTTGAATATAGCCATCTTATAGCCATTGGTGCTCATCCTGTTGCTGAGCACCACTAAAAGACTCCAGCACTGTCCTCTTGGCATCTGCCTTAGAGATATTTATGTGTATCTGTTTATTGGAGGTGGAGGGCTGGGGCAGATCCTTTCTGATCCAAGTTTTTTTCAGGAAATTCCAACCATTTAATAAGTTTCTAAGTAGTTCTAGAGACAGCAGGGCTCTTCATTTGTAACCAGCATGAATCATCTGCTGGAAAGGAAGAACATCCCATATAGCCAAATTATCTATCCAAGGAAAATAAATTTTCCCAAGCTTCTGCAGCCAGTTTTATGAAGCATGAAAATTAATTAAATACAATAGAAACAAAAAGGCATAATCACAGCATAATCAAGTGTCTTTTAAGCCTGCTGTTAGGGACATCAGCTAATCCAAGACACAAAAGCTAACATCATAAACCTCAATTTATAAGGAATCTACTGTCATCCCTTCATACAACCCCTCTGACAACTCAGAATTTCTTGTTTGCCTTCATTCCTCTGGTTTAAGATTTTCTCTCCTTGATAGCTTTTTTTTTTTTTTTTAAATTTCCTGCCAAACAGAGGTAAGTTTAATGAAAACCCATGTTCTTGTACCAGAACTATCCTTCAGTTTAAACCATTCTTCCCCCTCTGTGATGTTTATGCCTCAAAGGAATTCAAAATGGTAATACCTTTTAATTAATGCTTTGCTCAAATGTCAATGTGTTATATTATCCCTTCAGAAGTCTCCATTGCCCTAATCCTCCCCAAAACCTTTCCCTCTGTCTCCATCAAGGTCAGTCCTCCTTAGATAAATGGGACCAAAATCTGAGGTTTTATCAGGACTTGTATGAGGAAGGACTGTCTCCCTGTCTCTAGACAAAATGCCACGCCTGATGCACCTTGCAACCTTCTTATTCTCTTTCCTCTTTTACCCTGCAGTCTTGATGGTTTCTTGGAATTTCTCTTTGCACCCCAATGCCCCTGCCCCTCCACCACCTCTGGCTGATGGCCCACTAGTTTACAGAGAAGTCTCATCATTACTTCTGGCATACATGTTTTGTACAATTTTGCAGCATGTATTTGCTGCAATTCCTGCTCCTGCTGTTCCCAAGCTCATCTAAATTATTCCTGTGTAAGAATATGCCCCACTCCAGGATGGTTAATTTAGCATCATTCACAGAAAGCGTCAAGCATGGACCTTGGTCTTTGCTCTAAGGTCACCACTCCAAATGTTAAGGAGCATCAGCCTCAGGAGAGATGCAGGAGGAACACGGCTTCACTTTGAAACCCACTGCTCTTCCCTGCTTAGCTTCTTCTCTACCCACTTCTTATTTCTTGTGTTAATCTTCCTCTTTTTCACTGCACACTGGGGTACCAAGCAAGGCACTTTTCCTTAATTCTAGGTAGATCAGGCCTGCTGCATATTTATATGCATATTATATATATATATAAAGATGATGTTCCCCAGTCCCACAAAATAAATTAATCAGAACCAACAGTGTTCAGTTTTGTTTATGTCTTTGATTACTTATTAAAAATCTGTTCTGAGAGCACATTACAGTGCCAGTACCACTGGATTAAGTAAGTGCTGAGTTAAGTAGGTGCTGTTCTTTATTTTTCCATAAGAAATGCATGCAACTAAGAAGGGGCTTTCTTTGTTCCTGACAGATGTTCATTAATGCAGCATCAATTGTCACCATTAGTAATGTCAAAAATAATAATAATAAAAGAAGTTTAAAGAAGTCACCATACCATTCTGGGAAATGTTCTGCAAGTCTCTGTGATTACAGCGATTTCTCTTGCGTAAACGTAGATACAGAGAGTCTGTCCACCCTCTGAAATAAATTAGAAAATGCAAACTGCTGAAGTCATATGATAATGATGAAAACACAGCTGATATTAAAAACGAAGTATGTTCTCGTGTCTGAAAAATTCAATACCCCAGTTATGTATATGCTTCTATTTCACCATCTCTCTCTTTTTGTGGCCATAAATCTTTTTAATCTTGAACAGGGTGGCCTAAAATAAAGCAAAGATAACTGTTCAGAAACTATAAACTGATGAAGAGTTTCTCTGACATTGTTCCATCCAGGAACAATGCTTTTATCCTGGTCTTTCAGATAAGGCATTTAAAAACCTTTTTGTTATACATCATTTATCAAAACAATTCTGTTGGTTGTTCACAAATTGACTTTTCAATTGGCTGTTATGGAACAGTAAGTAAAAGAGAAGAAATATTGGCAGGGCAATCATTTCCCAACATCATAAATCTTGGACAGATTAATCTGAAAACAGGTTACACTTGACTGTTATAAGTTCTCTCCTTTATTTTGCACTGTTGAGAAAAAAGAAAAAAACCCACAAAAAACAAATGCAAAGGATAACAGCCCAAAGGGTGATGAAAAGATCAAGCTCCCAGCCATCAGTACACAGTACATGCTCATTTCTATCTGGGCTGCAGCTGTTTGTTTGTTTGTCTTTTTTTTTTTTTTTTTTTTTTTTTTTTTTTTTTTTTTTTTTTTTTTTTTTTTTCCTTTCAGGAGTGGAAGAGATTAAAAACTGAACACTGGACCAAGGTTTATCACTGACAACTTCAGGGGCAGTTCTAAGCTCTGATCACTTGTGAGCTTCAGATTCTTTGGAGCCCAGACAGGTCGTGTGTGCTGAGAGGCTGGACACTAACAGATTGTTAAATGTCAGTTTTGCTGTGGCTCTGATAGAGAAGGCTGCATGGATCTTTCCTGTTGGCTTGTCAAGTGGCAAACTGCCTTAAAGCAGATACTGTGGGAATGTAGCTGAGGCAGAGAGCCTGGATTTTGCACAGGGAGAAAAAAAAGGAAACAAAAAGTCCAAGTATATGGTGCAACAGATATTTTTCCTGGGGGAAAAAATGTTATTCTGCCAACTTTTTAATTCTGCTGCTAGAAAGCCTATTCAGGCTTGACCCATGCTTGGTTTGGCATTCAGCTGTATTCCTGACTTATCCTAGACATAAAAAATAAAAATGATCTGAAACTTAGGTCAGACCAGGCACTGGTTGATTATTGTATCCTACAGCTTTTGCAGGGTTCAAAGGCCTTTTAATGCTGGCCAGAGAGATGATTAATAAAAAGTTTGGTTGATTTTTATTTATTTCTTTCTTTTTTCTTAAATTTCACGGTTACAACTGCAGGTATTTCAAGGTGTTTTGGACTTTATTTTCCTTCCCTTCTGGCAGGGAGTTTATTTTTTTCCATCTATGCCTGCAACCTTCCCCATCCACATGAGCCAAACTAACACAGCAAATTAGGTCACAGACTCTCAAATTCTCCTTTTGCTATTTCCCTCTAAATGTGTTAAAAAAAACCCCAAAAAAACAACATGTGGGAGGAGAAGAAGAAAGATTTCCCCCCAGTAGGGAACACTATGAAATAACCATGGGGATACCCTTTATTCCATGTTTTTATCAGCAAAAAGGAAACATGAGGAAGAGAGGAAGATTAAAAAAAAAACAAAAACCCATAAAAAAAGAGAAAGGCTGATTTTTGTTACTTTCAGCAATGCTTTCCTTCCCCTGAATTTTGTAAAAAAATTGTAAAAAAAATAGTTTATCTTTTATTTCTTTGGGGTTTTTCTCTTTCTAAGTTACAGTTTGAGTGGTTCTAAAACCTACCCTGAATTTCAGGAAGACTTGCTTATATATTTAAAATATCTTTTAAAACCCAAGATCCAGGGTTGATCTTGGTTTTAGTAAGAGCAGATGCAGATCTGAATGGTATTTTTCTCTTTCCTTTCAAGATGTTTCGGGTTTTTTTCCTTGCTGTGCTCTGAGAGATCTAGAGACTTGCTATGGCTTGGCCACCCTGTCTGTTGGCTTACCCGATGGTGGAATTGAGAAATCCAGTGATCTCTGAGAACTGGGGCCAGTCAAACTCATCACTGAAAGCCATGGGGAGATTAGCAAATGATTTCTGAAAGAGAAATTTTAAAATCAACCCAGTTTCACCCTCACAGACATAAAATCCCCTTAGCAAATTTGAGCACTTCTTAGCCAGGGCATTAGCCAGACAACAGCAATTATTACTGCCAGTAGTAGTGGTACTTATATATGCATATACTTTAAAAGTTGGCTTTTATAAGACAGGCATATGAAGAGATGGAGGAAAGAAAAGCAGGGGAGATATCTGAATTGCAGCTCTTGGCGCCCTTTTTTCCTGAAAGAACCCAAAACTCCTGAAAGAGTCCAAAACTCCTCCTTACGTGAGCAGGTAGTGCCGGTGCAGACCCCCAAGGCAGCAGCTGATTGCTCCAGCACCCGCTCTGCCCAAAGGTGTGTCAGCCTTGGGTACAGGAAGAGATGACAGTGTGATGTCCCCAGGGAATATGGCAAAGGCATAATGTCACATTCTCTCAAAGGTCCCCTGCCCTCTACAGCAGGATGAGCTGAGAACAGCCAATCCCCTGAAAACCTCTGCCTGGTCCTCACTAAATTTTGGGGATGGCACCAAAGCAACAGGGTCAGCAAGACCTCTGAGCATGGCAGGGACAAGGGAGAAAAACACCTGACATAACCTTCCTGTGCAAATACATGCTTCCTTTACCCTACTCTGTTTTGCTAATGTTGGTCCCTAATGCTTTTTTACAGCAACCCTGTGAAAGCCTCTCTACAGATGCAAGCCATGTTGCACATTCGAAACACAGTGCCCTGTTCTTTCGCATTTTGTTTTCTGAAAGTCCCAAAAATCATGAAAGGTTAGGAAAATAGCCTTGATAAATTGTGCCACCTCAGAAGGACAGAACATGGAGTAAATTTCCAGCTTCTCCTAGTCTGGGGTACACTTGCAAAGACAAATGTATAAATCCAGTGTGCTCATAAAGAGGAAAACTGCTGATGAAAAAGGTAATAACCAAAAGAAGGTCAAAACATAAAATCAGAGAACCTACAGGCTGGTTTAATCCATATAATTTATTAGCTTCATTTTCTCTTGAAGCAATTGTGGGGTTTCCTTCAGACCTCACTGCTATAAACAACAAGCAGGTGGGTAATTCTTTATCCAGGAGGGTGAGAGTAACTGAGGAGCTAGAGTACAGCTAAATCTTGTGCTGCCCACCAAGTTCTAATTCCAAAAAAATTATTGTTTAGGTGAATGGGAGCTATACTTGAGGATATTGGTTAAGTTTATGTCTAAGGATTTTGACTGTAAGAGGATGGAGGGAGATGCAGGGAAAAGGGAAGAAAGGCAAGTAAATGGGGGGTTGTGTCAGACAGAAAATCCTGAAGCCATGCTCTGAGCAGTCTAGTGCACAGCAGATGCCAGTTTGAAGCATGTAACAGCACATTTGACCCACTTACAGTACATCTGCATTAGTTACCAAGGTGAAAAGAGGCCTGTTTTAATTATCTTTCAGTTTGTTTTCTCTTTCTCACATACATATGTGTCCTTGTATGTATGTGTACATATAGATATAAAAATTTTGAAAAAAATCATTTTTTAGGGCTGCAGGGCAACTTCAAATTTGCCTTCAAATCTGTTAGTTTTGTGTGCAAACAAGCACTTATTCCAAGGGCATTGCTATGAGCAGAAGTGGAGGGATACAGCACAGCTTGGCCATTTGCAATATTTTCCTCCTTGCAGGTTTGCATTAGAGGTGAGAGAAACAGTCACCTAGGACAGAAAAAAACCCCTGCAGATATGATCTCTTATAAGTGACACATATATTAGAATATAAAAGAGATAAGAATTATTTAATACAGATTTTTAAACAGATCATTTTATATACAATTCTCTCATTATTTACCATTGGCACTCCAAAACAATATCTTCATTGGACAAGTCCCAATAATTTTTAACTGTTTGGGTGTTTTTTTCCCTGCAAACTTGGCTTAAATATGAATTTTTCAGAACGTAATTGAGTTGCAAATTGATTTGAAGAGGAACGTTTGAGCCCAAAATTATAGTTGCATTTGAAAACTGGATATGCATTTAGCATTGACACTGTTCCAACAAAGCACTTAAGGGCCAGAATTTTTGAAGATATTTCAGGTCCAAAGGGTGAAGATGAGTAGTTAATGGAAAATTCAGAAGAATGCTGAACCTTAAACTCTGCATTGATGTAGTTTGGAAAGTACAGCCTAACAGACTGTGTTGCTTAGTCTCAGATGCAAATGTGTCCCACTCTAGAGGTGCAACTGTGTTGACTTTTAGCATAAAACTCTCTTGAGCACAGCCTTGTTTAAATACCATTCTCTAGACTATTCTGGCTGAGAAACCTACTTCAGCCCACGTGCCAGATTTTAGCAGAGAATGAGTAGAAAATTATTCCAGCCTAGCTTCAAATGCCATATTTTAGCATCAAATGCTTTAGATGGGTCTCATTCCAGTGAATAACCTCTTCTCCTAGATGTGTCCTGCCTTGAAGCATGGGACAGCCAAAGCCATGGCTGATGCTAAACGCACACGTGCCAAGCTGTGCTTAAATGGAAGAAGGCTCAGGGTTGCTGTGGCAAGAGATTTTCAAAATCAAAATACAAAAGGGCACTGGAAATCTAACACTCATATGAGCCTTTCCACCCTGGAAATCTTGAAATCATTGAGGTATACCTTAATCTGAAGGAAAATTGGGTGTTTCTTTTTTATCATTATTTTAATGCCATTCAAATCCTGGTGAGAGCATTAAGTACCACAGACAACTTTGTTATTCTAAGTATACAAATAAGCAAACCTTAGACTCTTGAGAAAAGCACAGCCTATCTTTTTGAAAAGCAAAAATTGCATTTCTGCTCTGTAAAGCTGCAAGGGACAGAGGTTTGAAGTTAGCAAAACTGTTAGCTTATTCCCCACAAAATGAAATGCCTTAGTCATGACAATACAAACTTGGAGAAACCTGCCTGCATTTCACTGGATCTAGAGGAATGATAGATAATTTTTTAAAGAATTGCACACATCAGACTCCTGGGTTTTTTTCCTAGTGGTACAGAAAAAAAAAAAAAAGAAGTCAGTGGGATAAGTGTTTGGAACATCCTGAATTCACATTTAGAGAAATGATGAATTCTGCTAATAGGAAATAAATAATATGGAGCAGTTACTTTAATGATATCTGAGAACCCCCTGAGTTTGTGGGCAACTAGGTATCTACTGGACTATGGATAAATGTAGGCTTTATTTTTCTTTTTATTCAGCAACAAAATAGAGATCCAACAGTTTTAAATTGCATCTTTCCAGAAAGGGAATTATTTCCACCACATTTATAAATATACTGCTTATACCTCAAAATAAAAATCTCTCTAAAATGAGACATGAAAGTTGCTTCTATTCCAGCATACAATAGAAAAATGCTGCAATTAGTAGCTATTTGGAAGTCAATAGTAAGCAGATGGACAGAGCAGCAGGAGCACAATATCCATCACTAGACATACTAGTGTTTTCAACATTAGCTCTCTGCAAAAAACATCTACCTCAAAAAACTCTCACCTCAAAAAACCCCTCAGTACTTCTTCTGCTTTGCTAAACCTCACAGAGTGCATGTCTACTGCCTTACACTTCATTTTTAGCGTCCAGATTTTCAGGTTAAAGGGATGAACATTCAGCTCAATTCTTGCTGAAACTCTAAAAGAAAAGTTTGGCAAACTCAAGAGCTGTTGATAACCAGAAAGCCAAAATAAAGTTGACTTGACCCCTTCTTAGAGATGTATCATTCTCTTTGTGTAAGGTACCCATGGCTTCCCCTATATAGGAAAGAGTGGAGGTTTTTTAGTTGTTTTGTTTGTTTGATTGTTTCAACGGGAGAAATAGCTGCAGTTTTCGAAGATGTTTCCACATCATAATGGGTGCTTCCCACAATGAGTAATGCCTCCATGTGCTCTTTCTGGGAAGAACATACTCTGAGAGGGATGGTAACTGTATATGTGACTGGCTCCTAGGTAAAGGCTTTGGAAATAGCACTGGAAAAAAAGAGTGCCCCTTCTGATATTTAGCATGACAGAGGACTTGATATGGGGAAAGTGAATGGTGCAACTTGATGCGCCCCATGCAACATGAGACATATAACAGAAGCAGTCCTCCTGCACCAAATTACACTGGGGGTTATGACTCTTATAGGGCAAAGCTAAGAGGGCAGTATGTTCCTAATTAGACCAGGAAATCCAAAATCCAATATACAGCATCTTCCCAACAATGCTCTTCAAGTCAATGGCATGGACATACGAATTTCAAAGCTGTTCAACCCAAATACTTTTCTTGTCACCCTTGTGCTGAATATCCAGCTACTCAGACAACATGCTGAGTGCATTTTTCACTCACATTCTCTTTTCTTTCCATACTCATCATAGCCTCTCCTTTGCAAGGTAGACTACATGCAGCAAAATCAGGGAAAACAACCATTCTGCAGAGCCTCTTAATGAAATACTCAGCATCTCTCCTAAATAATTATTTCCTCACTTAATTAGCTTTAAAACTGGAATTAACAGCTGCCACTGATGTGGTACTGATTAACAGATGGGCCCAAAGCATTGTAACCAAGTGTAAATTTTACTTTACACCTGTATATGTAAATACATAAAAGGATAAATATAAATAAGAAATATGTGAAATATAGAAATATAGAAATATAGAATATAGAAAGCATATAAAATGAATATGTAAAAATATAGAAAAATATTAAAGTAGTGAAATAATACACAGAATTAACAGGCACACAACTTTTTCTGGAAAAATCTGGACAGGGCAGGGACAAGGAAGCGCTATTGGAAATTCCATGTAAAGGTTTGAGATTCTATTGAAATGAAAATTAAAGCTTTGAGCTTACTCTAGTATTGACTGCGGACAAAATCATTTGACAGACTAATATTTTTATGTTTCTTATAGAAGAAATTTTGGCAGAATCAAATCCAGGTGTCTTGAGTTAGACAGCACAAGGGAACAGCAGGTACACAAAGATGACGCCTTTTCCTCTCTTCTCCAAGGCCTAACTTCAAATTTTCCAGATTAAAAATATTTCCTGTAAGATTAGGACACAGACTCTGCACTCTCTCTGGTCACAAAACCATCTCTGAATGTGCTTCAAAATTCTCCTCGAGGGAAGCCTTGCACTGAAAAATCATTGAAGCCAGTTAATTTGTTAACTAAGCCTTAGAGATGAAGGATATTTTCCAGTGGCTTTTAATACATGACGAGAGACAGCAATATTGCACCTTCACAACCTCAAGGCAGTTAAATTGCTGCTGTTGACATCCTCCACAGAGAAAGCAAGACACAAAGGACAAGGAAAAGGAAGAGGCAGTTTTAAAGTTTGAACTAGTTCAGAAATGGTATTGCTAGTGCTTTTGTGCTCAGGTGACAGCTTTCACTCTCATGGTGAGCTCCAAATTAAATAACCTTTTACTTTTGCTAGAGTTTAATCACAGATAATAGTTTTTATACAACTGAGATCTCTGTATGTCTGCATTCATATTTAACTGATGTATTTTTGCCAGGTTGGTAGGAAAGCTTGGAAATAGTCCTAGAAATAAACCTGTTGTTTCCTATCCCAAACCTCACATATATTTTTTGGGCCTTACAGAGAGTGCACCAATTCCCCCGCCCCTCCCACCATGCAAGCTGCTCTGCACTCGTCAGACAGTAACAAAGAGCCTCCAAAACTCACTTTTGTAATCTGCACTCCAGCTCCCAACCTTGAAGCTTGTGCCTTGGCATGCTATTAGCAGACATTGACCCAACCAGCTGGTGGATCAGCAAGCTTCAAGCAAGAGAAATTATTTCTAAATCCTCATTACAATGATAATAAAATGCTGACATAGTCTAAAACTGGTCTTTCCTACATGGCTTTACTACCAGCCTTACTGTCAGAATCATCCTTGCCATCAGTATTATGATCATCTCTATTAGATGAGATAATCTCAATTATCATTAGTGCTAATTTATTATGTTCCTCATCAGCTCTGTCATCAGTGTCATTCATCTAATTGTTGTTCATAAGCATTTAACAAAGAAAAACAACGTCTAATCTGCAACATTTAAATCAGCTCTGGGAGCAAAAGTGGAAAAAAACCCATGAAACTCTCAGACCTCCCACAGCATTGCAAATACTAACAGTCTGGAAAAAGAATTGTTCTCCAAAAAATGTCTGTAACCTTATTCTACAGACACCAGTGGATGTGTAGAAGGTTTTCATCGGGAGGGGTGGGCGATGATGATCTATCTGCTCACCCCTGTGCAACAGATTCTTGTGCAGAGAAGGACAAGGTACAGTCCTCCCTGGCTAGAGACTGACAGGATAGGAAACAACAGTGAAGGTCAGGAACATACCTGTGCATTTATCTCTACCCCATAATTGCAGTTTGCTAGAATGATCTTTTCCTCTCAATTATTTCATTACATGCCAGTGAACTGCAACAGGCTCAGTATAGTTCACAGTCAGGTGCATTTTGCTGTTTTCTGAATATAGAAAATGTGGGGATACCACCCAAGGATAGACATCAGTGTGGCAGTGATATTTTATGGTACGGGAACTCTTCCCTTCAAGACAAATCTATTATAAATACTTGGATGACCCTCAAACACCTGCAAACGCATTTGTTCAACAATCCTCAAAAACAGAACACTGGAGTTATGAGATCTATTTCACATATGCCACAGGATGAGGGAAAACAATCCAGGGCACATCATTTCCAAGCCAGATTCCTAAAGCAGAAATTCCCTGACTGTCAGCAGGGTCACTTCTGCAAGCACTCTCACAGCAAGGAGCCATCCCAACCAGGCTGCTAATGGCAGCTCTGATCCCACAGACAGCACGGGTCTCCTTGAGCCGCAGGCACGTGTGTGGAAAGCCAGATGTCCTGGTTTGTGTCTCTGGCACAGCACCGGGACACTGCAGCCAAACTCTTCCCTGACCCAATTGCACAGATGCCGGAGGAGCGGCAGTAGCACAGGGCTGCGCTTTTTTATCTTCATAGGAGCAGATGCGGGAGGAGACTGATACACGTGAGACCATAACTATAAATTCCAGTGCAGCGAAGCATTTTGCACTTGTTTCCCCTTACCAGCCTGCAGCACAGCAGAGAAAGCAAATGGCAATCAGTGGTTTTGGCAAGCTGAACATGATTCCTCACCGCTGACATCTGTGTGACGGTCATCCACTCGGGAGGGATGTGGAAGTGAGCGCCGGCCGAGTCTCCCAGGAGCACGACCCCTCTCGAGTCTGCACCTGATGGATGCATTTTGTCAGTCACATGGGCAGAAAGAGCAAACTGAAACCCAGCTTGGAGGGTGCTTAAAGAGGAACAGCAGTAGCAGATGATGGAGTCACAGGGTGACTGACTACACCACCCTTCACGAGGCTTAAATGTTCAGACACTGCAATAGGATTTTCACTCCATCTGCAGCAGAAACCATCTAACAGGCATTTGCCAACAACCCTAGAGAAACAACTGGGGACTGGGCATGAAAAACAGGGGGAGGTCTTGCTAACTGGTAAAGTGTCCTGGTTGTATTCTAATTGTGTGTTATTTCAGCAGAGGTTCTGCTGTGCAGGCAGTGTTTATTTTTACTATCCATAGATTATGCATTAAAAAGTACTTAAACATTTAGGGAAATCGGATTACTCAGAAAATTGCTCAAAGCTCCTTATAACAGAACTGGGTGGCGGATGTGCTACTCATATGAGTATTTCTGCTAGAACAATCTGTCTGGTTTATAATTAATGTCACTTAACATTTGCAGATTAGCCTTTCATCTAAAAATGTTGAGGAGTCTTGCCAGGCAATGGTTCATCCCCAGGATACTGATTTCAGTGTGAGGTGAGGTGAGTGGCAACTGCTGGTTTGTGCAGGCTTTTATTTGTGCAGTGTGGCCACACAGGCACCCACCCACATCATGGTCAGGGAGATCAGCTGGTGCCATCATTTCACCCCTTATCTGGAAAAAAAAATGCATGTATTTATGGCAGGAGGTAAGACTGGACAAATGCAAATGTTAAGCTGCTTCCCTAAATCTCAAAGCCATTACACTCGGTTAGTCTTCAAGCACCAGAGAAGATGCAGAGCTGACATCTCAGTTTGCTGCTGTCCCCAGTCCACGTATTCAACTTCATTACTGAGCTGACTCTTAATGGGAAATTACCAGCATCCTGTGTTTTACAAGTTTCATCTTTATCCATTCTGAAGATTAAAAAAAACTCAATAATTTTGCTTTTCTCATGATGTCTCATGTTTTCTCATGTTTCCTTTGCCTTGTGAACATGCAAATGTTGAAATGTTTATCAAATTAATACATAAGATACATGGTTTATTGTATTGACTCTAATTATTTACCTTTGCAGAACTTCTCTTCATAGGGAATTCCATCTTTTGGATCCACACCCTGTTGGAGAAGAGAAAGGGTAGATAACAGTACCTATCTAGCACCTGAAGAATGGCAGTGCAAAACAGAGGCTGAAAATCTAGTTATTCTTGAATGTTTGCCTGCAGGAGGCACTGCATCATAATAATGATGCAGTGACATTATCTTAATAAGTATATGTACATTTTAATTAATCATATAAGCTATAATTTAAATAATCATAAGCATCCATAAACAAACTTAATATCAGCTAATAAAACCAGAATAAATAAAAAAGGAACACTTCTAAATTAAATCAAAGACTAAAGAGGACAAAAGAGAAGCAGCAATCAGGAAGATGCAACTTCATTTACTTACCCATATGCCATTGCAGTTAGAGTCACTTTTTGCATCCCAATTATCAGGACTAAAACAGAGACAAAAAAGGATAATAAATGTCACAGAAAAGAATTGGGAAATAAGATCCCCAGTGCCATTTTTCACCAAAATTAAAAAGGAATTAGAAATTCCTTTCTGCATGGAAGGGTGGGGTTTTTCTCCCTTTTGATCTAGGAGAGGCAATTTTTCCTAGCAAAACGCAAGCGCAAAATGCAACATTAATTTAAAGTTAATACGGGAAATTGCTGAATGAAACTTATCCTTTTAGTCAGTGGTATGGTTTCCCTCCCCATCTCTGGTCTGTCTGACCAATTGTAGCTTCAGATGCTTTAGAGAAAGGAAAGAAATGTGTGCACCACCCCCGCAAAGGAGTTCCATCCCTGGTCTTGGTCATCTCCTCTTGTGTCCCTCAAAGCAAAGTCAAGCAACAAGCAGTGATGTGCTGTCGAAGATTATGGTCAAAACAAAATCTGGAGCTCATTCTTCTTGAAGCCACAGTTAATAAGAAGCCTTTAAAATAATTAAAATCTTTACCGCCTGCCAGGGTACACGGTTGTGTTTTTGTCGTTGCAGTCTCTGCCTCGCCAGTGATAGCCCCTCAACGTCTAAAGGCCAGGAGAAACATGCAGATAGGACAGCCATTATTACTCTTGCACTTTTAATTTAAAATATCTAAAATGAGAATCTAACTCAAGGTGTAGGAATAAAACCCAGTAAACAGGTTTTATTCCAAACTCCTTTTGCTAAGCTTTAATATGTGACACCTAGCATGCTTTGGTGCAGCAATAAGACAAGTTGGCAATTTATTTTTTTGTTTAATATGACTTCACCTCTTATTAATTCAGTAAACAACCACTCAGCAGCAGAGCAATTTGCTTCTGCAGGGAGCACAGCTTTATGTGTGCATTTCCCCAGGTGGCACACATGAATGATTGCTTTTTCATCCAGGAAAAAACTCAACATTTTATGACAAAAAAAACGTTCCATTCATTTTATTCCTATACCTATTTTCACATGAATAGATAAGGCTTTGCAGAAAGTAGGAGGAATCCCAGAGACATTCTCATTATCAAGGGATTACTGTACCAAAGGAAAGGCTTTGCTTACTGGGAAGGTACTAAATTTATCTCCATCAAAATCTTCAAAAGGCAGTTTATTTCTTAGAACACTGTAAAAAAACAAAAACAAAACCCATAGTGTTAACATATGGAAGGGAATCTATTAAGAAAGTAAAAAACCACAGTGAAGTGTACAGAACAGATAATAACTGGCATGATATTCACTGCTCTATATTCAGTTGTGCCTCTGTGCTTGTATTTCAGCAAAGTGATCCTGCCCAAAGAGCAAATTCTGTATTTCAATATCTGCTGACTGAGCTCTGGAGGTGATGCTGATGGACTCCTGTATGGCTTCAACATCAAACCTGCAGTCTCTAAAACTAACTAAGACAAGAAATCTGTGATAAAAATTGGTTGGTGGTTTTTTTTTGTTTTTTTTTTTTTTTTTTTTTTTTTTTTTTTTTTTTTTTTTCCTACAGAAAGAGGAAAGTAAAAACCCTAAAATGTTGAGGGAGAGAGAGTGCATGAGGGAGAGATCAGAAAATCTGAGTTGAATATATGCAATCCAACATATGAAACATATGATATACAATTTCATTCCTTTCCACTGTCTGAACTCACAGGGCTCCAACTCAGCACACTTGCAAGATTTTTCATGTCAATCAAGCCATTCCAAATAAACTCCTGATATTTGCAGTTTCAGTTAAATGAGCAGAAATAGGTTAGAAGTTAGTCTTGGCAGTTGAATCAGTCAAATATACAGCTAATAATCCTGATTTATTCTTAGACCTGCTTGAGTATTCCTCCAAGTCATTGGAGTACATCGACAAATACACTTTACGAGTAATCACCCAGCTCATGTCCCTGGCCTTTCTTAGAAACTGACTCAGAGTCAACACTGTCATGAGTTGTTTTTCCTGGATGCCATCCACCTGACTTTCTTAAACACCTTGGGATTGTTCTATGCTTCACAACTGACATTAAATTTGGGTTCCTCACAGACTTATGCAGCTGCTGGTGGCCTTCCTGCACTGAGACATGGGCACCACAACTGGGTGAAAAATGAAGTGAAGAAGTTTCTTGGGCTCAGAAGATCTCAGGAGAAAGGTAGTTTCCTCTTGGAGATGTCACATCTGTGAGAGTGTCACATATTTGGGCTCTGGGACGTGCTAAAATTAAGCAAATGTTTTAATCACTAAAACAACCACAAGGATCCCTGTGAAGATTACTGCTTACCTGAACTCTGTGCAGACTCCTTCTGTACTACCTAGACAGTGGTTTTATAAAGGAAACCAACACAACCAAATATGGGAAGCTTTGTTAGCTAAGGATGACTTTCAAAAGAAGCAAATTTACCATGTTCTATTTCTAATTAAGTACTGAAAATGTATACATACTATGTAATCTTCTCACACAGGTTAGCCAGAAGAGGAAATGCACATACACTTGAGAAGCCCATGAAGCTTTTCTGGAGAGGAAGAAAAATGAAAGTAGAAGGATGCTTTAGTTCACAGAGGTGGTGTAGTTTGGGATATTCAGTGTCAGTAAATTACAGAGCTAAACCATGTATTTTCTGCCAAGAAACATCAAAAAAATCCAATGATGCCAATAAGGATGCTATATGCCAGAGGATTTAGATCTGACACAGCAATCAAGGATTAAGGCTGAGCATTTTACAAACCAAATATTCTTGCTTTCAAAGACCTGTAAAACTCAAAAAGGAAAGAAAAAGTTCCAGTCTTCTCTCTGTCTTCTCTAATGTAACCAATTTTTTTTCATTCTTTGTAAAAATTACTGTTCTCATGTTTGGTAAACATGGTGGCACCTGACACAGTGCAAATCTAGTGAAAGCCACATGCTTGGAGCCATGAGTCTGGTTTCTACATGCCCAAGGCCAGGGACAACTCTAATAAGAGCAGAAATGAGAAGGTCGAGACTCTGCATAGAATACCCTAAATTTTTTAAAATGAGATTTTTTCCTGGAAATCTAGATTTTATCTTGGCCAAACCTGTAAGATGTAAAAGACAGCTGCTGCTAAAAAAACTCATTCAAGATTAGTAGCCCATAGCCTTAGGCCAATCCAGTTGATGTTCCAGGTAGCCAGGAAGCTTCAGAAGCTGAAAGAGACATTCCTAATGAATTGTGTTGCATGGGCAATTAATCCCACAAACATGCTTCTCATGTGGCTTCACTGTAAGTTCAGTTGGTCTTGAAACACTGAGGGTGCTCAAGTGGTCTCTAAATGCAGAAGGCTAATTGGTGCTCAGCCCAGTTCTCTGTATTCATTGAGGCTACATTTACCATGTAAATATGGAGAGATGAGCAGATGGGCATACTCATAACTTTATGCAAAGAAGGGTAATTGTTTATCCAGACACAGCACTTGAAAGCTCTGTCCTTGGACCAACTGCTTTGTTACATACTTTATATGCACAGAAAAAGAGTAAGGTAGTCCTCAACCTAATGATATTACAACCTGTGCCCATCATGAAACAGAAGGTAAAGCTTGGATACAGCTCAGTAGAGGCCAGTGGAAGGTTATTACACACCACGTGGGTCTATAACCCCAGTGTACACAGCTCTGAGTGACAAAGGAGAACTTTGAGGCAGCACAGCAAGGCAGTGAGGTCAAGAAGCCTGGGGCATTTCCTTGCAGCCCCAGGGAAGGTGTTTGCTTGGACAGGTAACAAGGGGCAATGGAAATAAGGGTCTCACGCTGCCCAGAGCAGGAGGTCAGGCACAGAAATACACCGCAGCCAGGATCTCAGGGTGGAGAGGAGAACTGGGCTAGTGGAGAGGGGACAGAGCCCGTAGTACAAAGACTGCAGCCAACATTTGTGCTGGTGGCTGAAGTGCCCACTCAGCACTTCATGGTGAAGCAAGGTGAAGATGAAAACGAGTGGTATCTTTCTCAGGTACCAATGAAAAGGAGGAGGAGAATGAGGAGATATCTGCAGTGGAGTAGGAGCTGCAATGGTGCACTTTCTGAAGAAGACAAAAGTGAAATCAAGGAGAAAAGAAAAAGGAAGGTCAAGGAGAAAAGAAACATGAAAAAAACCACCAGTTAACTTTCTTCAGCTCTGTCCAACACACTCATATGACAAAGCTTTAGTCACAGTAGCTTGGAGGGGGAGGAGGTACTGGGGAGTGAAAGGAGAAACCAGAACACAACCACAGAAGAACTGGGGAGAAAAAACCAAAAGCAGCCAAGGAAGTGGGGCCTTTCCTTAGGCTGAAAGACCAACCTGGTCCCACTGCTGCACCTCCAGTTGCCCTCTGCATGTTCCTATCCCTCTGCACCTCTGTATTCAAGCTATTAGCTGCCTCAGGGCTGTGTCCTGCAGCGTGGCTGGGACACAGGCCTCCTTTTTGCTCAGTGTGTATGGTCAGGTGGGCAGAGAGCATGAAAGGTGCACATACAGGATGGCAGGTTTTCTCAAAGAGATTTACAAACCTATCTACGCTTCCTGGAAAGAGGAAAGAAATCACTTCCCTCTCTCCTTCATGCAGGACTAATCCTGCCAATAGAAGCACCAGAGACACTTTAAGCCTTCCATCAGACTAAGATTTGCAGGGTCTTTATCTGAGCTGTCAGTTTTTCACTTCAGCCTAAGCCACAGTATGCAAAGCCTTTGAAGTTAAGGTACCTGTAGTCAAAACCGCACCAGAAAGACAAACTACAGGGCTTGCAAAAAATAAGTACATAAGTAAAACTCCTTTTATTCTGCTCACAGGCTGTGCTAAAAGTTTACCCTTTGCTGTAAACAGAACAAAATCTTTCCTGTCTTTTTCTGAGGTAGTCTTTTGAAAATTCTTGCTGACTGGCTCTCCGTTGATTTCAAAGGCAGGTTATCCTACATTCCCAAAGACTGCCCAACTTTGGTGGGAGTGGATGCACGATGATGACCTGGCAATGCTGTTGCTGAGGACCAGCTGCAGCAGCATTCCGAAACCCAGCAGCCTCTGGCTCCACAGCCTTTGTAGTCCCACACCAGGTGGGACAGTGAGATCTGGAGGTAATGCTTTAGTTCTGCTTGGCATTGTACAGGAGAGTGGCTCATCTGATCTTTGAGGTTGCCTTGGGCTACTCTCAAAAGGCAAGGAATACAGGTATAAAAAAGGAGGGAATCTTTGTGTGACCAGGCACTATCGGGTCCTTCCCAGCAGAGACAGGCTATAATTGCAGCATGAGTTGTTGACAGAAGATGGGCTACTTGCCCCTGTGTAACATGGGTGAGTGGGCAGGGGATCAGCTTATGGATGCTCTCTCCATGGCTTCCCACTTGTCCCACTGCCAGGCTGTGACTTGCAGGGACCTTGTTGTCATGAAAGGATTGTACAAATGGTGCCTGCTCTCATTAAATGCCAGAACTCTAATCACTACTCTTTCATTGCTATTGCTCAAAGATGCCCCTTAGTATCTTCTCCACCCACGAGAAGAGTTAATGCTAGAGGTGCTCCCAGTGATTGATAAAACTAATATCCTATTCATTGCCTGTTAACATTCCCTAATGACATTTCTGTAATTATTTTAATTGGTTTTACTAAAAAGAATAACAGTGAGCCTCTAATGCTTGTTGGTGTTTGGTTTAAGCCACTGCCTTAGAGATGGCTCACTCCTTTTAATGAACGGAGACATCTATTTTAATTTTTTGAAGTTGTAGCTGCTTTCACTGCATTTCTACATCTGCTGAATAACTTTTCTTTTTTTCAAACTCATAATGATCCTAAGAAATTCCAAGTAAATGTGAAATCCTGGGATCCAGATGGATCTCCCATTCTCGTTACAACAGCCATCATAACATCTCTTTTTTTATGCACAGTCACACACAGCTGCCATGCCAAGATGGGGACAGTTAACTTGCAAGAACCTCTTCAGAAGGCTTTCCCCAAACATACAGTGCAGCAAAAGTAACCAAAAGAGCAGATATGGGAAGAATTGACAGATCTAATTTGAGTTTTTGGTCTAGCATGAGCCAGAGCATGAAAGAGTCCAGATGAATGTTTTTCTTTCTTCACTGATATTTATGCAGGGATGTCCTACCAGATGTTTCTGATTCCTCACCCACACACTCAGCCAGGTAATCTTCTCCCCAGGCAGTGAGAGCAATTCAGCTCTCACTAAGGTGTATCTGCTTGTGCAGGTAGCATCATGATTTGGGAGCCTTGAGCCTGTGCAGGTGATTTCCTTACTCTTTCATCACATGCTGCTCTTCTGGGAGACATGGCTTAAGCAAGCATGATTCACACTGTGCTCCCTCCTAGAGATTCTCTTTTGTGTTTCTCACTGCATTGTTTTTCTGGATCTGAAAATAACTTCAGTCTGGGTGAATGGGAAATTGCAAGCTGAAGTAATGCCTCTAGAAATGTTATTTTCTATTTTCCAGGTTGAAAATAAGTTTCAGCCAGGGTCATTACAGGAAGCACACTAGGAATAATGGCAGGAGAGGCTGAGCAAGCATATGATACATGTTTTAATTTGAGCTGACCTTGCATTGTGCAGAAGGTTTGGAAATATTTTGAAACCCAACTGTGACCTTTCTGCTTCCAGCCTGTTTTTCCTTCCTGCTGGCAAATAGGCAGCTAGGAGCAGGAAGGGGCTGAGGGCCAATGGAGATTGAGAGAGGTATTGGGGCATTGAGCAGTTTTGAGGATACACAAGAGGAAAGGCAAAATAGGAGAGCCTACTGCACCCATGCCACTTACCCAGGACAGCCTGAAAGGATGTGGCATGCCCGTTCCAAGAAAGTGGGATGTGGTTGGCTATGTGAGGGACTCAGCCCAATATGCCAAGGGTGCAGCATGTGCAAGGAAGTAAAGGAATTTTATCCCACAGGGCAACACCCCCGTGCCAGTCCCTCTCCAGCCCCATGCCTGCACCTATCTCCAGCTCACAGAGAGGACCTGCTTGACTCAGAGCATCTCGTTACAGGTGTTAATGTGGGGACTTGCTCCAGGGAGAGAAGAATAAAGATTTCATGTAATTTGAGTGGAAATTTGAAGCCATCAGTAGCACAGCACCGAATAGGAAGGGAAATGAGTAAGAGATCCTGCTGGTTGCTGTTCTGCGGGAGCTGAGGCCAGTCTCTCCAGTGCTTTGTTTATTTTCCTGGCTTGGTAATTTGGCAATTGCCCAAAGGCTAATTAGGCACCTCAATTTTCACTTTTGTGACTAGCATCACAGTAAGGATTCAGGAATAAGCAATATAAATAATTTCTTCACAAACAGTTAAAGCATTTCCTCTGCATTAAGTGACTTAACTGGAAGCAAACTCTAGGGCTGAACTGACTCACCTAAGTGAACCTTAGAATAACAGCTGCTACCCTTCCCTGCTACCCTTTAGAGATCCTCTACAAATCTGAGAACTTTTGGAGGCAGAAAGATTTCAAATGTCATTTTTCAAATTTTAGAGACAAAGGCAGCAACTCATAAATACAGGAAAAATATGCAGAATTTGCATTCAGGCCACTGCTTGAGTTTCAGACAGCCCCAAAGTGCAGTTGCTCTACTCTGAGGTAATGGGTCAGTTCATGAGGCACCCACTTACATACAGCTACAAGGTAGCTACATTTTTCATTATTTTTTAAGCTCTCCCCATACTTTCATAGTTTTCTCTTATTTCTCCCTCTCTTTCTTCCAGTGTCACCTGATAGAGCAGATCCTGTATCAAGAAAAGTGAGTCAGCATCCAATTCAGTGCTAATCAGGAGGATTCACAGTCAGACAAAACAAACAAGGACTCACTCCTGATAAAATGCCAGTACAGAGTAAAACACCCTAATGCCATTGATTTCTTACCAAGTCCTTGGAAGTCTTCATAATTCTTTTTGCTTTTCTTATTGCAACACTCAGTCCCACCTAGGAGAGCAAGAACAAAATGAAAAACAACCAGATCAGCCTCACAGTATCCTACCAACTTTTCTCCCCATTTCCTACCATTTTTTTCTATTTTAATATCAGTCACAGCACAGAAATGATGTATGAGTCCACAAACTCCTCATCAGTTACTTTTTATTGGACTAACAATCAATTATCCAGTCACCTTCTATGAAACTCCAGTAGCAAGAGTTCATTTATTTTGCTCCAGGGCATCATTTATTTCCCAAGGAAAAGTCCAGATCAGCTGAAGAGCTGAAATTCATATCCTGACTGCACTGTGTGAGCTGCAGAGGACATACTTCTCTAGTGACTCCTCCTGAAGGAAAACTCATCCATTAAAAGGCTAAAAGAGCATTACTCACGTAACATCAGTCTGACTTGCTGTGGGAGGGTACAGAGGAAACATTTGCTCCTGCATGGATAAGGGTTATACTCAGCTGAGGTTCATCCTGGCAGGGGAGTGTGGCATGCAGGAAGGTACACAGCAGGGAACAGATTTTGGAAGGAAAATCCCCTGCTTAGGATCCAGGAAGGTTAGCTTTTTGTTCTGGAAATACCTGACCTGGAGAGCAAGCGCTTGCTGACATTGGCAAGATAGTTTTTCTGGTGGGTCTGTGCCAACTTGTGCTGAAGAGGCATTTTGGGATACCTCCACAATGTGGATACTTATACCTCCATAGAAAGAAAAAGTAGGAGAACCATTCCAAGAAAAGGTCTTGGAGAGGCATCAGGTTGGCCATCATAAGGCCATGGGTTAGAAATAAGTCAGCTACTAGTGATAGACAAATAAATCCTGAAATTCCTTTGCACACAAGCTCTTTGAAGGAGCAGAGGAAAATTTGTGCAAGGGGCACCATCCATGAGTGTGAGTAACAGCCAAGGACAGCTCTGCTGGCAGCAGGAGGACACATGTGCCATGTGTGGTGCCAGCAAGGTCACATACACCCTGACGGCTGCTTGCCATGGCCAGAACTGCCAAACACTGCCATGGTCCTGCTCTCCAAGCTTTCCTCAAGGCTCTGCCATTGCAAAAACCTCAGCAAATACATCTTTGCAGCCCATGTGGTCCACAGCCCTGGGTGCTGCCTGGGGAAGCGTTGAGGCGTGGGCAATAAGTGGCCGCTGTTTCTGCACTGTGCATTAAATGCTGACCTGGCCTTAAGAAATTTTTCTTGTGTCACAGCACAGAAAGATCACACTGTTTCTCCTGTCACAAAGATTCTTCCCAGTTATGGAGGTGAAGCAATGCCCCAGATACGCTTATGCCATCCAAAATATTTAACAACTGTTTAACAACTCTGACGAACAAACTTTCTAAATTTGGACATATCTTTCCATAAGAAAGGAAGTTCTCACAACTCCAGTTTAGGAAAATAAATAAGAGAAGAGACAGTCAGAGGAGCTGGAATGGCCGAGGTAACGCCAGTGTACTCCCCCTTGCTGCTCCATTTTCAATTCAGGACAATATTCTTGTATCTCAGTGATGATGATTCCCATATGTTGTGCTGCATTTATTAGGCCACCTTTGAAAACAGCCATATCTGTGAGATATTATATGTGACATTACTAAGTGATGGCCTCTGTCCTTCCCCTCAGCATTCAGCATGATGAAGGCTGAAAGCACTGCCTGTTTGCTCCCTTTCAGCCGGAATAACTACTTGTGGTCTGCAGGCTTTGAGAACTGGCAAAAAAACCCCAACCTTAAAATAAAAAATAAGATAAAAATCAATTATTTTGGAAAATGTTTCAAATGGGAAAAAAAATCCAGAATATCACAAACACATTAGCACCTAGTTTCTGCTCAAAACTGTTAGTGGGGGCAAACTGTTCTGTCTGAAAATGACCTGCTATCAGTCCCTCCTACAGCCCAGCCTAAGGACATTACTGCCAGCCTAACATCAACTGAGTCTGAGGGCTCCGAGGTGAAGTCAGCACAAGTTTATATTTATCTGGACAGAACTGCAGGAACTCAGCAAGCGGGAAAATAGGGATGCTTCAGCAAATGCTATTATTACAGCACTTGGAAAAAAAAGAAAATGTCCCTCATGTGATGGCACCTTACTGAACAGCGGCATGCCAGATTAGAATATTAAAGCAGACTTAATTTGTATTTAAAGTAATCATTGCCAGCATTTTTGTGCTGGGGATAAAATTTAGCATGCCATTATCATTGATTTAGGCAGTGATCAAAGCAAATTAATTAACCGTGATATTCAAGGGTCAAAAATTTATGGTGAACAACACAAAGGGATACGGATGAATAAGCATAAGCAGCAAGGAACACAGGCTTCTAAGCTGCTGGGTTTTAATATATGTGTCACATTAATATATGTAGTTAATATATGTTTAATTCATGGTGTCTATAGTCTTCTAAAAATCAGGGTATGTCACAAATAGATGAGAGAAACTAGCAATGAGCCAAGACGTTGTTTTCTAGTTTTGTCCCCCTGGGCAACTTCTGTCCCCAAAACCAATCATGCATCTTACGTTTGCCATAGTTATGTTGTACAATACCAGCTGCTGTCATTTCTACAATAAAATTACTTGAGAGGCAGATGTGAAAAATGGCTTGAAATCGAGTATAATAGAAGGAAAATTCCCAGAGAGGTAGGATTTATCAATCCTTTTCTGCTGGCCAGGGTAGGAGAGACCTTTCTTGCTCACAGCAGCAGCACATGAGAAGTGCATGATTCTGAAAGTTACAGGAATATTGTACTCAGAAAGCAGAAAACAAGGGAGGAAAAGGCTGGAATGTCCTTGTGTGTAGAAAATGCTCTCTCTGAAGCACTAAAGTTGACACCTTCTCTCACTTTACAAGTTCCTTCAGCCAAGACTTCAGGTTGGACTGTGGAAGACTGGCAGCTGAAACACCCACCAGGAAGAAAACACTTCTGGTTTCATGGGTCACCTGTAATCCCTGGCTGACCCCAGCATGTCAAGCCTGCCACTGAAGGCTATACCACCCATACAACCTCCCCTGCTGCACCTTGGCTAGCAAGGAGCCTCCTCTCTTTCCCATGGCATGAGAACACCACCAAGGAGGGGCTTCCCTAGGCTTCAGCAGCTGATGGATGAGTCCTGGGGTGCAGCCAGCACCATCCACCCCAACTGGAGCAGCCCTGCCACCCTGTGTGCACAAGATATCCAGCCGTGGATGGGGCTGAGGGCGGGGTGTCACTGGGATTTCATTCACTACCTTCTTTCAGTGTTCTCCGCAGAGAGCACGTGTTCCCAGTAATGATTTCTTCTTTGGCAAACAGATGTATTTCTCATTGTAAACAAATGCACAAACCAACTCTAATTCTCTCTCATTTATCATCCTTGTTAGCCAGCTTTTTCCCAGGAGACCAGATATTTACAAAACACTCCAAGTTTCCTTCTAACTCATTTTCATCATCCTTTAACCAGGAGTAGCAAGATAGCAAAATTCTGCAAAGCTTGTCAAATAGCACAGCTGAAAGTGGGATTTGTTAATGAGCAATGCTTCTTTGTCCTCATACTTTTGTCTGCCACCTTTCCACCCCAAATATCTCTATGCCTGCTTGTTTTCTAGGGTCCTGCCAGAGGCAGCTTCTACATTGGCATGGCACAGCTGCATGCACCACCTTGCAAATCCCATGCCACCTTATTTCCTTTGGATTTATTTGGTGGAATGTTAGGATTGTATGGTTTGGCTTTTTGGGGTTGTTCGGGTTTTCAGTTGGGGTAGCGTTTGTTTATTATTTTATTTTATTTTATTTTATTTTATTTTATTTTATTTTATTTTATTTTATTTTATTTTATTTTATTTTATTTTATTTTATTTTATTTTATTTTCTGCCGCTGAAGAGGAGCAGAGGAAATGAAGAGAAACAAGTAAAAGAGGAGGAACGAGCACTCAAACTGTGCCTTCTGCTATTACCTGTCTATAGGTAGTTTCTTCAGGGCTCAGTTCTGGCTGCAGCAGAAACTCACATTTCAGTAGGCTTTACCTGTTTCCAAGAACAAAGGGTAAAAGGAAGGCATCTTGCTCCACAGGACCTAGCATACCTCCCAGATGCTGTTTGCTTTACTGCTTGTGGTCTCAAAAGAAGGAAACAAGTCCTAGTCACGAGGTTTACTTTGGACTGGCAGCCTGCTCTTAACTAAGAATGCAGAAGCACTCCCACCCTGGAGTTTGGTTCTGTCTCACCTCCAAGGAGGAAGCTCAGATAAATGAGAGATATCAGCAGAAGTGTTTTCATTTTACTAAACCCCAATGGGTTTCTTTTTTCTACCCAGAATTAGTTGGCTCCTACTTTGTCAAAGAGCATGCTGACCACAGTAACACCCACGAGGGATGTGGTTTTTTAGAAAGTCAGTAAAAGACTTGATAGAGGGTACACAAACCAGCATGAGTGCTTGTGGCAGTGATGCTTATTTTGGTAAGATAAAATTTTAAGAGCATAAATATATATATTTTTGCTGATGAAAAATGACTTCCACCAAAATCCTATTGATGGAGTTTAGGACAAAATATGCACCTGAAAGGTCTCTGATAATCTGGAGCATAAAAGTGATGGGAAGCAGAAGAAGCACCCTGAAAGGCAGAAAGATGGAGTACAAACTTCTAACACAGACTGTTTTAGTGATTGCTAGAGCACGACCACAGTGCTGAAGTCAAGCCATTATTCTGGCCCCAACAAATCAATTAAAGAATTGCCATTTAACCAAACAGGCCAGCTGGCTTAAAACAATCTAGAGCTTGATGAGAATAATCTCCTGCAAAACTGTTTGTTCCCAGGGCCAGAAAGGAATCTTGGTAGGCACTACATAAAACTCTTCACCCTATTTCAGCCCTTTTCACTCACTGAAAGAACATCCCTGTATTACACAACCTACTGCAGAAAGCCCTCCAGCATATGAGCTGATAAACATTTTTGGCTAAAACATCATCCAGTCATCCTAAACCAGCTATCTTGGATGCCTGTACTACTGTCAGTCTTTTAGAGTGATGCTGCAGCCAATCTTAGAATATCTGTTGTTGATGTGGCTTGAACTACAAAGTGCATTACAAGAAACTACAAAGCATTTTACAGCAGCTTCAGATACCATCCACTTTTCAGCCACCTTTAGTAACCCTTCACTTCTGATGTACCCTATAAGTTTGTCTCTTTACTTGAAGGAGACCCCAGTGTTGCCACCCTCATACTAAAGGGCAGAGGAGAAACTTTACTCTGCTCTACAAGCCACTGGTGGCAAGAAGGGGCTCACAGAACCCATTACGAGGGACATCTGGTTGTACAGTCATGTTGGTGATCCAGGAGCTGCAAGGGCCCCTTCCAATCTTCCCCACCAGCATCAGAGGTCTGCTCCTGGAACAGCTTCCCAGCAGAGCAGCCCACCTTTCCCAAGCCCCAGCAACAGGGTGCTGCCCTTGCCCAGGCTGGATGCCCTTCTCCTCCAGCTCCGTGCTGAGAACACCGAGTTCCATGTGAACAGAGTAATATTTTTTACTCATAATTAGAGCAAAGTCTTCCAGAATAATCACAGAGTGCTAATAGCTCCAGGCAGCTTGGCAAAAAAAAAAAAAAAAAAAAAAAATTGGGCTAATTTGTCAGAGACCAGGGAAGTATGTAAAATGATGCACGTATCATTTACACAGATTACAGTGTCTCCATTAAGAAGACAGTTTGAAAGGCCTCTGAAGCAGGGGCTCTTCCTCAAAATACAAATCCTCAGTAAAGCAACTGTGCACAAACAGAAGAAAATAAACTAATGAACGGAAAAAGCATGTTGATATTTTCCACTTTCCAATCTTTTATTTAGAGGTAATTAAAACTTGAGCATTACACTGCCTTTGAAGGACAGGTAACGCTATTTCTTTCACTCCTTTTGCCAGTACAAATATGATACTAATTCTGGGAAAATGGGCATCCAAAAGTCTAAATGAATAAATGAAGTACCTGAAAATCAATAGAGTTGAACAGAACAGTCATTAGTATTAAAGTCTTGTTCAAACACTCAGCAGGGGACTGCGCCAACATTTGCAGACTCATAAAACTGAAGTGATCAATCAAATTACAAACGAAAGAAGAAAATGCGAGACAAACGGCATTTTATGCACCTGTGTCTCTGATTGTATATTAATTTTTTTCACCCATAATTCATCTTTACTCAGTCTGGCTAGTCACAGAGTTACTGTGGGCAATTTATCAACCACTTGAGCATGAATTCCAAGCACTGCTCTTTTCCTCCTTATGCTCTCTCGGGGCAAAAGAAGAGGCAAAAGAAGGGCACAGTCAGTATAAAAAAATTGTTTTGTTGGTAGAGTTCCCTTATTCCTGTTGAGAATACCTTGACAGAAAGGGGTTTAACTACCGCTTGGAAGGGAGCCACTTACTCAGAGGGACAGTCTCCAGGCCATGCAAATAAGAGTCCAAATTTTGTTAAAAGAAAATAAACCAAATCCCTCCACATTCAGCCGTTTTCCTTGTGGACAGTGCATTCACTGAAGCGGTTGCTGGAGGTGGAAGGAGGCAACACCTTGGTCCTACACCTGCTCTGGGAGATGGGTAAGAGCTCACAAAGATGTGACAGCAACCCCATGAGTAGCATTCTTTCCTCTCTGTCTGATAAGCCTAGCATTTCAACACAGGTGTTCTAATTTCTTCACAGGAGCCACCTTGATTTATACAGCCACTCTCTCCAAGCTCCTTAGCCTAACTCACTGTGCAGCTATGGTGAGCCCATTCCTCTCTTTCAGTGCATTTCATTGCCTGTATCCTCTTTCACTTCAAGAAGTGCCTTGCACTTTTGACCCTCAGTTCAGGATGGGGGATTTCTGATGGCACTTTGATGAAGTTTGGGCAATATTCTGGTTGAGTTGAATTAGTGGGGGCCCTCTCTGCTGCTTGCACTCGTCTTCTTTCACCCCTGTGCGGTTGCACACCCATATATCTCTATGTTGACATATCGTGGAGCATAGACTCACACCTGCTATAAACCAAATATTACTGCCATTCTTGGAAGGCAAGTGTTTTCCCAGACCTTAATATTGGCAGAACTAAATCCATCTTGGAGGTGAACTGCAGGTCACTGAAGCCCATAAAAAGATTGCCTGATTTCAGTGACTGCTGGACTAGACCCTGTGTGAAACAGCTCATGCAGACTGTTAGAAATCAAACATGTCTTTCTCCATCCAGATGCAGGGAAAAAGATTTCCAAAAATAGATGCTGAAGTGAATGGCTTGCTTTTCAACACCACCAAACAACCCTCATCACTCACAGAGTGACTGGAAGTGCGTGATGGCTGGGGTGGAAAAAATTACTCACAACCAAAAGAATCCCAAAACAAACAGCATATATTTAGACACCTATGTCTATATGTACATGTGCAAGTATAGCAAAGGTCTAGGACATGCAGTCAAGGACGTGCAAATTTTGTAGCAAATAACTGTATATCAGAGAAGTGGTGGTAATTAAATATGATTTCAGCCTGTGGCAGAAGATAACGCATATTAGCTTAAACCTCTTGCACTGCAGACTAATCCAAGTCAAATAGCCCTGCATTTGCAGCAGGTAGCTTGTGCCCACGCAGGCTGTCACGGCAGATCAGGCAATGTGGGGATCACTTGTTGTGCCGTGGTAACGTGGTGGCATAGATGGACCTCAGCTGAGTATCTGCTTTGGGTTATTGTACTGCTTAACAATAAAGTCCTTACTCTTCCTCTCTGATCCAGACTGGTACAGGAGAATTTGTCCCTGTGACTCCCACACACCCTCAGCCCAGTGGATGGTGGTCCACACAGCTAATGTGTGTTATGCACCTTTTGTTCAAACAGATATTTTTCAGGAATGTCTATTCTCTAAATGTTAATTTCCTAGACAATGCACATGAAGTGGAAGGCTTCAAACTGCTCAATTCCAGTTTAAAAGACATCCCACAATCAATAGTTTTAAGAAAACTTGGAAACAAACCCACCTTTGGAGGAGAGTAGAGATGACAAAGTGGTTGTCCTGGATCCTGTTTACACAGCCTCAAGGAATGGCAAACCACATCGGCATTCATTTCCCTGTCTATGCTGAATGAAATTATGCATAAACAAAGACTATTATGTTTTTCTGGGCTCTTGAAAGGAAAAGCTATTTCCATGGGAAGCTAAATCTTCCCAACACACCACAGAATAATCCCAGCTCACTTCACCATGGCCCATAACCGCTGCTCAATACAGTGCTGGGTTCTAATGATTTTCTGCCACGACATCCTACTCAGCATTTAAAATTGGAACCCAGGATGATGAAAAAGGACTGTGCTCTACATGCAGCACCTGAATCAAATGCATTATAACTATTCTAGTTTTTTAATCAATCATAAGCCTGACAAAGATTTAAAGGTTAAAGTTAATGCATATGCAATTTGGCACATATGAATGTTCAATCATTAACTCAACAGCATAACCAGAAATCCTTCAAAGATCCTTAACCTTTAATCACCAAGCACGAGTGCTAGGATTGTTTCTTCCTTTTTTGGGACACACCTCTGGGCTAATTAGGAATTAAATTAAAATGTTTGATTACAGTATTTCTTAGTCCTGTAAGCACTTTGCAGTCCCTTGGCTAGTTTTAAAAACAAAAATAAAAGCCCTAGGGAAGAAGAAGGTCTAGTAAAAGCTCTGTTAATTAAACTAAGAACTTTCAAAGAGGAATAAAATGACCTACATTTTATTTTTTTAATCACTTAGATTAAATAGTAGGCTTCCCCAAGAGTGTATATCAAGGTCAGGGTTGAGAGCATGTAGGGGCTGACAATTAGAAAGCCTGATTAAAGGTAGAATGGAAAGCAAGAGCCAAGCAACAACGATGCGATTTTATAGAACCTGTCTCACACACACAGGTTATTCAGATTCCTCCCTCAGCCAAATGATCTGAATTTCAAAAGATAATTATATCAGGTGGGCCCGATCTGAGATTTAAATGGCATATCAAAATGGTTACCAGTGGCAGCCTGTGTTTATTCACTCAGGAATAGATGTGCCAAATGCCAAACCAGAATCACTGTGAAACATCTCTGCTTTAAAAATAATGTGATTTTAGGACGGAAATCCCTCCACTTCAACGTGACAGCACATCTGTACGTGTCAAGAACAAACTAAGCAAAAATCTGAGAGGACACAGCAATACTTACAGTTCAGCAATGTGTGGTCCATAAAGTTCAGCAAGCACATAACAGAAACCTTGCAGTTTTTCTAGAAAACATAATTTTTAAATTTTTTTAAAGTAATTGAACATGGTGAAACTTGTTTCATAGCAGTCAAAATACAGAAGCAGTTGGTTCATTAAGGTGAATGCTAATTTACCTTAGGGAAAGGCATGTGAATCTCTGACCTCAGTGTAGCATCAGAGAATGGGAAAATCTGAATTTCTAATATTGCCGAAAACTCTCCTGGCTTTAGGTAAGTCACATGATAAAGACTAAAAAGGAAAACTAGCTTTTGTTAATTTTTCTCAATATGTCATAATGGAAAAGTCAGAAGAAATTGTGCATGCCACAGAATCTTCTAAGCAGTTTATACAAACATCTCAGTAGGTTTGAAAGAAGAAAGAAAACAAACTCATAAATCAAAGTGCAGAAAGTGATGTTGGGCTTGATGCTACTCCTAGAACTGCCTCAGAGCTTCTGGAGGCTTGTGGAGCTAAGAGAATATGTTTTGTGTAGAGCAGGAGTTGTGCAGGAGTAATTGCATTCAAAGAAATACCTGACACTTTTCATTTGGCTTCCTTTCACAGTCCACAGCTGTGTACCTTTTTGGGATGCTGGCTCAGGTGGTTTCCTTAATATGTGTGAAGCATGTCATCGATAAGACAGCTCATCAGAGAGTCCTTTAAGGCACTGTTGTAAAATAACAGGGGATCCATGCACCCAAGCAAAGAAACTGAGGGAGAGCAGGGGTGTGACTACAGGCAGGGCACGATCTGACAGTCCCACGAAGGAAAACTGCCTGTTTCTTGGCCTGGGCAGACTAGAGCTGGTTAACCATGCACATATCCTGCAAAGGAGGTGCCAGGCCTTGCTCCAGCTGGGGTGGTGCTGTGAAATGTCATAAGAGACAGGTTCACACAAGTGCCGTGACAACAAACTTGCAGCTCCTCAAACTCCTCAGAGTTTTCTCTTGTACCTCCATTACCCAGGCAGATAACTATTTGTACCTGGGGAAGAAAGCACAGAGTATTCTCATCTTTCTCAGAGAAAACACACAGAAACACCCAAAGCAGTCTTTGGGCTGAATATTCCATTTTAACCAGTGCCAGGCTGGACACGCCCAGGGCTGGGGGGCTGCTGCATACAGGGTGGGTAGTTCTGCTGTGTGGAGGGTACAAATCCTGTGGCAGGGACTCCACTGGTGGCCATGGGTGTGCTCCTGCTCCCACAGCTGCTCTCCACCCAGGCTGGCAACCTGCACCTGAGAAAGGAGGACTGGCAGCAGGAAGGCATATCAGAGGCACACCCTCCTACTCATGGTGTTGCAGGCAGCTTCTGTAACTACAGTAGTTGATTTTTCTTATTCCATGGCAGGTGTTTTATTTCAATCAAGTTATTAACTTCATTTCTTTGCCTCCTTTGCCACATAACTCCTCACTATTGGCTCTTTAGAAGCAATCTGAAAGTAAAAATTGGTCTCCTGACTAGAATTAGATTTTATTCTTGCTCACCTAAAATGAAAGATGTGGCAGACATCAATAACCCTGTGTTTGGCATCACTGCTGACTAGAAAACCCTCTGATGAGGCTTGCCAGGGGGGTACCTGGCTCCCTAAGGTAGCCTGCAGGCAAATGTGGCTGGCTTCCCCAACACCTCCCCAGTGCATCACGAGCGATGGTCTCCTTAGGAGTTTCCCAAACCAGCTGGTTTCCACAACATTTTTGGCTCTGGAGGAACCAGCTGGCTGCTGTAACTTCTCCTGGTGTCTGAGAAGAGAGCAGACTTTGGCTGCCTATCATCTCTGGGGAGCTGATATAGGTTTTGCTGGTCACATTTATTTCCTTAATGCATATAGGAAACTTAACGTGTAATTACCCCACGGTGTAAAAAGTGATGGGAAGTAAAAGGAATAGTAATAATGTTAAATTATCGCTGAGCATGTAAAGTCCTCTTGGAAGATTCAGATGCCATTCAGGCTTTGGCTTTCAACAAAACACCAAGACCAAAGCCACATACAGCGTTTATAGGACTTGCAATTGGAGCCAGGTTGCATTCATGTGTTCACAAATCTCCAGCTCTGCTAACACACACAAGGAGAGGATATTGCAAAGAGAAATCTCTGTTAGGAAGAGCAGTATAAGTCAGAAAACAGGGGGAGAGAAAGAGAAAAATTATGAATAACTGTGGGTGTTCAGGGGCAAAAAAAGAGCTTAAACAAAAAAAAAAAAAGCTGGAAAATTCAGAGAAAATGTAGAGTACACTTGCTTCAGGTAAAAGAGATTCCCAAAGATCCCTTAGATCCCCTAAGAACAGTCAGGAAGGTTTTCCTTATAGCTTCATAGTCCTGCTGAGGCAAACACTGGCTGAGTCCCAGAGGACAAATATTTGCCAAAAAGATGCTATTATCACACTGCCATTTGCACTTGAGCTCTAAGGTGTTTACACAGCAGCGGTCAACACAGAAGCAGAGCATGACTCAGAGGCAAAGCTGGAGGCAGAGGGTCTCAAGGCACATTTTGGGTATCAGACACCTCTGTGTAATCAAGCAGACAGTCAGTATCCAGGTAAACATACATTCTTGCTAACAACACCTCTTACACTGTAAATACTGCCCCTTCCCCCAGACCTGGCCTTTCTCTCTGCTCAAGAGCCTTCTTCACTCGTGACATTACTGTTCTTATTGTCATAGGTCTATTTGCCATGTTGCTTGAATTACACACATTGCAAGTATTTCCATACAAATGAGCTGTGGTTCTGTTTTCTGCACAGCCTGTGAGATTGAGTGGGACTGACAGGTAATGAAATTTTCTCTCTTTTTCTCTAAGCATTTTTTGTTCTTGAACATCACATAACTTTACAGAAGGCTTGATCCAAACCTGACTCAGAATTATAGGATGCCCTCAAAAAACCCACTTTCTAAGGTTTTTATGCCTTAGGAAAAGCCTCAATGCCATTAATTTGTTGTTGTTTTTCTTGCTATGGATTGTAGGCATGTGCATAATAATGAAATTGTCTCTTCATGTGAAATGCTGTTTCAAGCAGCAAGAGGAAACTGTTGATTCCTGCTGGGCTGCAGTGTTCACCTCCCAGGAGAGGATAAATCAGGTTACACTGCAGCTCCCACACAATCCATAGGATTTTTCACTCCTTTCAAGTTCAGGGTCAGGTTTTTTTCTACTGGGTATATCCATGCATCTCAGAAGGTAACTGGATTATACAGATTCAACTAAAGGGATAATAGGATTTTATGTGTGTAAAGAATGGCAGCTGAAAAGAAATATCTTGACATGTCAGAAGAACAAGGTCCACTGAGTGAATCATGAACACAGAGCTAGCATGTCATAATTTAAAGAAGAAAATTGTGTTTTAATAGCAGGATCAGTGCTTCTAATTGCAACTTCATGGTTATGTGCCTGTAATTTACAACACTGAGGATATGACTTAGGAATAGAAATCAGATAAGAGTCATTCTATCGATGAATGAGTCCTAGCAATTAGCTCCCTGCCCCATTCTGCCTTGGGAAATCCTTCTTTGGAAAGGAGGGAATTAGTATTCTACATATATCCTCCGTGAGACTGGGGTCTACAGAACGAGATGGTTTCTCAGAGACACAATTCATGAAATCATATAAAAATGACATTTTAATGAAGAGTCCTAAGCCATCTTTTTACATTAATAACATTAAAAAGATATGAATGTGAGACCTAGCTACTTAAATAGTTATAGGATTGGTCTGTGAGGCACAAAGCTATTCTGGCATTCAAACTGCTCTCTATTTAGGGGTGTGCCTTTGGAGCTGCAACCTCCTTTGGGTAGATAAAATAAGGAGGAGAAAAAAGGGAGTCTTACATATATTCTCATGGAATAGATATTGCTTTTGAAATTTGTATCACCAATTACTTTTCAGTAGCTTTTCTGTGCACTTCAAGTGCTCACATCTTACACCTGTCAGCCTCATCTCATTTTAAAACTTTAAAATAGCAGTTCCCATACCCACTGAAAACATTTTCATCTTCACTGTTGCTATAAAGACCTGTACCAACAAGCAAGAGGAGTGGTGGGGCATACAGTGAATCTATTCTTATTGCTGCTAACAAAGAGACTAAGGGGAGAAAAAGGAAGGGAACTGGTCTGCATGTGTTGGTGCTCACGTCTGTGGGGCTTAATATAGCCCCATTCACTCTAACTTTTGGGACAAAACCCCAGCTTTGAATCTAATTGAAGACATGTTCCCTGTAAATAGCAACTTGCTATCTCCCAGATACACACATTTGAGGTACTGCACAAGAGGTGGATAAAGCTTTTTCAGACTTCCCATGCGAATTTTTAATTAACAGGGAAATACATCAGCACCAACGCGACATATGGCACATTATTTGGTACTTACCAGGTATGTAGTCACACAGTCTCTCCACAGCTGCCTTTACTGTACTGTTGTGCCACTGTGCAAGCTGTTCGATGACAGACACCACAAGCACGCATCCTTCAAGAAAACAAAAACCAAAAAGAGGGAATACCATTACTGGTGAAATGTCATGAAGCGCCCTGCACCACAGAAGTGTTTCTGGCATCTTTGGGCATCTAATTTCCTGAGATGCTCCATGGCAGAGAGGTGTTCAAGGGGAAAAAATATCAGTGAATTCCCATCTTTATTGAAACCTTGCAAGTTTTTAGAGAGAGGATGCTGATTCCAGGGGAGCACACAGAACAGCCTGGATTTTACAGCACTGTATGGTGCTCCTGGTAAAATGACTCCATTCTTTCAAGGTTCAAAACTGAGGAGTCAAAGGCATAGCCACTGTTACAACTGCTTGCTTGATCACCTGGTCTCTCATTTTATCTCACAAGAAAATAGGCACATGTCTGTACTTAACAGGACTTTTATACCTCTCCACACAAGCAGCACAGAGAAGTACAAAAACTGGAAACTAAGTATTTGTGACTGCCTACAGAAGAGAAGTCACGCCACAGATGCATGTGCTGACCATGGCAGAGCATCTATGCAATCATTTCTTCACAGACTTTCTGGTGAAGCCCAGTGATGCTCAGCACACACAGGGCTGCTGAGCCCAGCTACACGTTTGTTAAAACCAAAATGTCTTCACAGTTCATTCTGCTCTGCCTCTGTGGTTGGAAAGAGACCACTTCCTATGACCTATGAATGTGGTTATTTCTCATCGTTAATCTGGGCGTGAACAGGGCTAGCAAAGTGTCTCTTGAGATGTGCAACACTTTTCCCTCTGCTGTTTTGGGGATTAAATAGATTCAACATGATCCCCATGGAACAGGCATTCAAATCCACATGATGATCATTCATTTCAAGTAAATTTTAAATTGCTGTAGGTCAGCATTGTGCTTTCTCTGCAGTGGCTTCACCATGTTATGAGAAGCACAGCTTTGGTGAAGCCAAGTCTGCCCACTGTAGTCAGACCTGTGATAGCCCTGCCTAGACTCAGAGCCTGTGCAAGAGAGGCAGGTATCCCAGCTCGACAGGAGACAAGGAGCCAGGGTGCCAGTTTCCAGCAGCCTGAATAAACATTTCTCTTTGAAATCTCGGTAACCAAATCCTTTTTCCTCTCCTGTGCAAGCAATCTCATCTCTGAGTCTTGCTCTAGCAGGGTCTAGAAATGGAGGTGAGCTGCAGCATTTGATGTGGCTGCAGACTCACCTTTTTCCAAAGCTCAAAAACATTATGCTCAGGTTTTCAGACTGGCACAACTCTTCAAAGTGAGCTTCTAAAGTCCTTCCAAGCACCCCTACCGATGTGCTATTAAATCAAAGTGCTACTTTTCAACATAAATAACTCTGATGCTTCTATAGCAAGTAAAAGAGAAGGTAGGGCAATTGGAACTTGCTGTAAGACCAATATTTTTGACTCTTCTATTACTTCTTCTATCCCAAATGCAGTAATCCAGAAGAAATTACAGTAAATTTGTCACCTCTTTTGCAGGGATAAAAGCCCACTTCTCCTTACTTATAAAATAAAAGTCTCACTCAAGATCCTCTGCAGAATGATTTATAAAGCATGCTAAGAACCATTACCTCCAGTCAGCCTAAAAGAATTGAAGAATAAATGGAGACTGATACAACCAAGAAAAACCCTGAAGCAAGATATTCCTTCTTTCCTGTCCCCCTCCCCAACTCCCCAAATAGCCAGAGGCTAACTACTCCCAGGAATTAGCAGCTAATTAAAAACACAACAGCTGAAAAAAAAAAAAAAGTTGAATAATAAAGACCCAAACTAAAAGTAAAGGGAAGGTCCAAGATGAAGTAAGTAAAGGGAAGGTCCAAGATGAAGTGTATAGCATGTTCAGGTCTTGGTCTCAAAGAACAGGCCAGGGCCCTCTGGTCAAGGTTGAACCTTACTACAGCCTTATCATAGAATAGTTTGGGTTGGAAGGGACTTTTATAGTCCAAGCCCTGCAGTGAGCAGGGCCATCTCCACCTAGATGAGGTTGCTCAGAGTCCCGTTCAACCTGATCTCCAAAGTTTCCAGGGATAGGACATCCAGCACCCCACAGTTGTGGGGGTGGATGTTAAAGAGTGCAAGAGACTTAGCTGTTTTAATGCAAATCATGCCCTGCACTGGCTCAGGGACAAAAAACAGACCCTGGCTCCTTTGCCAGGGTTGGATGGTAATAGCCTTGCTTGGCTGACTCCAGCCTTTAGCACTGAGATGGCCCTGCACATCCTGAAAACACACCATAACACGTCTAAAAGTCATTGCATAAAGGCTACGTTATTAACACACATGAACAACCTGCAGACAACAGGGACTACCCTTGCCCTGACCTCTATGTCTATTTTATTCATGAGGATGGAGGCTCAGAAAAACTAAATTACCTAAATGATAACTTAACCACAAAACCACACAATCTTTCTGTGCTTTCCTTTCTTCTTACCAAGGTCAGATATTCATCTATCAATCCTGCTGTCTAGATGTCAGAAAGACAAAAAGGAGTCCAAGCAGAGAGGCAGGGAGAAGCTAGACCTTTCATATTTTCCAAGGATCACACATTTTGTTGTTTTATCTCTCATTCTTTTGCCTCATGAGCTTGAGGATTCTACAAAATCATAGAATTGTTTAGGTTGGAGTTGACAGTGTCAGCTACTGCAGCAGAGAGAAGTGTTGCTCATTTTGCCTATGCTGTGTAACCCAGTGCTCCTGAACTTGCAGCCAGGGGCTGCAGAAAAAAGGGATTATGGACAAACAGCTCAAAATCCAAAAAGTTGGGCCGAGCATAAAAATACTATTGATATTTTTATTTTCTCTGTTATACAACAAGACAGTTCACACTGAAGATGTAAGTTTCTCTCTCATGTTTGTCAAAGTACCACAGAGGGAGTGAGAATAAAAAATGAAAGATATTTTTGGTTCAGCTCTGCCAAATAAACAGAATTCCTAATCACAAACACAATTATGCAGGTAGCCCCACTCAAGCAGCAGTCTCACAGCAATTAAAAGAAAATTTTTCATGTTGATTAAGTCAGATAGACACTTTTGTGTCTATTGAACCAGGCCCAAAGGCAAATCTGCTTCACATGAGGCTTAACAGAGCCAATACTGAGTCTGAGCAGTACTCAATGCAGTACCTCAGGCTACTAGATGCTATATGAATATAAATAACAACAATAACAGTCTGACTACTTGGGAAAAACCCACAGAGATGAAATTCAAAATGCTTGCTCTCATAAACTCATCTTCACTATCAGAGAGGATGTTTCTGCTTGTGCTATTACACCCTCCCCCCTTCAGGCACCTGCAGACCAAACCTTGGTTATCCAAATGCTCCCTCCTCAAGTGCAGTTTTTCCACATGAAATGCCACACTCCATGAGACAAGCTGATAGAGAAAGTCATGGCTGATTTTCAAAAGGATCTGCCATTCCTTAGGCACCGCAGCTGAAGTCTCTGGAAGTGAATTTGGAGAGTCTCCCAGCCCTCTGGTAGGAAAGGTGCTCCTAGGGAACACATTCCACCAACACATGATACTGGCTGATCTGGTCTCTGTTGTCCTGTCTACCTGGGCTTTTCTCAGTTGCCCTAAGCTGACCCCTCCTTACTCCTTGTGAGCTGTGCCCTGGGGACTGCTTGCTTATGGGCTGGGTCTGCTGATCTCAAAGCCTTTCATTTAGGTTGATGCATCAGGAGAGGTTTTTGGGCTAGAGATTCTAAAATACTCAGGAAAAAGGCTGAACCTTATGAGGAGGAAGGAGGAGTGTTCTAAGGGGACTCACTGCAGCAGAGGGAGCCTAATCTACCTAGGCTTTTTGGTTTTTCTCATGGAAACATGCCTCCCCAGTAATTCAGATTTATCCTCTAGGAGAACTAATCTCTGGTGTTGGGCTATAGGTAAACTTCAAGAGGTTTGTGTCTATAAATGAAAGTTAATTCCGACTATCCTTGCTTTTACTACAAACATGCTCTCTTTTTATCGTCTTCCTTTGCACTGAGTGGCAGAAATGCTGAGCAGTTGTCCTAGTATTTAATGGGTCTTAATTCCACTGGATAAAAATGGAAAATAATTATATACTAAAAAGGGCAAGGAGAAATCAGATGTCTTTGACTGTAAAAATCTCATTGCTTTAATTACTTATGACATGTACAAGTATATAAACTTTTAAGTACTCTGGCATCAGTAGAAAAGCATATCCAGACCTGGCCAGTCATTAGCAGCTGTTGCTTGCTTTTAATTCACTAGATATTTAGATGTGATTTATTTCTCATTGTGAGATGGACACATATAAGGCAACATAAACAGGCTTCATCATTAAATAAAGTTATTTTTTGTTTAACTGTTGCACATGATTTTCTTTAGAAACTTTAAGTAAGTTGATTCTGCTGTCTCACTTCAATAATAGGTTTCAATACCTGGACAGGCTGAAGGATGTTTTTCTCTGAAAGAAATTCATTGGCATTATAATACCTACCAGGCATTAGAAACTAGACTCTGGTATTAATAAATGCCTGTCGCTTTTAGCCATGGCTTGTCCCATCTGCTATTAATTTCTGAAGAGATAAGACAAGACCATAACCATTTGGCTCACTGCAGTAAGCTGAAAACTCACACATCAGGAAGTACTTCTTTCCATATATTTGAAGGTAGTGTGTAATAAAAAAATGCCATTTCCAATAAGCTCAAGGGAAAAAAAAGTCATACCCCAATAATAAAATCAGAAATAGAGGAATTCATTGCTTAGCTGTGAAGCCTCTGGCAGTTTGAGCAGACTATTTAACTTTAATCCACTTCTGCCACACAAGTCTGAAAGGCTCTATAATTAGAATTATACCTAGGGATGTCAAAAAGTATCTGGATAGTGAAAGCTGCCTCTCTAAGTTTCAGATTTGTAGGTATATTTTTCTGAGTAAAACTCTGTTCAATAGGTTTTCTGGCACCTGGCACATCCTCCTTTGCCATCCTTTGCTCATGTTTCTGGATGCTGGATTTCTTTCCCACCTCTACAGCCATAAATTGGATGATGG